ATTAACGCCAAACATTTGTTAAAATTTATAGAATATTGTAAAATATATATATATATATATATATATATATATATAAGCAGTAAGCACGGCAGCACGACAATATACTTAGAACACCTGAATACCTTGAATAGTTAGAAGAGCACGACTAGCACTAGCACAGTGGTTGTAATCGGTGGGTGTATGTATTGGCGCAAGTACTGATGCTGCTCATGACAAATTCGTACCTGAAAAATATTTGGCAAGTTTATGACTTGAAAAGCAAATGTGTTATTTTTATATCAACATTATTTTTAAATGTTCAGTATAATTAAATACAGACCGGGGATGTAACGTCACAATTTTCGTGTATTGTGCATTATATTAGTCACTTAATAAAACATATAAAACTGATTATTCATCGTTGCCACAATTCTGACACATGTAATAATCACTGCCATCTGTAAACACCTAGTATTACCAATTGCTGCATTTGAGGCATTAAATCCCATCTTCATCAAACTTAGCACTGCATACAAAAGATTATATTTTCTTTTTTGCTTTGATTTGTTTTATTTTTCTAAATACCTGGTTTTGTCTTTTTTGTTGTCAGGTTTAATTGCTTTGAAACAGTAGCTTGCTTGTTTTTTTTTTATTTCGGGTTGGCTGCAAAAATTTGTAGATTTAGAGTTGTTAGTAGTGAAATGACTCCATTTGACATTCTCTGTTTATACATGCGATGCAGCATTGTGAAACATAAACTGCATTGGTAGCAACATAACGGATTTTACTTCCATTTCATTGAAGGCTTTCACTGCCGAAACTAAAACATCTGGACCTGAGCGAATCTGGTCGGCTTGTTAATAAAATTTAATTTCACACGTTAGGCATACCTGAATCAAAAAAGACAATAAATGATGTTGAGTCATCAACTAACAGTATATGTGAATATAAAACTATTTCTTTCAGTAGCTATTACTTTTGTTAATTTGTCAAGAGACGCCAACTGACAAACCGAGATTTTGTACAAATGTTTTCAACAAATAAACCTGTCTTGTCAAACTCTTTTAAAAAATTATTTCAAAATGTACAAAACACGCTTTAATTTTTTAAAGTTATAGTTTAAAATAAAAACAATTATTAATTAAAGTTTATTAAAAAGTATAAAAAGTATTAGGGGTCTCGTGGCCGAGTGGTTAGGGTGTCCGTCTATTACTCCCACGACCCGGGTTCGAATCTTGCAGTTTCTGCAGGTTTATCCGGGTAGCCGAACCTTGGCCAACCCAGCCGTCCATCCTTCCGAGGTCAGTAAATGGAGAGACGACGTAAGTTGTCGCATGTTGGCCGGCGAGATGGCTCAGTGGTTCAAATGCTCGCTGAGTCAAACATCTCAAAGGCTATCATATACTTAGCGTATATGATGCGGTGCTTGCGCGTGCACATAAATACATGTGTAAATCTTGTGAAAAGAATAAATGAATAAATGTGGCGAAGATGGCTGCTTCGGAACATGATAAAGATATATAGATAATATATATATATATGTATATATATATATGTATATATATATATATATGTATATATATATATATATGCAACATCATTGTAAGTGGTTCTGCATATGTCAGAGCTGCAATAATAAAGACTAAAAAAAATTGTTAAAACTTACCAACTATGCGAAAAAAACAAGCTTTTGAACTGTTATAATAACGGCGGAAGTTATTTATTAAAATTTAAAAAATCAAATTTTACCTAGAAATCTTTTGTGCATACGATCATTGACGATATTTTTTACTTACAAAGATATCGAACTTGAAATATTCAACCCGTGTAACGGACATCACCTGTCTCGCTATGTTAATTGATGCCTACAGTCAAGTTACGATTGAAATAAGTTATAATTGAAATTATAAAAGCTCCAATTTATCTCAAAGTCTTCCGAATAAAAAAAATTAACACAACAATTTTATTATAGCTATGTAATGAATTGCTGCTATCCCCATTAATTAACCACAGTTTTTACTCAAAAGTAGCTTCACAAACGATACGCATAACCGATAAATATTTTGATTCATTTGTAAATGAATAAAAATTTGATTTTTGTAAGCAATGTCAGACAAAAGTTTATGTTCTTTTCTGAACTAACTGCCTACCTACGTGGAATATCGAAAGTAAAGATTGAGACAGTTAAAAGTGGTGTTGCTTATTGAAGCTTTGAAAAAAAGAGCCTGTTGGATTGACCGTCAGTCAGTTGTATAGATGATACATTGTAGCCAGACACCGATTGCCAGAGCAATGCGCGACATCTTCGCCAAAAGAGCTATTTCGCAAAACTAATTTCAAGGATGATGCTTAGTATGGAAAATATTTAATAACTATATAATCAAATAAAAACGATGTTTAGATGTTATTTATCTTACTATGCAATTATAACATTAACAATAAACGATGTTTAGATGTTATTTATCTTACTATGCAATTATAACATTAACAATTTTGTTTTTTTGTTTTAATAAAACTTTTGAATTTTCAAAGAAAAATCTAGAATATTATATCCCTGTGTTGTTCTGCTTAGTGAAATTACGTCTATGTTTTTTCCAACATAATCAAGAATATTATCTTCGTTGACACCACCGCTAGCTTCTATTAATATGTTTTGAAATTTGTTCTTTATAATGCTCGCCGTTTTGTGGAGAGCCTACAAAATGGAAAATAATAAAATAGAAATTAACAAAAGTGTTGAAACAAGTTTCAAATAAACCTCTAATTCGAAGTTATCAAGCATTATAATATCACATCTGGCTTCTGCAGCTTCTAATGCTTCTTCAAGAGATCTACATTCCACTTCGATTTTGCTATTGAAACCACCAACTGAACGTGCGTCTTTGATAACCTATAGCAAATAAAAATTTTGTTTAACAAATTTTATGTTAACAAATGAACTAAATAATCATCAAAGTTACATTGGTAATGCTTCCAGCTGACCAAATATGGTTGTCTTTCAACATGATCATTGACGAAAGGTCATACCTATGCGTTGATATGCCGCCGACCAACAATGCGTATTTTTCAACTAATCGAAATCCAGGAGTTGTTTTTCTGGTCCCCGCTATTTCTCCATGCCAGGGCATTCCAGTTTCTGGTACAATATGTTGCTTAACAACATCATTCAATTTTTTGGCATATGTGGCCACTCCACTTGATCGAGCGAGGCAGTTGAGAGCTACTCTTTCACCAAGCAATACATTTCTTACTTTGCCAGTCACTGTAGCGACTTTTACAACTGGCTTCAGCAATGAGCCTTCACTTATCTGTCAAACATAAACAACTCATCAGAAATATACTAAAACATAAAAGATTACCTAATAACATATTGTCTAAAATTTTGAATTAGTTTATCTGATTGGGACTTTTGAAAATCATATGTTTTCGATATTTTAAATAGTGAAATATTCATCTAGATTTGATGAGATATTTTGAGCGCTGTGAAATTTGAATGCGCGAAACGGTTTGTTCATAGTTTTTCAGGTAAGACTGCACAACAATATCGTAAATTTAATAAAAAAAACTTGCATTCTAAAAACCAACGACAACACAAGCAAAAAATAATTTGAATGCATAAAGTTTTTGAAATCTTCATCAGTTTCACTATTTCTAAAACAAGATTGTGCAGCTGCAGAAATATAATTGAGGATGCAAACGAAAGTTTTTTTAACATTTATCTTAGGCTGAATATTCTTCTGGACTCGGTAGTCTATAAACGAAGTTGGCACTTATTTCAATCCCTTCATTAAAAATTTCAACCTCAACAAATGTGACAAACAGGTTCATAAACGAGCGACAAAATTAACGCATCAGAAATGTTTATAACAGACACCTTTTAAATTGAGCCCGGTCACCCCAACTTATTATTGGTAGACCAGCTTGTCGCTATCGGCTATATATTGAATTGAAGAATTATAAGTGCTTATACCGAGTTATCTTCGGAAAAGCTATGTTGATCCTTGTTGAAAAAATGATTCCTCAATATTTCCATGTATATATTTCTGGTTAAATTGTTCTATATTATTTATTTATTTATTATATATGTCATTTAGTATTACGATAGGAAATATTGAAAAATTGAACCAGATACTGATTAAAGCTGAAAATGCAGTGATATTTCTTAACAATTGTATCTACGAATTATATATATATAAATTGGATTAAGATTGTCAGAAATGCAATTATTGATAAAAATCACAGCATGTTCCGCAATTAAGACTGTCAGAAATGCAATTATTGCGGAACATGCTGTAATTTTCATCAATAATTGTATATAGATATATATATTGATGAAAACCACAGCATGTTTGGCGTTAGTTAACTTCCAATTTAACTTTTCGATTTTTCTAACGATTGATCGAATATTACTTTAAAGTTTAGATCGAAATCGAAAAGTTAAATTGGAAGTTAACTGACGCCGAACATGTTGTGATTTTTATCAATAAATGGTTTTCTAACCATCTTAATCCAAGATATATATATATATATATATATTTGTGTAAATTTACGCAAATCTCTACGACCAATATATATAAATATATATTTGATATATATATATATGATATATATGTATGTATATATATAAGAAGCTATAAGAGTCGAGAGTAGCAGCCCTGCGCGCATTGATCTTAGAAGAACTAAATAACTATGAATCGTTTAAAAACTTAAAAGTAAAATGAAATAAATAGTAAAATATGTATTGTATGAATGGGCCATCAAAGGATATCACCTGATTACAAAATCAGGCTCAAACTTGTAGTAGTGCCACACGATCACAACATATAATAATGTATTACAAATTTACATCAATAAAATCACGGCAAGATGATTTGATTACTGACGTGCCAATCGACGGAACAATCCAAAGAACGGAAAACCTCTTCAAAAAATGGAGAACCAGCTAATATTCCTTCACATTTTCCTAACAAATAAGCTTTTTCTATTTTCTCACCAACTACAAAACCTCCATAGTCAAAGTTAGATGTGTCTTCCTCTAACCAATAATTTACCAGTTTTCTTAATTTTGTAGGATGTAACAAATGGGCAAATTTCAACGGCTGTCTAGAATCTCCTACATCCATGTTCAGTTCTCTACTACAGTAAACAAAATAAAACTCAAATAGGAACGAATAGCTAAGCCGTGCTTATTCAACGCACATGATGGATCCGCACTTTGGACCTAACACAAGGTACGTTGATGGCAGATGCACATAAGAAAGTTCGCGCTAAAAAGTTTTCATTAAATATATAGAAAGCCAAAAGTAAACAAAATTTATTCATTTATAGTGATATTATATTTATTTATAAATATAGTTTGGAACGAGGCTTTCTTTGATGCATATATCGTTAAATTTATATGCCCATTCTGCATTTAATAGTTTTTTAAAGACAACTTCAACACGACGTAAATTTTTATACTCGTATTTATTTAATGTCATAATTTAATTAATGTTGTAAGTGTCAACTGACAGCGCTGTTTTGGCTATTTAGCCATCGTCGGAGCTGGATTTAATATTTTAAGATGAAATTAAATTGAGATTATTAAAATAATATTAAAGTAAATATTGAAATTATATTGGGTTTTAACAATGGTGTTAAACAATTTAAAAAGATTTAAAAAACATATGAAACGTACCTTTAAAACTTTAAAATTTATATAATTTATATTTATATAAATATAGGTTGAATTAAGATATATGTATAAATGTCCTGAAAGGATAATGCACGAAAAAGAAGTAATAGTATTCTAGGTTTTTGTAAAAATATAATTTTTTAATCCATAAAATCAAAATTTCTCTTAACTTTTTCCAAAACATTCAGATTTTCTATCTTTTACATTTGTATCAATGCCTATATATATATATATATATATATATTTACAATATTCTATAAATTCTACCGAATGTTTGGCGTTAATATGTTTGTAGTTTGTTTTTTCGATTTTTCTCACTAAAGTTTTTTGGTGAACGTTTGTTTTTTCGATTTTTCTCACTAAAGTTTTTTGGTGAACGTTTAGTTTATTAAAATTCAAAATAAACTACAACATATATACCAACATATATATATATATATATATATATATATATATATATATATATATATATATATATATATATATATATATATATTAACTCAGAGCTCGCAAGAGTTTACTTATGGATGGTAAATAATAAACTGCAAATTAATTTATCAAAAAATTTATCAACAAATTAGTCTTTCTAGGTGTTACAATCTCAAGCAACCTAAGTTGAAAAGAGCACACAATTAGCATATTTTTTTATACATATTTCAATTTTTCTTATTTTAAATTTAATTTAATTTTGAGACAGACACAAAGCTGTTCAACTCAAGAAGACACGAGAGCCTGTTGCGGTACAAGAGAGCCTGTTGCACTATTAGCATATCAAAGTATCTAAAAACCTAGGAATAATCTACAGACTAAAATATCTCTTACCGAAATGTGTTTTACTTAATTTATATTATTTTCTTATTTATCCTTATTTCACTTATTATATTGTAGTTTGGGGTCGTTATACATTAAGTCTCATATTATTATCTTAGATGGATGTTTATACTTATTTATTCATATATATCATGATCTGAAAAAATGTGATCATATTTCAGATTATTTATCGTTGTCTAATTTGTTGTCTATTCCTAAACTGTACGTACTCAGATTATTATTATTCTTGTTTAATGTTATAGTTAAGAAGAAATTTGTTATGTTTAATTCATATTTAATTAAATCTTCTGAATATTGCAAAAGAACAACTCGGCACACTCCATTATACAATTGTACTGTCCCTCGTACTGTTTTATTTTCATCTTCAGTTTTTCTTTTTTGGTTTAAAACTGTGGCCAAAACTACCGTGTTTAGTTTTACAATTATCTAACTATGGCTTATTTAAAAAATCGATTTTTGACTTAATTAAGAACAACTATTTTTACAGGATATGATTTAATTATTTCAATTATTTAAGTTAATTTATAAGGAAAAACTTATAATATAAATTCATTTGTTTTGTTTACCTTGATAAATTTTGATGATCATTTTAGTTCTAAGTAATTTCTGCTCATTTTTGGTTTAATTTAACTTGTTTTCATTGGCTGGCTATAGGATTTTATTTTCATTTATGTTGTTATTCTCATGTAGGTAGGTATGTTTTTATTTGGTTTGGGTGGCCGTACAAGCTCGTTTGAGCTTCTATGTCTCCATGCTTTTTGCTGAATAAATTGAATTGAATATATACATACATATATATATATATATATATATATATATATATATAATAATACACTATATATATATATATATAATATAATATACATATATACATATAATACTACTGACGTTTGATGCTGGCATTAACATCGGCATCCATCTCTGGTTGTCTACCGCTTAGAATTCCATAGATATATGCAATGATTAATAAAATTTTTAAAAGTCTTTTGTGTGCGCTTCATCTTTGTTGATTATTATCGTTGTCGGGGCCGAGCGATTGTCCTACTGACAAATGTACTAACTTAGAACTAATCTAATCGTATTAAGCATTAAATTGTACAGTAAAAAATTTGAATAGCCACTTCTTGTTACTCACATTTATTCAGGATTATTATTTCTGTGTCGTTTTGACTTTTTTTTGGAGGAAAGCAGTTTTTTAGTTAGTTACATTTTATAAATTTGAAAATAAGATTATCATTATTATTTCATTAAAATAAAATTAAAATTGAATTAGAAAATACTGACATACACATAATGCTAACCTAACTCTAGATTAGAGATTGCATCAGTAGTACATCTAGTAAGTATTAAGTAATATAGAATATTGTCAATAATATTGCTGAGCATAAAAGTCTCAAAAAATCGAAATTTAATTGATTTTTTTAGTTCTACTACTACTACTACTACTTAATCTTAACTTCTACTTCCTTATAAATATAAACTTTTAAACTTTACTAACTATTTTTTATTAAAATTAAATCATATTCAAGTTAAAGTTATTTTTATTCATAACTTTGGGCCATGAATCATGGCTTTCTTCAGCACAAAAAAACATTATACAAGATTAAATTTACTTCCGTTTATGAGAAGAATTTTGACAACAAAATGAAAAATTGCTTTTATTTATATTTTATTTTACTATATATTTTATATTAACTGACTTGCTTACCTTACTAAACTCAAGATTAGAACGTCATAAGAATATGTTTTAAATAACAGCCTTGTTTGTTATTTTATATTATTTTATTTTATGACTTATTTATATTCAGAGCCATGTCATTTAGAAATAAAAGTTGGATGATGGATTCTCAAATGAATGGCTTTGAAGATTGGGTAAATGGCAATAAGAATATTTTTAATAACAAAAATGGTGAAATGTCTCGAACAGAATTCCAAAATAATAGCTTGCCAGCTGGAGATGATTACTTACAAACATCAGTTACGAATTCTCGACGGTCATCTAGGTCTAGAAAACATGTTGATTATGATGTTCTTGCATCTCACACACACAGAAAGAAACGTAAGAAAGGACAGAGCAGCTCTGATGAATCTGAATCATGTGGCATGACATTACAAATGGACTTTTCAGGTTGCGAGGATGATGACTCCAACAAATCAATTATGAAATCAGATAATGAAGTGGAGAATGATATGGCATGTGAAACAGAGGAGGACGCTTCCTACACATCTCACAAAATTATTCATCAAAAAAAACCGTTCAGAGTTAAATATTTTGACGTTCATAATGTCCCTGAATTGAATATACCTAAGTCATCAAGTGATTTAATACTTGCGGATGAATATGTAATGCAAGCCTTGGGAATTTATGAAGTTTTGAGGCGTTTCAGTAGACAACTGAGACTATCTCACTTTAGATTTGAGGATTTGTGCTCTGCTCTAACTTGTTCATATAATTCGCCTTTAATTGTAGAAATTCATGTTTGTCTGATGAAATGTCTCTTAAAAGCTGATGATAATTCGAACATGATGTTTGGTCCTCAGGACACAAAGGATAGTGTTAATATCTTTTTAATGAGCTTAGACCATCTGACTTGGTATGAAATTGTTAGTGCTTATTTGAATAGTGGTTATAAGGATGAATTTGAAAATGTTTGCAACGTGATCTGCAAGAAATCATTTTACACTTCAATTACAATATCTGAGCGACTGTCAATTTTACAATGCCTTACTGATTTGTTCTTAAGAACTAATGCAGCTCGCTTGGAGATTATAAGAGAAGGAATGTTTCAACATGAAGATCAGTGTCGATCCTGTCACAAGTAATTTTTGTGTGTTTTATGTGTTTTTGGGTATGTTGTATAGTTTATGAAATTGAAATTTGAAACATCAAACAAGATTTTGTATAATTAATTTGTTGTAATTTGATAAAATATTTAGTTGTAATTATTTAATTGTTCTGCAAAAATACAAAATTCGTGGCTTAATTAACATGGTCTGCAGAAAAGAATACTATTGACATTTTTTATTGAATATAAGATAAATTTAGCAATATGTTAAATTGTACATTTTCAATCATTGAGCATTGAATGACAAGATTAGTCTGCTCAGTTTCCATCATATGATGTGTTTTGAATCATCTTTATAAATTTTAATGATTTTTACTTTAACAACTGTATTACTAGATTTTTAATGAAGATATCTAAATATGCCAGCTATATTTTATAAAATTGAAAAGGTTGGGAGATTTGATTTGTTGCGAACTGTGTCCCTCCGTGTACCACCTGGAATGTGTTGGATTGACGGAAGTGCCCGAAGGAGATTGGATCTGTTCCCTTTGCACGCAGTCACATGTTAGTCGACACTTTTCCTATATCTTTTACTTTTTATTCACTTCATTTTTTCATGGTATTTTCCATTTTTACCTGCTTCAAATTATCTTTTGTTATAAGTTTTTTTTTATTTTACGACATATTCTCTAATGTATATTTTTATCATTTGTGTCTTGGACTTTAAAATATTGAATTGATAAATGATAGTTGTTCTTTATTGTCATTTTCATTTATTTTTTCCATGGTAAGTAAGTAACTTCTATTCTCAGGAACTTTGGAAATGTTGAAACATTCCTATCGATTGAAACTTTTACGACTGTCTCTTGAAGATCAAAAACATTTTAATATAGATGAAAAAATGGATATGTCTATTGCTTGCCATTCAAATGTTTTTTTGTTCACAATGAGTTATAAAAAAAATGTTGATAACTTAGCTTGAATCAGTAGAGAATTATATGCTTTTGTTGAAATAAAACCACTAGGTGAAAGGAGTGAGTGACTGCTTAGGTGATATGGAGGTGGAAGGCATGCTATCGAGGCACGAACCACTGGGTTATGATAGGCATCTCAGAAGATACTGGTTCCTCTCAAGAAGAATATTTGTGTTAGTTTTTAAGTTAAAGAATATTATTACTTCTCATTCTCAAAATTATCTTTCAAAACGTTTGTTAAATTTCTTACCAAAGCATATTTAAACCACTGGATTGGATTATTTAGATAAAATAACATTTAAATTGTTTTTAAATTCTTAAAAACTTTTTTACAGGGTTTTCAATTTTTATATTATGAAAATTTTCAAAATTTGCTATGCATCTAAGTTATGTTTAATGGTCAACGTTCTTTACAATATAGTATTTTATTGTATTTTATTGTATTGTATTGTATCATCGTTCTTTAATTGAATGACAACATTATAGGGAGTCAGAAGATGGAAATGCCGTGCACTACTACAGCACTCCTCAGCAGTTTGAAGAATTGTATCTTTCACTGGATGCTGATCATTATGAAAATGATCTCGTTGCTGTTTTGTATGAGCTAAAAGATGAAATCAAGAGGCAGATGGATCTAACAATTGAACTGACCAAGCAATTTCAAAATTCAAAAAAATCTACTTTTGATATTCTTTATGGTTGGTTGGTTGATTGATTGGTTGGTTGGTTGGTTGATTGATTGATTGATTAGTTGGTTGGTTGATTGATTGATTGATTGATTGATTGATTGGTTGGTTGGTTGGTTGGTTGGTTGGTTGGTTGGTTGATTGATTGATTGATTGATTGATACAAAATTTTATAATTATGAAGTGTAATGTATTGTTTTATTAAATTAATAATTGCAGATTTGGGAAAAAATACTCAGCTAGAGATTGGAGAAGCGGATGGAGTAAAAATGGAAGTTAGTTACAAATATCATAATTTATTGTAATCACAATTTCGTGTAACCATTACTTCATGTAGTAAAATTTTCATGTAAATATTATGATTTCAAGTAATTGTAATTTTTAGTGTAAATATTGAGAGATTGTACAGCGTGTAAAAAATTACTACAACAAAAAATTAAGAAATATATGAGATGTATAGAAAATTGTAAAATAGCATGTGGATTGTTAAAAGTAAATTATCAAAATCTAAAATAAATATATATTGGCATTAGAAAAGATGAATAATTAAAAAAACAAAAGTTGTAAAATATGAAAAGCGAAATTAATAGCAAAGGCTAAATATCTGTGATTCTTTAATTATTTTTGAATGATTCTCAATGTTCTTCATATTTCCAAGTGTTGTAAATATGCTTATCTTATTTTCACCAAAGGCAGTACTAACTTTTAGTGCCTCCTAACATTGCACCTAGCAACTTAATCTTAAATTATGACATTAAGAAAATTTCAACTAGCATAAACTATGAACACATAACTGCAAAAATGTTATTGTAATTTACTTAGAAAATGTATCAAATTATATTTAAAATAATGGTATGTTCAGAAATTTAGTAAAAAATATAGTACAAAAATAAGATAAATATGATGTGGCTGCCCTGACAAATGTGTATGATTTATGATTTGCTAACAGAATGAAAAAGAGAAATATGAAAATGCTAGAAAAAAAGTAAAGCTTTGCAATGGTGATGACAACAGAGAGAGCAGTGCATTGGTCAAGTCTGAAAAATTTTACTCACAGACTCCTGGAGGTAAGCTTTTTTAAAATATAGGTAATCTTCAACAAACTATTGTCCAGTTTAGTTTTGTAATAGGTTAAATGATTGATTTGTAATGCTTCTTTTGTGATGAAAACTGACTTTTTATTTTTTTTCTAAAATTTTGTCATGTAGGTAAATTATTTTTTTTTTTGGTAAAATTCAGCTTAATTATATATTGGAAAAATTTAGGAGAGTTAAATTATTTTAATGTTTTTAATATATGTTTGAAAATGTTTTAAAATATGTTGCATTTCACTCTAATCTTCATAAAATTTTACAGAAAGTCAGAAAATGCTGACTCGATTGAAATCAGGCACACTGACACCAAAACAGTTTAAAGATCACCACCTCCTCATCTCTTTGCCAAGTAATTTCAAACATCAATTCAAAATGGATGAAGCTCTTCTCAATACTGCAGCTGTCACAAAGGAGGGAGTGATGAAAATGAAGATTAATTCATCTTTATCCTATGAAGATTTTTCTGGAGATTCCCTTCTATTCAAATTAGGTTATTATTGTTAAATTATTTTTTTGAAATATGCAACCCAACAAAGATTTTTCAATTAGAATTCATTGTTTTCACTTTAACAGGACACGAAGGCACTTTTTTAAAGTATGAAAATGTATATTCTACTAATGCTTGTGCTTTAAATAGACAACAGCATTTTGAAGAGAAAGAAAAGAAACGCCATCTTTCTTACAAATTCAACATTCCAATGCACGGTGATTTTCGATGGGGTGGTTCATCGTTTGGCAGTCTAGCATCAATCATCAGCACATACAAAACTACTCTTTTACTGCTGGAAAGTCACATACCCACTTGTCTGTTGCATCCACGTTGGCAAACTTTCAGACCTGAATGGCTAAATTTAGTTGCCACCGCTTCGACGTCTAGTCAGTTAGCACATATTTTAGCAGTTCTGCAGGTATCTATTAAGCCGGTGTTGTTCAACCACATGTGGCATGAGATGTTGGGTAGATTGTTCTTTCACTTTCTTCTTTAATTTAATTTATATTAATTTTCATTGATCCTTTTTTATAATATTTGTTCATATTTATACATCCTTGCCACTAGGTCACACAAGTTTGAAAAGAATAAGCACAACAGAGTTTGAAGAGAATAAGAAAAAAGAGTGCAAGAAATTAAAGCAGGATGAGGAAGATGTTTGTCGTAACTCCACGGTCAGATATTCACTGGGAGTCAAACATCAGGTCCATTGTTAATAATGCGTCTCATTTTGTTTATCATTTCTGTCTTTCTCCTTTTTGATCAGATTTGATTTGAGTCATGATTTCAAATTGGGTGTTTAAATATTGAATGTCATTTGTCATTGAATGTCTCAAGAATAATTTATTCTCACTACTGACAATTTCGATGTAACATAAATGTTTGACACACCAACCGGTCAGTGGTTAACGGTTTTTTGAATAGTTGAATTCATCTTTTATGTTACATGAATATTGAATATATAAGTACAAAATAATTTTTTGTAATGAAAATCATTGAGAATTTTTGCCTCCTGAACAGCTGTGGAAAACTCGTGGTGAAGAATATAGAGTGCTAGGTGTGGGCGGTTGGTATTGGGTGAGTGAGACGAGAAGTAGCAAGTTCCTACCAGCAAGTTGTTTTGGTCTTCGAAGGATTGCTGGAAAGTTGAGAGCACTGCTGAAGAGGAACAGCAAATCATTTCATTCATCTGCAAACTCTCTAGCTTCACAAGGTTGTTTCTAAACTTCTTTTATGTTGTTCATCGATGTAATTTCTATCCTAATATTTTTCCAGGTCGTTCAAGCCGACATTCCAAAAAAAAAATTGTTTCTGTGAATGTTAATGGAGTGAGAGAGTCGGGCGGATTGTACAACGGTTTCAATGGAAAAAATCGGAAGAGTAACAGCGATGGCGATGATGAAAGCGATGATAGCGAAAGTATGAAGGAGGATGAACGTGACGACGATTTTGAATTGGATCCAGAGAATGGTCTGAAAGTCAAAAAGACAAATGTTAAAAAACGTGTTGTCAATAGTGCTTCTCTTGAAAATGTTGACGAGGTGATGAAAAGTTTTTTTTATCAAGTATCAAACTTTTTCTATGCATTTGAATTTTTGAAGTTTATAGATGATTTTAATGATCCTTAACTGCATCTACGTTTTCTTGGAAATTTATAAAATATAAAAATTAATTTATATATACATTCAAAGTGATCATAAATGTTTTACTATTTTGCATTAACAGTATATTCAGAATAGGACAAAGTTAAAAGATTTGAGGAATGTTGAGGTTGATGAAGACTTTAGCGTTAGTACCTCCATTCAAAATGACAACTTCTACCATCAGATATCTCGCTCAAGACCTTCAAAATTAAACAGCCTGCTAGCCAAGCGACAGGCACAACACCAACTTGATGTAAGTTGTAAAGGTCACTTTGAATCATTACTCATCGAATTTTTGAAGTCCAGATTGGAAAATGGAGTCAAAAATGAAAGCGGAAATGTGGATTGTTGTCAGAGTGATGAAAGGAGTAAAGTATGCTCTCCTCATGCATTTCGCTGCTATTCTTCATTGCATGCTTCACAAAATGTTAGTTTATTGAGTTTTTTATTTTCAATTCAAAATGCAAGACACGCAGGCACGCACACACAGACCGACACACAGACCAACATGTATATATATATATTGACTGAAAGTGTAAATTATATAAAAAATGCTTTTCAGAATAAAAGTAATTTAGAGTGCTATTCCACATTGTGTCGGCATGCTTGCAACACATCCACACTCTGCAACAAATTAGACAGTGGTACAAAAAGTTTGTTAACATCAAGTTCCGATTCATCTTCTTCAACATTTCCATCTGCAACATCGCTTTCCATGCTGTCTCTCCACTCAATAAAAAAAATGTTTCAAGACAACAATATTACTCTTACGACCGAACTTGCATCTGACATTCAACTGAAGTTACATACGTTACACGACACCAGGATTAGGACGTTTCTAAATGACAGTCTGTATGAAAAGAACCTAGGCAGTTGCAATGGAATGATCAAGAATAAATTTTTATCTCCGTCTGCTGATGAATCAACATCATCAATAAAATCTTCAACATCGTCTTTATCATCATCACTAACAACAGCCAGCGTAACAGCAACTGCAGCAACAAAATCAACTCTTCCACAGCCACAAAAATTTTCATTCAAAAATCGACACAGCATCTTTGCCATCGATAGGACGATTTTGAAAAAACTTGCACGTAAAGAAGGTTGCTGTAATAATGAGTTTGATTTGTATCAATTCATCAATTTGTTCGTTACCAATACTAATAAATTCATTTCCACAGGTTTGAGAACGATCATGTTCTACCACCTTCTTATAATTACATTTGTCCTATTCAACCTCCCATACTTTTCCAGTGTAGTTGTTTCTAACTTCAGATTTTATTATTTTTTCATCCTTCTTGACTTTCCTTTTTCCAATTTTTTCCAAATATGTTTTTAGTTTACATTTCAATTCTCTGTAATGAAATGTTTAAGCACTGTGAAATTATTACTAATATAATTATGCTGTTATTATTTTATTGTTTCAATTATTATTATTATTATTTTACTATTGCATAATAATTATAGTATTGTTATTGGTATTATTATATCGTATTAATTATGTTATTATTATAACCGTTCTTTATTATATATATTATTATAAATATTATTATAACTATAATCGTTCCAAAGTTTTCCTCCAGTTTAGCAACTCAGCTTTCTCAGTAATTTAATGATAATTTGTATATGATCAAATTATTGCTTTTGCACTTACTCTGGAGTTAACATTGGAAATCTACATTCTTTGTTGTATGATGTCATGTAATTAAGATAAAACAACTTCTCAACTATGATTAACATGTTAAAACAACATCTCTGTAGTTTTTTCTTGTAATTCAATGCACAACCTATATATATATTGTGTATGTTGATCTATACTAAATTTCGTTCTTTTTAATGTTCTTTTCTCTTTCATTTATTTTCATTTGGCTTAAAAAATTTTTACTTTAATTTTATAAAAAATTGTTTTCTGCCATTTTTTTTATCTAAGTTCTTGCACATTTATTGATAACTACCTTCCGTGTAACAACTCAATATTATAATATTGATTTTCTTGCATAATGCAAAAACATTCCATTTCTATTATAGGACGACGAGAAGTGATAGGATTCAGTTACAACTGTCGAATGACTAATGTTTGCTGGCCTTACCCAAGTTGTCGACCTCTTTTCAAAACTGCTTGGCAATATAGGACACAGGTCTTTAAAATTTTATCCTTTTTAAAATTTATTAACATTTATTTTTTGTGAGACCCATGTTCAATTTTTTTTTCTTTTAATTACAGATGGCAAGCAATATCTCTTCTATTGCCAATCAGTTGAAAGTAATGTGGGCATGTCTTAGATGGGACGACCTGGCTGTTAAACCTCCGTCAACTTTCATCAACACGGTGACAACTGAAACATCAATAACAACTACAGAATTGCTGAAGCGTCGAGACGTGCCGAACAGTGATAATATGAAGTGGGAATTTTTTGTCAGAAAAATTCTTATTCCCATCGGAATGAGCTCCTCCAATTGTCAGACACCCAAAACCTCAGATGGTTGGTTTGATTCAGTCAACATTTTTTTTCCTGTCAAATTATCCAAATATTTCCAAAGTTTCAAACAATATTTTATATTTATTTTTCAGCTATTTTATAGCCATTTGAGAAATATAACTTTTTTTAAATTAAATTAAAAGTTTAGTTTTCCAGGCTTTATTAACAGTTATCAAACAAAATTTTTTTTCTACGTTATACTCTCTTAAGTTAATATCTTATTGAAGATTACATTTTATTTTGTTATCACGTTTTTCATGTTTAACTGCACTGTAAAAAAACCACCACATCATCATCGTCACCATCAGAGAAGTACACGTCGAATAGGAGTGGGTTGCGACAAAGGAAGAAAATGGAGGAACCTGGCTTGAAGGATCCAGTATTAAGTGAGGAATGGCTCAGTGATCAACTTGTTGAACTTTGGCAGGTCATAACATTCGATGAAAAGTTAGTTGGCTAATTTTTAAATTATTTTAAAACAATATTGGCGAATTAATTTTATGTTCAATGAAGTATTAGTATTGGTGTAATTTTTATTTATTTTTGCAGAATGGAGAGAGAAAGATTAGAAGAGGAAGCAAAGAAAAAGAAAGAAGAGCTGATGATAAGGAGGAAGTTGGCTGAAGAAAGAATGAAAATCATCCAACAAAGAAAGCTGGCCGCTGCAAAGGTTCTTCATGCTTGATCCCGATCATATTCAAAAAGAGTTGCACATTTATAAATGGCTTTAAAAATCATTTATATGAGAAATTTTTACAAAATTGATAAAATATTGTTGCAATTATTGTTACAGATTTTAAATAATGCAGAGTTTATTTATACAATTATACTAGAAAATCTAATAATGTTGGAAAGATTTTAACTTTACAATCTTTTTAATTTTTTTTTAATATTTTATAGAATATTTATTGTACTTGAAAATATGAAAATATTTTGGAGAATAAAAATACATGCCCATTAGGAGTCTACAGTGGGCGGCACGTTGCACAATAAAAAGTTGGCAACATCATTCGGCAACAGTGGCAACAACGGGGCTGGCACCGTGAAGATCTATCAAAATCACTTGCAACAATCTTCTGCCGATGGTTTGTTTTTTTAACGTGATCAAATGCGGCATTACATGCTTTAATAATCTTTTGTTGTGATTATTTTGATTTTTTTTTAATCAAAGTAAATTTAGCGTTAAATATTGTTCACTTTAAGCTTGTAAAATTATAATGGTCTCGGCTGAAACAAATTTCAGTAAGCATTTAATTCGCTAGCATTTTTAGATACTTCAAAGATTTATTTTTCTTAAACTAATTGAGCTAAAAAAAATTCTATCTACCAAAAACTTTAAATTATTTCAAAATATTCATTATTTATTTCAATTTAATTATTTTACAAAATTTCCCACCACAGATGACAAAAATCCTTACAAGAACATTTGCATTGTTGCAACGGATGATGGCCAATTTGAAATTCATGGTTTACAATCAAGTAAGTAAATATCTCTTTTTGTTTTTTGTTCGTGTCTGATATTTTTTTGAGATATGTTGTGGTTTGAGGGTTATACATGCAAAATTCAAGAGACCTTAATAAAATAGACCAGCAGATAATACAGCTACCAAATGGAAACATTCACTTGGCAACGGTCAACATAACAACGAGTGATTTTGAAGAAGATGGTGGTGGCGACATTCAAACATTCATTCTCGGCCCACAAATTGTGATCTCATCTATCGACAGCAGCAGCAACAACAACAGCAGCAACAAAAGTAACTTGACAAAAGTTCAAACAGCAACAACACCAGCAGATGAGTTGTCATCAGCACTGATGGAAGATTCATCATCTTCTTCTTCATCTCATCAACCTATGTTTTTTGACAGTTCAACGAATTCTATGCAACCAGAGGATGATGTGTCACTTGTAAGTAACAGCAATGACAGTTTTTCTCTCACTCCTCAAGTTATGCAACAAGGTTCGTTTAGTCTTTAGTTAGATTATATTTAAATATAATCTTCTTTTTTTTATTTTTCTGTTATCTTAACAAATTTTCAGTTAGCATCTTATAAAGCAAATGCAGGTAAAATTTATGATTCCCTTCCTTGTATAAATATACAGGGAAGAGATTCATAAATTTTATTTCAATTCAATATCTTGAATGTGTTGTGTTTTTCATTCTTTTTTGGAATTTTAGTCTGATTTGTCTCATGTTTTATATAATTTATAACTAAAAAAAATATTGTAGTGAGTAGATTTGATTGCAACGAGTTCCCCGCCTGCCTTTTGCAATGTGCTTGATGTGTTGTTTCTTATTGTTATTGTTATTAAATTATTATTTTGATGTCATATTATTATTGTTGTTGTTGTATAACAGTTTTTTAATGCGATTATATTCATTCTCTTTAGTCGTGAATCAGGCCTTGACACAGACAAACAATCCTGACATACAAGAGAAATTGTTGGACATGCAAAAACTTGTGCAGAAGAAACTTCAACCTTCGACTTCATCTGCCGCATCAACACCTCTTTCTTCCGTCAGATCAATAGCTTTGCCAAAAACATTCTACAGAAATAAAACTCTTTCAAAAAATAAAACAGATAAATTTGCCAATATTAACAGCAAGGTCACAACAGCACCTGGCATTAACAAGAGTCTCAGAACAACTGACAAGAAGGAGCAATCCAGGTTCATAGTTGCTCGATTGTTATCCTATTAGTTGTCATGCTTGTTAAATTTTTCTCTTTAGTTCAGTTCTGCACTCAGAAATACTGAATGTTGAAACGATAAATTTTTGTCATTTGCTCTAATTGCTTTAATATTACATCATTCAATTATGTGAATTATGTGAAAATTTATTGTCACTCTAATCATAATTCATTTGTTTTACTAACCATCATCGAATCAGGTTGTTAGTCTGTGGTCAGGTCTTAAGAAATATCTTGGACAATGTTGTGAAGATGGAACGAATTGAAATGAAAAAGTATGATATAAATGTTTCACTTTTGTTTTTTATTCCAGAGCAATCTGTGCTTCGCTGGCATTTGTTTTGATGGTTAGCTTATCATTGATCTAAAATAAATTTGGTTTAGTGTGAATTTCATCTCGGCAAATCGTCTTCAAACTAAAATAAATTTAAGATGTCGTTGCATGAATTTCGTCTGAACATAATCGGAGCGACTATAAGGAATTTTTTCCACCATAACAGATTTAAATATTATAAAAAAAATCGATTTTGTCTCATTGCCACATTTGTAATTTCTATACATCAAGAAACAGGCTACATTACTCTCTCTTTTCGTATCTGCAACGATAGATATTCTCTCTCTCTCTCTCTCTCTCTCTCACTATATATATATATATATATATATATATATATATATATATATATATATATCCCTTCGGTTTATGATTCACAGAGATTCTGGAAAAATTCTCAATTATTATGCCATTACTTGCATGCTTCATACGATGGCATGAGCGAGTTCACACACTTCTAAAACTTTTGTTTTCTCACCAGTTAAAAAAAAACTTTTCCCAATAATTCATTACTGGTTGCCTTGTATAATTCAGCCAGAGTTCATTTTGACTCACATGAACATTTAAATGTATAATTTATTAGTAATGAGATTGTCTTGATTATATCCTTCTGTCATTACATTTTTTGATAAATCAGCTAGACTAATTCTACCTACTTTGCTAACCTAACTTGTTTAATATCGAACAACTATATTAGATTTTTATTTAATTAAATTTATTTTAATTTGTTTGTTGATTTGAGTAAACCCATTTTATTTTTGTTCTAGAAATGCTCGTGAAAAGTTGAAGCAAGATAAATTGAGACAGCTGGCATTGAACAAGTTGGAAATTATGCTGGAGAAGAGGAAAGAAATGTTGAAGAAAGAAATTATTCATAAACGACGACAGCTAGATGCTCGTTTAACGGAAAAAATTAAAGTTTTTCACTTTTAAAAATTGATATCTCTTTTATTCTTGATAAAAAATTTTTGTTTTGCGTTTCGTTGTGTATGTTTAACGTAATTTTTTTGTAAAATGTGTCAATAAATGCAATAAAATATCAGTTTATATATTTGCATTTTTGGCATATTTATTTATTTTTGCATAATTATGTGCATATTTAAATTTTGAAGAATGAACTAAAAGAAAAGGAGAGATTGGAAAAATTGGAGCACTCCTTATCAGCCAGTCACCAATGTGTAACACCTCATAAAGTTCAGCAACATTCAACTCCAAAGCATTCGTCATTATCGCCGAGACCACACAGACCAAAATCATCTGTAAAAAGATATGAAGCAGATGATAATACGAAGCATGGTAGAAAAAGGTTTAATTCAAATTCACATAGTGCTAAAAATTCAACTGGTTCAGTACAGAAGCATTCAAAAGAAAAAGACACAATGTTGTCGACAAATACAGAACATAATTCTTCTGCAGTAGAGTTGTATTGCATCTGTAGGACGCCTTATGATGACTCCAAGTTTGTTATGAATGCTACTTCATCAAATACTTATTTTAAGTTCTTTTTAACAAATTATTTGTGGATTTATTCTTTATTTTTTTTTATAATTCAATGAAATGTTCAAATAATATCCATCAAGTTAATTAATCTTTCTTCGTTTTCGCATTGTTGGTTTTTCAATTTCTTTTTTAATAGCTTATCATTGTTGCTTCTTTTAACTTAATTTTTTTTAAATGATGATTTGCAGGTTCTACATTGCATGTGACCAGTGCCAGGATTGGTTCCACGGCTCATGCGTTGGTATTTCAAAATGTGAGGCTGAACAACTGGATACATACTCGTGCCCCAGCTGCAAACAGACATCCAGTAGAAGTTCAGGCAATCAAAACAAACTCCTGACTGATGAACAGTGGATAGAAGTTCACAAGGTCATCCGGCTCCTCAAGGTTTCAATAATATTTTGTCTTCCTCATGTTATTAAATTTTCTGGTTCAATAATAATTTTAGACAAAGATATAGTTCGGTTCTCACTGAGACATAGCGCAAATTTATTTAGAGAAAAAAGCATGGACAAATCTTTAGCTCAAAAGCAAACTAAAGAAGAAATTTTTAAAAAAGTTAAATCTTTAAGGCAAATTTTCTTGAATAGATTAGTTTAAAACTTTGTTAAAACGTTATAAAAATATTCCTTTGTTACAACCAATGGACATTGAAAAAATTTTGAATCTGAAATTAGTTTGAGTTATTTAAATTATAATAAAATATAATAAATGTTTCTGAAGTTATAATTTAGAATTATGTGTATCAGTACTAGTTAAGATTTGCAATTTCGTTAACGTTTAAGGCAATTTTTAATTTCTTCTCATGCATATTTTAAAATTTTTCATACAAATCTTCGAGTTTTAAAAGTCAAGCAACTTACCAAGTTTATATATTTCGCGGCCGCTGGTTAAAGCAGATCGCTATTAACAAAACATGACAACATGATAGATTTTTTAAGACATATTGTATTTTATTCAAACCAAAAATAAATTGAAATAAAATTCATTTATTAACCAAAGCAAGTTAATTTTTTAAGCGCCATATTAATCGATGGGAACATATACGAAATTAATACTTGAACTATTGCTATCTATCCACCTAGACCTCTGAACAGGCCATAAAATATGTCACAATAATCTATTATTATTGTGATTTATTGTGAATTATAATTATTTTGAATTTATTTTTTGCGCTCGTAGATGTGATACACATTGAAATGACTGAATTGTTTCATAAGGAGAATTGCTGTTCTTGAACGTGTTATAAATTATAATAAAAATCCTTTCCTTCTTTTTCTGCAGCTTTACGGCTGATAGGCTATCTTTATGCTTTTGATCTTTGTTGGAAATCTTTTGAAAAGCAGGACAATTAGATATTGTTGAAAATGTTTTTCTCCTTAATGTATGATACTAGGCTTACTAGGTTTTCATTTTTAAAATTTGAGTGTATATCTTCTGGAATTTGGTATTTTTTCCTGCTTTCAATATGTTTGACATTCTATGCTGCTAATATATATTGGTGGATTGCTAGTTTTGCATTACATTTCTCGCAAAGTGGAGCTCTTGTTTTGTTTAATATCCATGAATATCCATAATAATATCCATAATGATCCGTTGATACTTATCTGAAAAATTAACATATATTAACAAATTTGGTCAGGTGCACAAGAATGCGTGGCCCTTCTTACAACCAGTTGATGCCGCCCAAGTTCCAGATTATTACAAAATCATTAAAGAGCCCATGGGTACGCACGTCTTTTTCTTTGAAATTTTTTCATTCTACATTATATAAGTTGCAAAAGTCTTTTAATAATTGAACTATTTTTAATTTATTCAGATATGACGACGATAGAAGAAAAAACGTGTAGTCGAAAATATGAAACTTTAAATGATTTTGTCAAAGATGTCATGCAAATATTTGATAATTGTCGTTACTACAATGCCCGCAATACGACTTTCTATAAATGCGCCGACATTCTTGAGATATATTTTGTCAATAAATTAAAAACTCTTAGAAGCAAATTAAACGATATGTGAAATAGGATCGCGGTTTCATTTATTAATATGGTTTCCTTTCATTCTTGTATAAAATCCAAACATCTACATACATGTAGGAGCACGCGCCGCATCCATAGATGTAGAAACCTGACGAGTTTCTATATCTATGATCACATCCAGCAGCTAATCTGTTATGTTATTTCATCGCCGTTTTGAAATTTAGCTCTTACCCTGACTCTTAACTTGAATAATGTTTATCATCATGGCTACCAATAAGCTCGGTTGAACGATTGTGTCATTTGTATATATCTTGTGTTCGTTGTAAATAGTTTTTGGAATGTTCATTTTATGACAGTTTCAATATCAAACATTTTAAATCGATTTGCTTTAGTTTAAAAATATGAAAACAATACATTTGTACTTTTATTTTGGATAGCACTTTGTTAACGCAATCAACAGTCAACATTAATTACATGATTGTTTTTGAAATTGAAATAATGATATAAAGAATAAAATTCAAGAATATTACGTAAGAATGCAATCATCAGTGTGACTGCTCCCTTGTATATACATACGTACATAACTTATATGAATTTGTAACAAGGTGATTTGCGGTCAATTAAATCAACTGGCATAATCATTTCTTTTTAGCCTGCTAACCTTAAACGTCGAACAACAAATAGATCTAGTCCACTCTTACAAAACAATAACGTTTGAATGAATTTTCATATGAACATAGTTGTAAATGCTGAAAACCACGTTACTCACAAACAAAAAATGGGACTTAATTAATGACTGAATGAATTTATTTGATAATCTCTTTATACATTTTGTTCAGTATTAAATAAATACACAAATTAGACGAACAAAAGTTTAATTGAAAATTTGATATATGCAGATATCAGTGGGCTGGAAATATGATCGCAAGCTATTAAAAACCAAGATAAAGAAGAATAAGGAAAAAATGAGCATGGTAGGGCATTGATAGGTATGCTTTCACAAAAAGATGGCACCACTGTGCAAGGAAATGCAATAAGGAAATATAGGTAACAACTTTTGAAATGATTGGCGTCCACAGCTGGAAAGATTCTGCTTAAGCCAGTAAAGAAAATCTAGAGTTTAACCTGTGATGTGATGGTGTGACTAATAAAGTTTTCTCAGAACATGGCGATCTGTACCTGACAATTTCATGGAAAATACATATAAAAGGATATTGATAGAAGTATGTGTATCCACATTCATAAATAACTAAACTGTACAGTACATAGATAGATGTACATTTAGAATATTGTAGAGTAGTGAACGAAAATAAACAATAATCATGGATAACGCTGTATGACAAGACCAACAAAAATAAAATATAGATTTGTGAAAACGCTCAACTAACTTAACGTTAAAACTAAAATTAATGAAATGTTAGTCTATCTTAACGAAAAAAAATCAACAAAATTACAAGTCACTGAATAAGTTACTTAGAATGGAATATTGAAATAATAGTTAAGAAACACGAAGAGAAACCATCTCGTTTCAACATGGACGTTTAGCATTGCACAGGTAATACAAATGTAATTACAAAAACAAGTTACTCGAAGACAACTTGGACACTGTGTACTTCCATAGTCAATTTACAAATAAAAATGAAAAGATAAATAAGAAAGCGAAGAATTAATTATCTACATGATTATACAAGTCCTATCTGAACTGGATGATTTGACATTACCATCATCTCCGGTAATCTCCTCATCGTCGTTCTGACTTTCATTCTTTGTGTTGTCACTCGTGTTGGAATTATCTGTTTTACCTGATATACTTGATGTCATCTGATCGCTCTCAGCCTTGTTATGTGTCTCAACAGAATTTTGTCTTAGTTGATTTGCCATACTTAATCGCTTGCTGGCCTGATTAGATGCTGACGACGATAATGATGACGTCGATGTTTTTTTTTCCAAACTCTCCAGTAGAAGAATATCTTCATGCAAACTTCTCAACAGATCTTCATAACCCAAACTATACAAATTGTATCATACATAGTTGTTCCTTATTTTGCATTTTTCAAAGATGTTGTATCACGTAATATAATCAACGCTAATTAAAGATATTTTTGAAGCAAGATTATAAAGATATTCGCAGCAGGTTTTTACGTTGCTTCAAAGGTCAGTCATACTTAAAAAACTACACCATTAACTCCCATTATGCATTATTTAGAGAAATGCCATTATATATCATATTAATATTACATTCTTATTTCTCAAGTTTATATTAACGATCATCTGCAGGCCGGCTGTTTCTACTACGCGGCAAGAATTAATTTTATTTACTTCAAAAATTTTTTATCTGCGTAACAAAAATAAATCGGCTGAAAAAATTTGGCATGTAAGCAATTTGCAAAGACTAACCATTCTGTCTCCGACCACTTTTTGAAAGCTTTGAGACCCTCGTTCATGCGTTTGATGCAATCTTCTGGCGTATCTGGTAGGTAGGCACTTGAGACAACTCTGCTGAACAGTGTCACATCCTGCAAGACGATGCTACACACAGATGCCCACTCATAACAATATGCCTCCATCAGTAGCTGGTACAGAAATCTAGATCAATACATGTTCAACCCAAAATAATTTTGTTGTTAAGTTTACGAGACTCAGCAGATGACAAAAAATTTAGAACAAACATCAAAAAGTTAATATAAAGAGGTTTAATCTGTAATAGAAGAAGGGGGTGAAGCAATTGATTCAAAAATTAAATGAAAATGATATTATTGCAAACAGACCTAAGTTGTATGTTTGATTGCGGTGGTCCGGTTTTCAAGGAGGCCAAATCAAGACAGAGGCGATCCATTTCACTGAAACTGGACATGGTGACGCTCGATCCAGTGACCTCATTCCATGAATCCGTACTTTCTTTCTCACATGAAGCCGTCTCTGAATGGTTCATACTGTTCGCTGTTTGTTTTGTACGTTTGCACTTTATTATTTTAATTATTTGTGACTTTCAACACATTATTAATATGTATTGGAAAACGATAAAAACATTAAAAAATTTAACCAGATTCCCGCGAGCTCAAGTTGATATAAAATGCGATGGCATGATAGCAAAAATGTGCTCCATTAATACGGTTCAAACGAAAACTAGAGAGAATAATAAACACTTGCCTAAAGCTTTGTAGGAGCTTTTAGTCAAAAAAAAAACTAAATTATACCTGTGTTATTGACATCTGAAGATTTTTCACTGACCAAATCCAGTTGAGAACTTCCTGAGCCAGTGCTAGCTAAACTGTTAGCTGAAAAAATACATGTGGCTATAAAATTTTTAGTAATTATCAATTTCAGAACGATATAAGAATTGAAAAACTACACGCAGCTATAAAATTTATATTAATCTATAGCATGGGAAATAACTTGAGGTAAGTCTTGTAAGATTGGAAAGTGGAACGACAGGGTACGGCCACTTGAAATCATCGTGCAGGGTCTTCAGAGCACTCACGTAATCATCGACACGGGCAGATAAGGTTCTGCATCAATTGTTTCAAAAATGGAAAAACAATGAAATATTTAAAAAATGATTTAAATTATATTGTTATTTATCAAAGCTGATTATTTTTAAACATTAAATAAATTTGCTAAACAGCCTATTTAAAAAAATCTACATCATATAAAATAAAAAAACAGATGATAAAAAACTATAGAAAACGCTAAATTCATGAAAACTGATTGAAACCTTTCTTTCTTGAGCCAGCTTACAAGTTGGTAATCTTCGAGATTGGCAGAAAACTTGGCGAGGTCCCGCAACTTATATGACTTTAATAATTTCTTGGCATGTCTGTCCAGGATGCTCTCCACATTAAATCTTTCCATGCTATCCGAATCCCTGGATGAAGTTGAAATGTGTCGACTGTAAAAATTTTATTTTAGCATCCAAATTATTACTCACAGAAATAAAGATAAAAATATAATCAATTTTCAACTTCCAAAAGTTGTAAACAAAAAATAGTATAAAAAAAATCAAATTTCGTCAATAGAGGTTTTCATTCCCTCTTTATACAAAACAGAACAAATATTCTCTCATCATTCGCTAATAAACATCTATCAAAACATTAAGAACGATTGAAACAGTATCTATCTGCTGAAGACTGACTGCTAGCTAATGAAGGCATGCTGGCAACCATTCGTTTGAACGCACCGGCGCCTGGCATTTTTATTAATTATATTAAAATTCAATTACACAGACGTAAAACTCCATTATTCTCAGCGTTTCAATATATTTCTGCCGTACCAATTTTTCTCAGACGACATTTCACCAACAAACTATATACATAACCTTAATGTATAACTGTATAACCTTAACTCTTCCTTCACATTAGAAAAGAATTCTCTTCTATTGTGAAAGTAGGTTTTTGTGACTTGAAATGACGTAAAGTAAATTCCAACGAGCCGCGTTAATTTTATTATGCAAGCCATACAAATATGAAATAGTGGAGGTATGTGTATGCGCATGCCTTAATTAGTTTCTTCAACATTTTTTTACACTAAGACTAGACACGTTCAAACTATTCAGTGTTGAAGCTTGTACAGATAGCGATATAACCAAAATGCTGCACATCTCTTTAGTGCAACAACGTAAGAAAGGATATGACACTCCCGCTAGAACTAACATGACAATCAGTTTAAGCAAGTAAACATCGACCTAATAGCATTGTTAATCTTTAGAGCGTAAAACCGATCATTGATAGAAACGAACAACCACCTCTTTGTAGCGTGATTGTCCGCCTTTCCGACACTTCCCTTCACCATGCCTTTAGGTAGTTGCTGTTGGTCTCGCGTTTGTTCTTCCTTAGAAAGACTTCTTGCTCTAACGACACCTCCATGCAAGAATGGATCAACTGCTGCCTCGTTAGTAGCAGATGGGCTGGTGCTATAGAAGCCACCTGAATGGTATATGGATTGACTGTTTTGTCGTATTCTCAACTTTGAAGAGCCACTTTCCTTCGTGTCACACGTCAAATCTGGAAAACAAATTTACGCAAATAAAAAAACTGCATCACAATTAATTTTTTAATAAAATGTCAGCTGAACGGAAATCCACTGACCAATGACAGAAAGATACCTGACAAGATCCCTTGCCAGGTCCCACGATGATTCATTCAGAGCAGCATCTAGCAGGGAGATGGCGTGCTAAGAGAAATGTTTGAATAACATTTTTTATAATTAGGTAAGGAATCGTAATTAACACTGATATTGGATGAAACTTTCATGTTCAATTTTGATTATTTGCAATGCAAATTATTTTCATATTACTATTATTTTGCGAAAAATTAAAAGAAGTTTTCCAAAAAATACAAACAAAAAAAATCAAATGTATAGATGAAAAAAAATCAAATGACAACAATTTCAAGTTTTGAGAAAATAAAAAAAAAACAACGTATAAACAGTAAAGTTTCCCTCACTTGTCTTGCTTGGTTAGGCTTTTCAAGGTTTTGTAGGATGATAAGGTAGGAGGCAGCAGTGGTCAGCTTGTGTGACTTCAAACAATCCTTCGTAAGAAAATAATTACGAAAAGGCTATGTTACACCAATTATTATTAAACTATATTATTTAGTTTTTTCTTTGATTTTCTTTCTCTTCCTCTATAGTATAGAGGAAGAGAAAGACTCTCATTTCTGAGAGTCTATACACTACCTCTCTCTCTCTCTCTCTCTCTCTCTCTCTCTCTCTCTCTCTATGTCTCTGTCTGTCTCTCTTTCTCTCTCCATCTTGATTTTTATGTAACAAAAATTCAAAAACGATTCAAAATCCCAATTAAGAAATTAATGTGTTGCTGCCAGTGATCCACCCCTGCAGAACTATTGAAAGACAGAAAAAAATAATAATTTTTAACATTTAATTGGATGTCAAATAAATATTTATCCAAAAACAAATTTGTATGGAGTACCATTTGGAAGATTATAAAATCTCTCACTATAAACATGATCTTAAATGTAAACCTGAAAGAGATCAGCCGGATTTCCAACCACACTAAAGAAATACTCCCACACGGCAACATCTGACTTTCTAGCACAATGAGCAATTGTTTGAAGATACTCGGGAAATTCTTCAACGAAGGCCACAACACGAGGCAATAAGGCATCTAAAAATTGAGATGCGGTCGTTAATGACATTGACCAAGTTCTCCAAACACAAGCATTCATCTCACCAGGGATGGGTTCTTTTGAGGTAGCTTCTTCTTCGAGTACTTCGTGGATGAGCAACTCGAGCACGTGAGGAAAGTACACAAGGTCTGTACAACCACGAGCTATCTCTAATGCATGGACTCCTAAACTGTCAATCAAAAATATCGATGAGAAATTTATTAATTTAACAATTTAATAAAAGGAATTCTGAAAAAATTCAAGAACCTACTTTCTTCTAAGAAGCTGTCTCAATATATGATGCAGATAAACTTGACTCTGTGTAAAGAAATATATCAACAAGTTTAGCAAATCGTCAACTGAAAAATCAATCCCAAAATGAGCAATGCAAAGATCTGATAGGACATAGGACAAGTCAACATATATTTCACCGTTCGTTCAAGTTGCAGATAAGGCAGCTGTCGTTGACCAGTCTCCTCACCATTGGTTGAGTAGCACACAGCCTCGCTGATAGCTCCCAATATAATTCCAGCCTCAAACAACATTGCTGATGTATTAATAACGCAAAGTTTAAATTTAAATATCAATAAATAAAAAAATTATTTTGAATTAAAACTAAATGATCTTCAATATTCCATTTGAGAGCTTAGAAAAGTTTTTTAATTGAAAATAGTGTAAGATATTTGAACAAAAGAAGGATGAAGATGAATAGTAAAATAAAACATTCTGACCTAGTGGATAAATATCAGCTGCAAATGGGAGCATGATTCGTTTGGAAAGGAAGCCCTTGTTCTTTCCCATGTCCTCTCTCTGCTGCAGTGGCAGCCAAACTTTTAAGCCTGGTGTAACAGTTTGTAAATATAAATCAATTCCATCCGCATTTCGTTGCATGCATTTTAAAATTTAAATGAAAAAAAACTTATCAGTTAACAAATAATATTGTTCAATAAAAAAGGAAGGAAGGAATGAAGGAAGGTATTAATTTGAGCAGCGCCCTTAGCATAGATTTTGAATTTATCATCCCAGTACATTCATAGTATATGAGCATTAGGCAGACTCGTTTCTGATAAGGGAAATCTCTTGTATTCAAACCCGATCACTACAAAAGAGTAACTGGACACTTGGCCACTACATCACATTCCCAAACTTTAATACTATAACTTCATCTCCATCATGTCAAAAAAATAAAACTTTCAAGTTCTGCAGTTATGTTACTGTTCAGATTGTAAGTGTCTGTCTGAGGATAAGCGCTGTGGAAGCACGCAGCGTAAACGTGGTCCCATGTTAAAGAAAGGCTGATAGAAACAATAAAACACATGACAAAATAGTTATTCCTCAACTAGCTGGTAGAAAAACAATATCACTAGTGAGAAATGAGACAGTGTGCAGCTAATTTTGCTTGGAAACATAAAAAAATACAATGTTTTAATGTTGAATCATGTAAACTTTGAGTACCATTAGCTCCACATCCAAGCCACAAAACGTTAGTCAAGTGAGGTTTCTGATGGTTCGACCTCCAGGACAACCACATATTTTCAACGGAAGATGCTACTATGACTGGAGCCGTGAAGGCCAACTGAATGTTTCGTAAAATTTCATCATCAACATTCTAGCTGACAGCTGCTATCAAAAACTAAAGCAAGAATATTGTAAATTATGGCAATTATTCACGAAAAATAAAACACCTAACAACGTACGCACCCAATTTTTCTGAGCGGATCCATCATTAGCAGTTGATCTATCTCGCTGGAAAAGCAGAACTCGACCAGCCACGTTAATGAGAATACTCTCCGCTTCTGTACCGTCATCACTGTTTTTCTTTGTTGAACCTCAGTACGTGGGTGGTAGAAAAATACTTCAGTATAAAATTATAACAGGTAGCACTTTAAACAATAGTTTATCACAGAAATCATCAAATAGATTTTCGTGTTATGGAACTACCAAATCATAAAAATCCTTACTAAAAGTATTACTATACAGATTAATAATAATTGTCAACTAAATGCACAAAAATTTCGCAAATTCTCATTAAAAATTAAATATTCGTAAAAGATGAAAAACTAAACAAAAAATTTAAGGACAATCTAGAAAAAATTATAAAATTATTCACAAATACACAAACTGTATACATTATTATAATAATATTGTATGTAATAGAAGCAGTTTAACAGGAATGAAAATGAAAAGAAGAGAAGATTGTAAGGAATGTATCAACCAGCGTCCGTTCGCAAGGATGTGAGAGTAATTGCTGCAACATTGGATGGATGGGGGATGAAGTTGATGATGTTCACCTCTTGAAGCTTCGTTACATTCAACTCCAGGAAAGCTGGGCGTAAAAACAAGATGAGCTTAACGACGTAATTTTATGATTGAAAAACTTTATATATAAATAAGCTAATTTATCTGGTAAGCAAATGCATTAACTTTGTCACAACTGAGACGTAATTAATAATTAATTAATTATAATTAATTAACATCAGAGGTCATAATAGCACAATATAATAAATGCAGAATATACAATCTAAAGAATGACACAACTGTGGTAAAAAAGCAACAATTCGAATGAACATGTACTGGTTCTAATGCAAATAATTGTGAACACATATTAGCAAATCCACACAATTTAACAAATATAAATAAATATCACAAAAGGTTAGTCAAAATAAAATTTTAAATTAAAAGCCATCGACCAAAACAAAGTTTATAAATAAATCAACAGAATAATAAAAAAGCTGAGCTTACATTTATGGGCAGACATTTTTTTGGTGATATGATAAATAGCTATGATGCAGTCTGAAAAAAGAACAATGAGGTAATCATAGAAGATATTCAACAGGACGATTTGGGATGGCGTCTTGACGACATGGGCAAATGCGTTGTCCAACTTGCTGTCGCGAGGATAAAATCGAACCTGATGTTATATGCGAGGTTATTGGTTTGAGTCATTATGTAAGAATTGTAGTTTTCATAACAATTATTACATAAGAATCACTGCTTCACAATAAATTAAACAAATTTCAACGTTTTTCTGTGTGTATATTAATTGAAAATAGTGGTTTTCAACTAATTTTGACTTCTTGAATTCAGTGAGGAAATCCGTATTTTCTAACATATCAATTTTTTTAGACATGAGACATTGTACACTTTTACAAAAAGTTTTTTGAAGTATTTCAAAAAACCTGGCATGCTAGAGAGAAAACAATTACATACTAGGATTTTACGCACCAAATTACAAATTAATTTATGTATCATATCCAATGTAAAAGGTGCGCGTCAACTAGTATCATTACGTAACAAATTATTGCAGTTTCATGATAATTTACTGTTCGTAATGTCTGCTTGTGTATAAGTGTATTCTATATGAATATATTTACATGATTTTATTTTTACTCTACATTAAATATACAGTAAACAAAATTAAGACTATAAAGTTGGGATCTAGAAATATGGAAACCAGTGAACCAAAAATAATTTAATAAATTATTTATCAACGATTTTACAGGCAGGTAAAATTACAAATAAAATAATTTAAACACAAGCAGAGACAACCTCATCCCTCTGATCGAGCATGTTGTAGCAGGCAGCACAGATGAACTCCCTCCACCACAACAAACCGCCAGCCACCATCATGTCTCTTTCCTGCGTCAGTCATGTGATTGTGGTGTTGGTGGTTTGTGGTGTGATTAACGACGCAATTAATTTATTGCAGTGGTTGATGTCATCATGTGACGTCATCACATGCAGAGATGTAGTTTTTTATATTAATCAAATGATCAATTTATTATATGTATAGTGACCAGTTAAATTTTTGTCATAAATGTGACCGGAAAATAACAAAAGACCAAAATGTATGATAATAAAAGTTGAGGAAACAATTAGATGATGATTCCTTAAAAAATTTACAAAAACAATTTAAAGTTGTCCAAAATTATTCCACATTAGAGATACTAGATAATGAATTAATATTATATGACAGTCCACTATATTGTATGTACAAGGGTGAATATTATTATTGTTATTAATGGGGTTTAAAGTGGCTCAGAAGATTATAGTCAGTGTAAGAACCACTACTAATTAAATTGTAATTGGAAGAAGAAAAGGAGAAAGAAGAGAAACGTCATCAAAAGAAAATAAATTGATAAGATGATATATAACTTGATGTAACACTTCAAAGATTGAAACTAGAAAAAAATCCAAATTCACTTTTTATAAATGAAAATTTAAAAGGTTGTACAAACTACTCAAAAAAATACCTGCATTTCATTGCCAAACATCTTCCACTTCCTCGTTGACAGTGCGTAATGCACCATGCCCCTCCTACCAGCTACAGCTATCCAGTGGCCGGATGAACTCATCGCTGCATACTGCAAAAAAAAATAGTTTAAAATAACCGACGTTGAAAATTTGATAGTAATTCAACTCAAAATAAGTATTACTGCCATCTGTTAAAACTTAGAACAAGAACAGGAAAAAATGAGTACATACTCTAATGGGCCAGTTGTTAACGATGTAGGTGGATGGAAGAGTCATGACGTGCCACTGTCTGTTGCCTACTATAGCAGAAGGTGTTTGATGGAAGTATGCAGTACTCGATGATTCACCTGTTCATCAAAATTCAACCAATACGCAACAATCATAGTGTGTTTTTTCAAAACTATCGATACAATCGTTATCCAATAACATGTCAAAAGCAAACAGTACATTTTCTAAGGGCAGTGCAAAAGTTGCGAACAAGAAATTTACCAGATTCAATCTTCAAATAAAAATTTAATTTAATTCCACTTTTAAATAATGAAAAAGCAACGCAGACAACGCAGACCGACCTAGCCCATCTTCAGGATTCAAATAAAGTCTGTCCTCTCCTTGCAAAAGCAGATGAACTTGGTTTCCCTGATTGATATTTTAAGGAGTGCATTCAACACAAAAAAAAACGTATTAACACTTTTTATTAAACAATTTTATTAAACAATAAATTCTTCTAGCATTCTTATAAAAGCCGTCACAGCAGTCCCTTCCAAATATAGTGAACAATCCTGGTTAAATTGTTATTTCCATTATAATAAATTATACTACATTCGCAGATGACATTTGGAAACAGCAGACAAATGTGATAAGCATCTGTAAAATATGACTCACAAAACATGGATTCGCACTGAGAGAGCTCTTAACAAAACTCAGAACCATCAAAGTTGAAGTTGCTGATGAAGATGCAGTAGCAAGAGATGATGAAGTAATCGTGGAAGCGTCCTGTGAAATCAACGTTGTCGTTGATGAAGAGGCAGATGGTGGTACCACATGCATGTCATCAGTTTCATGCAGTTCGTTAGTGACATTGTTACTCGTAATATCATCATCTCCCTCATCTCTGATCATCAGTAGGTGATAACCCTCACAACCCCATTCCTAAAAAAAAGAACACAAATCTATACTAGAATCATAGTCAATAAATATGCTATTTAAGGCTTGGGTCTATAAATTGAATAAAAAATTGAAAATAAATATTCAGTTATGAAATTCAAGATATATTGGAAGTATTGAAAAATTCAGTTAATATTGCTCAATGATCAATACATGGTAGATAGGTGCAAGCAAATAAAATGAAAGGAATTCATTTTTCAAATTTGATAAAAATTATTTTAAAAATACTTACCAGTGACGTGAACTTGAAAAATTTCTGATCACCACTGTTGAGTCTGCAAAAAGAAAAACTTTCTTGCAATTGCTAATTTTACAAATAAAAATAACAAAAAAATAATGCAGCATATATACAGCGCCATGAGAACAGTTTCAAGAAGCAGTCAGCTTACCACAAAACTCCCACCATCTTGCTGGCATTAGTTAGACATCATGAATAGAAAAATTGATAAAATTTTTAAATAACAAAAGTGTAAAAAGTTGACACAAGCATTTTTAAAGCTTGAAAATATTTCAGACATTAAACAAGCATATAAATATATTTTTAAAAACTAACGGCTGAAATGTCATCAATTTGAACAGTTAGATAAGATATATATTATACCATCTAATATATCTATAAATAATTACTATGAAAAAAATGTATGCTAAAAAAGAAATAGATAAAAAACTTAATGGAATGAACAATTCAAATGAAAACTGTAACCCCATAGATTGCAGCAGTAGAGATCCAAAGACGCTCCAGATGGCAAAGCCGCCTTTCAACCAAGACATGGCAAGTGCAGATCCATCCGATGTCCACCTCATCTTCATCACAGGACCACAAACTTGGGATGCATCTTAATGAAACATCATGTACGCAGCTCAATGATATGTTGCATCTTAATGAATGTCAGACATTTGAATAAAATGTCAAGCACACGTTGAAAAATATTGTATCCACAAAATGGAGGATTGTGATAAAGTTGCAAACCTGGGAATTCTTTTGAGGATATGATAAGTCTGTGAGAGACAACTAAAGACCCCGTAACTGCATCCAAGTTGTACACAATGCCCTGTCCACTGGTGCATTGTAAATAATTATGTTATCAACCAAAAGTAACAAAATCTTTATATGAAGAAATTCAAACAAACAACAAATATTAAACCTTGCATCTCCAAAAACAATGATGGCATATTTGTGATTAATAGAAACACACGTTGCTGATGTAGAGTCTTGAGCCCAAACCCCAACAACTTGCTAGAAAAAATTAACTTATTTTCAAACTGCCTACATTCTATGTTTAAAATGATTAATTAATTCAATAAAATTAACTGCCTAACAGTCGGTAGAAAAAGCTTAAAAAATAGGAAAACCTCAAGTTAAAGTTGAGAAAATGATGTTGAAAATAAGGTGCCCAACTAAAATAAAATATATTTCTCCAAACATTCAATAAAAATAACTCATTAAATGAAGAGAAGAAATAAGCCGACATGAGGTTCAAACTTAAGACTGTTTGCAGCAAGGAAAGCTGCCCTGCCATCTGAGAGAACAACAGCAAAACCACCCATCTGCGGACTATAGTCGATCAGTGAGACATGGACTGAGGAATTGTTCAATTGTATGGCTGCAAAATTTTTAATAATACATCAAATTATGTTGAACAAATTTTGTTCTCTAATCTTTTTTTGCTAAAAGCAAACTCTAGTAAAACACACAATATAAAACAATATGCACAAAACTTTATGTAAATTTGGTATGCAGCTGATAACTTGAAATATTCAGAATGCTTAAACATGATTAAGTTGAACAACATAAGCAAAGTACAATAATATAAAATAAACTGACACAAAACAGATTAGACAGCATGGTGTAAAAGTATAAAGTGTCAGTAAAAACAAACAAGGATTTAATCAATTGAAATGGCAGTTGACAAGATGAATGAACAAACATCTGGAATGTTGAAGGTCAGCAGAGAATGGCAACGAAGCAAGTTCAATGGTAGCATTGGACTTTATGTGACCATCCGACCAATAAATCCTTTGCAACAAGCCCCTACTTGTAGATATCATAATCTCTTCACGCAAACTAACCATGCTGTCGTTTAAATAAAACATTTATTTAAATCAAACTCTCTCCCTTTTTTTTTACATATTTTTATGTTTGTTCTAAGTAATATAATAATGATCTCTACCAGAAAAAAATGATAGAACATTAAAATAGAAAAACATGGTCAACATTCAGTTAAACAAACCACTTTAAATTAAAAAAAATATTTTAAGAACCTTGTAACACCTCCAGGAATTTGTATATAATGAGACATAGAAATGTTCAATGAGGGAATGGTTTGAAAATTTGATTCGCCATCTTCAGGTAAGATGCTTGAGCTAAATCTTAAATAGTTGAATTCGTTTCAAAAAATACTGATTTAAAAAAGCAATGAACAAAATAACCTTTGCTCATAGCAAGTTTGAGTATTTGTCGTCTTCTCCAGTTTGAAAAAAATAATGTAACCAAGAGATGTCTGCAAGATATTAATGAAGATAAGAAAGACAAAAAACTAAAATTTTAAACATAAATAATCACTAACAGCTATAGCTAAATAAGATGAATCTGGTTTCCATTTGCAAAATTGATTATCACCAAACTTGGAAATGCATGCTCTTGTTCTTCTGAAACCAACTATTTCAACATGTGGCTGCAATGCAATTAGATTTACTTTATTTAATTAAAATCATACTCTTTGATTGTTAATTTTATTAATAATAACAACATTAGACATTAGTAAAAGATAATAATAATAATATTAATAATAATAATGATAATAATAATAGTAAAATAACAACACTATAATATTTTATGTAACAAATAAGGATAACATAAATAACAGAAGAAAGATACTTTGCAGAACCAAATCCCAACAGTTTTTTCGCTGAGAACGGCCAAAAATAATTTATCAAAACTGGCTACAACATCCAAGAGTTTACACTCATCATTGTAACAAACTTTTAGACATCTTGGCCAGCCAATAGGAAAATACATGATAAGCTATTTTTTTAATTGAATTTGAATAACAAATTTGTAAAAAATATATTGATCGTAGATCAATCAAAATGAAATTTCTCCATCCAATGATTATTGTTTGCGGTTCAGAAGTTAAGATAAGGGCTATAACAAAATAAGTTAGGAATAAGTAAGGATATTAGCAGCTAACTAGTGGTAGTTTGTATAGTAAGTATATTAGATTAGCATTTAGCAGTCATTAGTTAGCGTTAGAAGTTAGGAAGGTAAGTAAACCAAGGTAGTATGTGTGACGGAATCACAAAATAAGAAAAAAATCATAACTCGAGTTCGCCATGGTTTAGAATTTTATAAGCCATTTCGAAATTTCTATGTTGAAAATGTCAATCTTTTCAATGTCAATCAATAGCATTTAATCATTATTTAGAAAAGCATTTATTTCTGCAACCAAAACAAATGTTTTTTTAATTTAAACGCATGTTTGGCTTTCGTCGATGAAATTTTAAAATATGGCTCGCTGCTACATTGGCTAAATTAAAAGAATTATTCCCTTTGGAATCTTTACGAAAATGCTCCATTTTATTTATATTATTGAATATTGAATAACTATTGACCTGTCGACCAAGAATTTTAATACCGACATCGCTTGCTCTTTCTAAGTAAACTTTATTGAAAGCAAAGCAGCAATGACGTCGCAGCTCCATTACAATGGTGTAGGAAGATGCCAGTGTGAAAGGAATGTCGAGGCGACTCAGTGTTTCTACTACATTTATAATTATCTTTATTTTTACATAGTAAACAAATGACTAAGCCCGGAACAAAATAAGTTTGAAAAATATCGATATTGCCATGCCCTTTGAGCCACTTTATTGCGATGGTCATGACTCAGATCACAGAGAAGCCTAAATAGTCATGCAACACCTCAATGTTAATGTTCAAGTCAAGTGCATTATTTCAATTGCTATGTGTAATCTGAAGCTACCATTGGGTATTTTATAATGTCAATACCCTATCGTATTCCTCCCATTATATGCTTTGCTGGCAATCGAACATCAATGACGTCGTATTGTTGCAGGAAGCTGGAAATCATAGCATAAGTCTCGGTAAACGACAGATAGCCAAGCAAATAAGTACCATATAACGACAAAAACGCTTCCAACTGAATTTTTCCGGTCTTGTGGTATTTTCAATTTAAATGCATAATTCATTGAAGTATTCATTCATATACTTAGAACGTTGACCTGGGAGCGACTGCATAATAAAAGCTTCATCCAAATCCACACAAGATATACAAGTATAAAATGTCACGTTTAAGACATAAACAAAATGAAATTATAAATTCTTTTCATATAATTTTCCTACACAATCAAGACGTTTATAAAAAAAGCTTTCAACATTTTTAAAATCAGCAAAGCCCGTGCGAACTCGCGTATATACATGCAGCGCAAAATATTACAGTTTAGTGGTTGTATTACTTTTACAATGTTTAGTGGTTGTATTACTTAAGTCAAACTTTTTAAAAATGTGGAATTGTCATTTTAAACCGCTAATTTTGTGACAAAATAAAACAAAACTGTATTGATGATATGATTAACATTTTTAAAGTGTTAAAAATATTTACAAGAATTATTGTTTTTATTAATCGTTATATTCCAATTCATTGTCGTCTTTTTCCACTACTCCGTGAAACGTCAATTCCTTGGTTACGTTGTTTAGATATTCAGGATCTGGATATCCATGTCCGGATTTGTTATCCATTTCAGTCTTGTGATGAATTTCATTCCATACGACAACATTCGCACGTCCAGTGGTCACTGAAGTACCGATCGTAAAAGTGAGTCGTCTGAACCAAGCTTTTTTCAACAACTGCAAAATCTTCAAATAAAAAATTGATGTTTTTAAAATGTAAAAATCAACTGAGTGTTAAACTGCTTGATGAAAAAGAAAACCTTTAAACCATCCAAGTTATGAGGCAAATAGCCATATCGAGGAAAACCAGTTGCTGTATACTGCTTACCAGGGTTTGGATGGAAAGATTCCTAAAAAGTTATTTCTTTTTGAAAAACATGCTTTAATACAATTATATATTTTTATTCAAAAAGATAATTTTAAAACAATGAATGAATTGTCCGCCTGTTGAGCACGAAAAACAATGTAAAGGTAAAAGTGGTGAAAGCGTCATTGTAATCGCGCGATGACCTCGTTCGAATATTCTGTCCATAACTTGGAGCTATCAAGTGCACTTCAAGCATACACAAAAATGTCTTTGTCGGACTAAAAAGTTTGATAGCAAAAATATTCCGAAATAAATTAAATTTTTAAACGTTGGAATACAAATTTATTTATTTATCTTGAGCTTACTTTAGTAAATTAAAAATCAGAACATGGTAGAGACTTTAAATTACATTAAAATCTATTCAAATATAAATAAAAAGATAACAAATTCGTTTTAAAATGTTACTTGAATGCCATTTTTGATGTCGTAAGTAATTTTGATGACGCCACAATCTGGGTATCCACTGAGTGAACAGTTGTTGAGAATTTCATACGACATAGATCCAGATGGACAATCTCCATACTTTATTCCGTATATATATTTGCACGAGGGACATTGTATGCTGCCTTCCTTTTTTAGTGGAATAAAACACAAAAAATTCAGGTTGTCATCCTCTCCAATATTTTTAAAAATTTTAATAACAATGTAAAGTAAATGCTAGCCTTACTTTTTTGCCACTATTGTACATCGCTAAGAGACAGTTGTAATGGAACACGTGAGAACATTTATGCAGTTTGATTACTCTGTTAGGGTTGTCTTCACAACTTTCATCGTCATCAGCAGGAAATGATGAGACATTTTTTAAACTATCACAGCAGATGCAACAATCCTTATAAAAAAAACCGGATTAAGTAAGAAAAATAAAGTTTAAATGTAACCAGAAATTGAGAAAAACCAACAAATATTTGTGATACAGGCTAATGTAGAATTTTCTTGTCACCCTTATATACATTCAATGCGATTTCTATCAATAAACCAGGGATGTTATAACAATTTACTTTATATAATATAATGCATTGTGCGTAGCTTCAGAGGCTCATTTGGTTCCAAAACTTTCCGCATACACACAGCGAGGCAACGTACCACATGCACGGTTGCACGCCTATGACAAGCGGGAATATTTTTTGCATACTAACGCGATAACTACATGGGCACTTCACAACTACATCATGTAGACGCCCTTGCAGACATAGAAGCACGAAAAAAAGTTTTAGACGGGAATCGTTACAAAATTTGCTCTGGGGTTTAACAAAACGAAAGTTCCTTAACGGGGTATAAAAAAGGCTCTAAAATGCTTGAAAGAAATATTGTAGAAAATTTGAATGGCATCCCCGAGTAATAAACCTTGAATCACAAAACTTTAAGGAAAAATTATGGTTTAGAATATGTGACCAGTGTGTACTTTGTAGTATGTAAAAATAGTCTAGACAGGGCATGTTGAAAGGAATGGAAAAAAACACATATAACACGCAAATACATGAACATACATGTCGGGCTGTTGTTGGCTGTTTTCGGCAATTATTTAAAAACTACGTATAATATACATTATTTTTCACTATTAAATCCAGAAGAACAATTTATTTATTTTTGTTGTGAAACAAATTTTATTTTGAGTTAACATTAGAAGAAATTTTTATGGAATTGCTCAAATTTTTTTTTTATTTCTTCTTCCTTTCTTCAACTTTTTTTCAAATGTGTCAAGAGAGGGTTCTATCACTAATTGGGTTGCCACAGTGACTCTTGAGAGACAAATACGTTGCTTCTAGAAAAAAAAGTTGTGGAAATTACAAATAATCACAAACGGGGTTTCAATAGATGCCATTTAAAATTTGAACAGGAATGTAGTTAAAAGTCATGGAGCAACAAAGAATGTCGGTTGAAATAGCCAACAAAACTTGGACAAAAATACCTGAAGTGTTTAGTACAAAAAGATTCCAAATAACGTTGTGAACATGTCTGGTGTGCATACTATTTTGGAAAAAACTTTTAGTAGTCTTGCATCAGAAATAAACATCTCATAGGTAAGTCTGGTGAGACAAACATTAAAATGGACAACGACGGAATAAAACCTGCTCCAAAAAACGTTAAAAAGCAAAAATCAAATACACATCAAACAAATTAGATATTTTGGACAAATCACAGCAATAATAAAATAACTTGAAGTGTTGATGATGAAGATATATAATAAATATTTAAATAAACTCACTTCGTTCTGACACATTGAGGAATCAAGAAATATCATAAATTTTTTAAGAGAAGTAAATTTTGTTTCACCTGTCAGTGCAAAAATTTTTTTTAACTCAAATGGTATTAAAATTTTGTATTTATTTTTTCTTCTGAAATTAATGGAGTGTCTAAAATAGATATTTTGGTTCTATTAAACTTGAATCCGTTACATTTGAAAGCTTAAAACTACAAAATCATCTAAAAACAACATCTAAAATTCAGAGGTATTAATGTGGATATATTATATATATATATATATATATCCATGGGTATTAACATAGAAACAACGTTACGAAGACGTGCAAAATCACATTTAATTCTGACAACACTCAGTCTGAAATACACCAAATCACGAATTCCAGTTATTTGATATTATCAACAAGTAATGACGTTTTATATTATTCTTATTATTATCCAGAACTTTTGAATATTTCTCTAATGTGTCAACACTAACAAACAGTGCAAAAAAACTCATTAAAACCCAGCCATTGCAATACTTTTACAGAAATCAATAAAGATGTGCCAAAAAATCTTATAAAGATTAAATAAATGTGAAAAACAGATTTCAATGAATTTCATTATAAATTAACAAGTAACCTTCATTATTTAAAACATCGATTTGTTTTACACCATCTACCTCTTTTGTTCTCGACCTTCTTTTAAGCCTATCTCCTCTAGAAGTGCTAGCATTGTTTGTACTACTTCTGAAATTGTTAACGTAGTTGTTGACATTTGTTGTTCTAGTTCGTTTTCCAAGACTGGTTTTTGAACGTGTAAAAATCATTTGTCCACTTTGTACTGAGGTCGACTGACCATTAGAGAAATTTTGTGCTGAAATGAATTTTCAAAGTAAAAATATGATGAAATAAATTCCATTTTTATGACAAATATATTAATTATCAATAGTAAAATTTATTATTCATTCAATTCAAGAAAATGTTTGCTTGAAAATATTTTTTCAATTGTTTGTGATTTTGTGTTTGTAAACTAAACTGTATCTAGTATTTAATCTGTATCATTTAGAATACTGAATCCAGGTTTCAAAATTAAATGCCAAAAATATCGAAACGTTTAAATGACAAATAAAAATAATTTGAAACAAATATAATACATTAGTAACTATAATATAAAGATTTTTTAATATTGATATTAACAGAGATTTAGCAATGTTAGCAATGAAGAGTATATATGTAAACAATTTTGATGTCACAAAATAAACTTTAATTTATAGCTATGAAATGTGTAAAAATAAAAAATTAACAGCATTCACAATTTTACTATTGAGAGTTCGCCTTAAATTGTTCAAATGATATCATCATAGGTCATTATCACAAAGTCAGACATTGTCATCATATTGCTAGAAATACATTACCAAAATGTTGCATCTTTGACTGCAATAGTGATTACAGCTTCTTTGCATTAAAAGCATGCCTAGTTTACTTCTAAAATTCTTCATTTCTAACCCCTTAGATTTCAATTTTGGTAAAATTTAACTCAAAAAATGTCTAGTTAAAATTCTTTAAAATTTATAAGCATGTTTTCCATCCAATGCTGAAACTATTCAAGTATTATAGAAGGCTTCTTGGCAGTGGAGAGTATAACAATTTTGTTACGGAGTGCTAGAAAAAGTGCTAGGTATGAAATTTTAAACAGAAAATAAAACATTAAAAAAAAAATACTGATACAAAAAATTGAAAATAAAGAATGTTTTTTAAAATAATGCTCTTTACAGAAAAAATAAATATTTATATCAATTTTTAAATGAAAAAATGCTTTTTCTATTTGAGAAATTATTTTATATAAATGAAGGAGGGGATCTAGTTATTTGTAATGATGGTGTAACAGAATGAGTGGATGGTTCCAAAAGTTGTTTTTCAGGATACATACTAGAATTGGTTCATATAAACATCTCACTAAACAAAAATTATAAATGAAACTTCTATAGTTATGAATAATTTGAAAATAAAGTTAGAAATCTTACTTGCTGAACTGGAATTGTTCAAACTAGAAGTATGAATAAATATGTTTAAATATAAGGGTGAAAAATCATATAAAAATATTAAAAATACCCATTGCCGTTAGTTTGTTGTGCAGTCATTTTATATGGTATGTCATAAATTGTTCGTTGCACATTTCTTTCATAACCAGTGATAATGTTTTTTTGAACCATTGTCTGAAAATCTACAACATAATTCTGCAAAGAAATCCTTAAATTAAAACACTTTGATTTTCTTTGGTATGATTTTTCTAATTCATCTGAAATTTCAATAGGGTAAATATTCCATTGTTGGCCATCATTACCAAGCCACATCCAGGAAATGTTATTGGACAATGTGTTCAACAGTGGATGACAGAATCGTCGTATGCCTCGACTAACACCTGAAAATTTTTCATAAAATAAGACTAAGGGTACTTTTAATATTTTAAAAAAGCTCATATAAAATCAATCAAATTATAAAAATATAATTTGTCAAGTCTAGCAAAAATGACAGATAACAAGGTAGCAAAACAAAATGAAAATTATTCAACATCAAAATAATGTCTGTGTGTGTGTGTACTTATTAATTATTTACAAGAGAATAGAATGATAGATCAAATTTCAAAGTTGTTCCACTTCTTGTTTATTTTATATTATATATAATAAAATAAATCGACATTTAGATTTAATTAATTTAATTAGTTAATATAATTAATTTTATAATTACTAATTAAAATTTAATTATTATTAAATATTAATTAAAATTAAAAAATATTAAGGTCATTTTATATAGCCAGCGCCATGGCAAAAATATAGTGTATCTATTAAATAAAAACATGTGATTCAAAGCATCACACACTTTAGCATGTGATAGGTAGGAATTTCTTTGCATTCAAACCTGAACACTGCATGCCAATAGTAGTTTTTTATTCGTTTTGTGGAAAATAAAAAAAAACCACCACCTGAGGAACTTATTTGTTTATTAATTTTCAGGTCCAAGCTGTATGACGACAGCTTGGGATCAATCACTTTTAGCATGTATATAGTGTATCTATTAAATAAAAACATGTGATTCAAAGCATCACACATTTTAGCATGTGATAGGTAGGAATTTCTTTGCATTCAAACCTGAACACTGCATGCCAATAAGTAGTTTTTTATTCGTTTTGTGGAAAATAAAAAAAACTACCACCTGAGGAACTTATTTGTTTATTAATTTTCAAGTCCAAGCTGTATGATGACAACTTGGGATCAATCACTTTTAGCGAAACCTTCTTTATTTTTTTAATGAATGAGTCTTCAATAAAGTTTGAGACCTCCGATTTGTATGGTAACCAAGCAAAACCATCTTCCTGCCACTCCCAAACAACGTACTTACTGTCAGAAATATCGTTACTCATTTTTTTAAAATATTTTAAATGAATAAAAACTAAATTCTCTTAATATTGTTTTAAATTTAAATTCAATTGAAGTTAAGATGACGTAAACGTTTAATTAAGAAAGAAACCAGCCGATAAAACTAATTCATTGTGAAATACCATGGATATATTTATATTCATGTGTGAAATACCCACACCAAATGTATATTAATTAAAATATATATGGGACATCCCATATAATTAGAATACATCCTATCTACAAAAGCATCCGCAGTCCATTGGCTCGAATTTTATCGCTCATTAGTTTGTTTCAAATTTAAAAAATACGAGAAATATGGATAGTCGAAATTTCTATTAAAGCCACATTTAAACATTTCAATTTAAAAATTGTATTAGAATAATGTGGCACATTTAACGGTACATTGTAAGAGTTAATTTAATGAATTTAACCATTCACATTCAGTTATAAACTGATATGCAATTTTCCAATTTTGAAAAAGATAATTATCAGTTTTGTTTTTATTGATTTGTTTCAATTTGAAATATATTTTCAATCACTTCAGAGAGTAACAATTTCGATCTAAAACTAGATCTCCTAATTGGATATTTAGTATTAGCAGTTGTGTTCAAAACGTTTCACACAATGAGTTCTGATCAGCGTTGTTTTCAATTTGGAGAAGAGAGCCAATGACTGCCAATGTTTGATGTTATTTCCTGACATTGAAAATCCATGGAATGTTTCTTATTCATCTGATAGCGTGATAAATTCATTTACTTGCAAAATTGGTGATTGTTTACATCAAAAATCATTTTATATATACCATTGTTCTAAACTGTATATTTGTATTCCATCAATCAATCGATCAAAATGAATCAATGATCCTCGTTCATGAGGGGACCGTCGAGGCCGATGGTATATATCTAAGCATGCTTTTTACATTTCTTTTTCTTTTCAAAAACCTTTTCTATCTTTGGCCAATTTTATTGAATTCAGAATACCAACACCAGTCCATTTAGTAATGTCGTCTATCCATTTCTTTGCAAATCTACCAACTTTTTTCTTCTAATCTCTTTTCCTCATTAGTACCATCTTAATCAATCTGTCTTCTCTCATTCTACAAATGTTGTCCAAAAAGTCCTAATTTTCTTTCTCTGACTTTGTCATATACACTTTTTCTGTCTTTCAAGTTGATTTCTGATGGTTTCGTTCTTTACTTTCTGCCTCCAACTGATTCCCAACAAATTTCGGTAACACTTCATCTCAAATGCTTCCAGTCTGTCTGTCTCTTTTCTTTATTGTCCATGTCTCACATGCATAGAGCAAGCTCGGAAAAACGCAAGATTCTATCATTCTCAATTTTGTTTTTATAGATATATTTCCACTTTCCATATTTCCTTCAATGATGCGAACATTCCATGGGCTATTGCTATTCTTCTGTCAATTTCTTTTATGCAGTTGTTGTCACAGGTTATAAGACTACCAAGATACACAAACTGGTCTACCCCATACCACTGTAAAATTTGGTAATAATGAAAAATTTTCTTTTTCTAAACTATTTGCAGACGATTGCTATATCTTTGTCGGATTGGAAATCCTAACGACTAAAACTAACAATCCTCAATATTAAATAAAAGAACGCAAACTAACGAAGTGACTCGTGGGAGCTGTATAAAGGAAAAAACTGCGATACTATCATGGTAGGTATTCGGGCTGCTAATAAGTCCCCGGTAGGGACGAAACACGTGTCCAGTCTATCCAAACGAATACTATTCTTTTCTTCTTTTCACTCCCGCTCACTGCTCATCCTGGTTTGGTGTTCTCATAAACTAGCGCAACCGCAACAACTTCCTTTCCTCTATCGAATCATAATCAAATGTTTCTCATAATGTTTGGAATGACTCAAGATATCCCTAATTAAATCCTTCAAAGTTTGAACCAATATGTTTTAAAAAATCGAAACACTTTAGTACTATTTCTTCCATCTCATATGTTACCTGATTCTAAAACTCGTGATTTTTCAAAAAAGTTTTGTAGTCTATTGTTTAAGCTTTATTTTTGATTTAACGTGGCTCTTGAATAATGGCAAATTATAAATCTAATGGTCTATATATTCTAAGTAGCCTATAATGTTGTCTAGTGTTACAAGCAAAAAAATAATGTTAACTTGACAGGTTAACACTTTTTCATATCGCATTTTCCTTTTTGAAAAAAAATATAGTTTTCGTTTCATGATTTAATAATGAAGCCTCGAATGATTGAAATTGAAATGACGACGTTGTAAGTCTGAACTGAATTGTAAACTTACAGTTTTTATTCCATTAAACTTTTAAAAATGCTTTCCTCTTTCAATAAGTTTTATAGTAAAATTTCACAAAAGTTTGTTGGAGCTCTCTGGTCAAAAGTACATGTGTCACAAAACCACATATCTCCACAAGCAGAGAGGATAAAATATGTCACCAGTTTTTATTATCAAAATGCGATCGATTTAGCCACAACCAAGGTTGAATGTGACTTGATTTGATTTGAAGTTTATGTTTAAAATGTGGTAGACTTCTTATATTATTAGAAATTATTTATATTTTTATATATTATTTTAATTATATTATGTTATATAGGACCTTGCATTATGACTATAATATATATAATAGAATATATTATAATTATGTGTATATATAATTATAATCTATATAATCAATAATGTATATACTATATAAAATGATCAAATTTAAAAATATTAGATCTAATCTTTTTAGTTGACTTTTTATATAAAAAAACTTAGTTAATTGTCAAATTTTCATATTTTTGTTCTTTCTCTCCATTACCTTTTTTAAATTGATGAAAAATCAGTATTGAATTTTGATTTATTTTGGATCATCTAGAGTCTTTAAAAAGAGAAATCACATTCACAACCTTTCCATTATGTGATTATTTTTCTTTTTACAGTTTATTTGTAAATGCTATAAAAAAAGATATTAAAACATATCAGTCTCCAGTTAGACTAATGCCATTGACAATGCTGTATAGTGGAAAAAGTCCTGACAACAGTCACCTTGTTGTGGGTATTTTTTTTAATTTGTTACCCAGATTTACATATATACTATTAATTTTTAATTTACGGGCTTGTGCATGAATTTTTCTGTCCCAGGATTTTTGAAACATTTTTTTTAGAAGAAGAGTAGAATTTTTTATTGGTATAATGTAAAATGTAAAATATTTTTGTATATAAGGTTGTATATACTGTAAAAGTTCAGACATCAAAGGAATTTTAACTTTGGGTTTTATAATTAAATTAATAATTTATTGAAGTTTATTTTAAAAATTTTATTGTCACTACTATGATTTTAAAAGTTATTTAAATTTTAAATGAATTTAAATAATTTTGAAAAAACTTTTTAATCATTTTCAGTAATATATGTTGATAACAATTTAGAAAAGTGCCCAATACTTGCAAAGAGAATTGCCAATAAGATTTGCGCATCAGGTCTCAAGGTTTCGAAAGTTACCATTCATTGCTGGAGTTCATCCACTCATTCTTGAAGTGGTCAGTTGACTGACTCACTTTATTTCTTTTTTTAACACATCAATAAAATGCATGTGAATTATTATATTTGAAATCTTTTCTATTTCTTTATTATCTTTTGTAAATGTTTCTGTCATTGATTTAGATTTGAATGTATCATCTTCCATGACCCAACATTAAGTTACTGTTTTGACAGTGTTAAGAAGATAGTCTTTTTTATGACTGTTGTAATAAAAAAATTGCTATTCTGATTGTTTTACTTTTAATGTTCACTTAATAATTGCTTATGAATATTGTAATAAAAAATTGCTATTCTGATCGTTTTACTTTTAATCTTCACCTAATAATTGGTGAATAATTTTAAGACAATGTATGTACTTATATTTGGAGTTGTTTGCCCAACCCTTGTCTTAAACCATTTTCTAAACTTTTTCTTGTTGTCTGTTTAATATATTTCCCAACTGTAATGCTTATAACGTATTGACTATTAGATAGTTAAGTTCAATATTTAATGAATATTACAAACAGGTTTTATTGAATGTAATGGTGAATCTATGAATGAATGAATGAATAAATGAATGAATGAATGAATGAATGAACGGATTTATGAATGAATGAGAAATCTCAATGAAGACGGAAATATCTTTAGAAACCTGGTTGAAAGAAACTCACTGCTTTAAAATAATTAACAAGTTTAAGGAAAGAATTGAGAGAATGAACACCATAGCATTTTATATTATGTTAATATATTACATACTATTGTTAGGCATTTAATAGAGAAACCACTGCATATCATTTCATTTATAAAACATACCATTTTAAACAAAAATCATTTAGTCAGAAGACATCCTGTAAAGAAATATAACAGGATGAGAACGACATATACAACAGACAAGCAGCAGACTTAAGAGTCCCATTTAGAATGATGGCAATAATTTTATACTAAATTAATGGCTTTGTTAAGCCTTGGGTATATTCTTATAAATGAGCCTAATTACTAAACATTTACACAAATATCATAACCATGCAATTTGAAGGTGAACATTTATATTCTTAACCACTAATTTTACTTCCACAGCATGATTTGTACATCAGGAGTTTCCACAATCTAAACAACTTCCCACCGGTTGGTTTTTAAATATTATTTATAATTTACATATATATAAATGTTAATAATTTTGCATGTTTCAAAGTTGTATATTTGACTAATGAATTTTTTTTTATGGACAAAAGTGAAACAGAATTTTAAAAAATTACCAACAGCTATTATTAAAATCTTATATATAAACAATGAACTGTAATAGCAATAAACAAATTTTATATTGCTTCACGGAAGTTGATTTGGTTAAGTTTAATTTGATCAGATTGAAGATTCTGATTTTAAGGATGAATTAGCTTATTGCGGTGTGTTGAAAACGTTCCTAGAGGAACACAAGAATGATGTGTCTTTGTTGACCAAAGGTCTCAAGGATGTCAGAAATTTTGTCAAGGTTAGTGACTTTCAAACGAGTATTAAATAATCAATCAATTAATTAATCAATCAATCAAGGATCCTTTTTAATAATTTAGTGGAGGATTGAAGTCTATAGCATCAACCTTTCTGTATGGAATTTAAAATATTTTATTGAATTTGATATACCCACCCACCCCAGTTCTCTCTATAAAGTCATCCATCCACTTTTAGTCAACTTTTACCAACATTATTTCTTTCAGATTTCCATTAAAACGTTTTTAATTAGCTTGTCATCTGGCATTCTACTAATATGTCCAAAATGTCCTAATTTTTTGCTGTAACGCTTGTATATATATATATATATATATATATATATATATATATATATATGTTTTCAATTTATATATATATATATATATATACATATACTTGTATTTCTGTATAGCTGTCTGTGTGTGTTTGTGTGTGTGTGGTGTGTGTGTGTTTAATTATGATACTATAACAACTCAACAACTTATTAAACATTTCAGGAGAAAAATGTGTTAGAAGATTTTCTTGAGAAGGTACTCAATTCAAGAATAGCTACTGAACTTCTCTGCAAGCATCATATAATTCTGCAGAAAGAAATAGTATGCATTTAATAAAATTTGCTTTCTGTTTTAAATATTTTGAAATTTGAAAGAAAATTTGAAAATGCGGCTGGGCAACCCTCAAGAATAGTAGAATAATAGTAATTATTATAAAATAATATTTTAGTTATTTGTAATGCACCATTTGACGGCATGTACAATTGACCAGTACGGGTACATATTGTACGCCCCCTCTAACGCTCACCACGATCAAAGGTACATTATTGTGTACAACTCACTCATTCAAATTTAGTTTCGTCCTTTTATGGGAATCATCTGCTGTTTTTTAGGTAGTGCACAAAAACACATTTTGGTCGACAGAGGCGGCTGTTATTCCGCCAAACGTACTTGCAGTCAACAACAAATTTTCACCCCTACACATACTCACGTACTTGCGGATGCATTTACACCTTTACACATTTACAGTATTTATACCTATTGGTGGAGGAGTTTCGTGTTAGCATACGTACGCGGATGATCATTGGTAGATGTAGTTAGATGGTCTCTAGCCTGGATGGTGCTCACATGATTTGATGATTTTGCCACAGATTGTTGATTGTATTGTAATGATTGATGTATGGCTTTCATTTAACGAACTGTGTGTGTGCCTGCGCGTGTATACGCATATTTTATTCATGCTAAAATGTTTTTGAACTCAGCATGGCAACATCGGGATTATAACTCTAGGATTTTCACCCAAAGCCGTGATTGAAAATAAAATTAGGACCGTGAAGTAATATTTTAATATATATTTTCTTATTCCAAATTTGATTTTTCACTTTTATTAAATTAAGTTCATTTGTTTTCTTTTGTGGATGCTGTGTCCCGCCACTCGAATTGTTAATTTACTGTCTAACATTATGATTAATATAGTGTTAAGATGTGGTATTTGGTTTTATTTATAATGTACTTGAGTTTTGATTCAGGGTTTTTGGGATGGAAGCAGAGTCGGAGATTTTTTTCCAGAGTCGGAGTTTTTTGAGGGGCCGGAGTCGGATATTTTTCATCCGACTCCGGAAAGTGTTATGAATTTAATTTTTATTTTGAAAATTGAAGCTAAAATTATGGTGCAAAAGTAGAAAATGTTTTCTGGTAATTGGATCCGGGGTCTGAGTAGGGAGTCGGAATTTTTAAGGGACCGCAGTCTGGTATTCTTCATCCGACTCAGAAACCTGGGTTCTAGCGTTCTAGCGTTCTTTGTTTTGGTTATGCTTGAAAGTTGTAATATGAAGTTGGGTTTTGTTATTCTGTATAATATTTAAATTTATTTTGAAGGAAATTATGTGAGGAAAAGTTTGGAGTATCAACAGAGTTTGAGATATCTGGTCACACTGATGCTAAATTCGCATTCATTACGCAACCTTTCGGAAATATAATGCAGGAGATTCTTTTCAATGCTGCCAAGTAATCTCTTAGAACTATTCTTCATTTGAAATGTTTAAAATCTTTCTCTGCTTTGTATCCATTTCTCATTGATACATAAAAATATAAATAATTTTTTACAATTCAAAGAGCCACCATAGAGGCAAACCCTTTACAGCCGCCATTCAAAATGCCTAAAGTCGAAATAATAATTGCTAACAATGAATTGGATTTCATTATTAAGTAAATAGGTTATCTTTCTAAACAAATCTTTTCTGGGGCATGCATTATTTGAACTGGGAATAACATAACAATTCGTTTGCCAGAGTGAGTGACCGAGGAGTTGGCATCGATCACAATAAACTTGAGTTCGTTTGTGATTTCGATCTGTCAAAACATGAAAACAACTTTTCAGATGAGCATGATGGCTACCTTGCTGATGAGTGAGTTTTTCTATCCGTTCGCTTTAATTGGTTGCTTATTGAAGTTAATTAGTTGCTTTTGCTTGGATTGTTTATGTTTAATAATCATTTAATATTGAAGAGTGGAGTTTGGTTTGCCAGTGTGCAGAACGTATGCACGATGTTTGGGTGGAAACATTGAAGTTGATTCTATGGTTGGTTACGGTACTGATGTCTATTTGAGACTGGGACACATTGATGGAAAAGGAGAGAGTTTTAGAATATAAAGGGGCGAAGAATTTTCACAATCGTATTAATTTAATATATTATAAATAATAGTTTTTTCAGTTTGATTTAATCAGAATTTATATATTTCATTTAGCACTTCTGTTAACTTTTCATACTTTAAATATTTAAAATATCTCGACATTTTATCAAATTTGCAGTAGTTTTTCAATGTCTACATTCATTGAGCAGCAGCGATATTGCTAGCGGCGTCACTTTAAGGTAAAATAAAATCGCTACCGCCACTTCTGAGAGAACATTTTTTTCACTTGATTGTGCGACGAAATCCTCCAATTAAAGAAACCTGGATTAAATGGCATTGTTTTAATTCTATTTCGGATCTGTTTTGTGCTTTATTTTTTTATTTTATATTACTTGGTATTCCGTATAAATTTTTGGTCTTAACTTTAGCACGTTGTTTATATAAAATTTTAGCACGATGCTTTTACTGGAACACGTGGTTCTAACTTTATTATGTGATTGTAACACGTGTTTAACCAATTCGGACAAATATAACTAAGCTTCGAATGTTGAAAACTTCTTCTTTCAGTACAAAACAACAAAATTTTAACTTAATAAACTGTATAAGAATATCAAAATCATTAATGTAGTAATATTTTTGCCGTACAATTGCAACTATTAACATTAAAGACAATTAATTTAATTTTTTTAACGCGCTTACGATAAAGTAGAAGATCAAGATCTCAATTTAAGTGGAATAGGTGAAAAATATTTCTACAACACTTTATATAATAGTTCGAAAAAAGTAACGGTAGCGGTTTAATTGCTACTTGTTCATTTAAGTAGCAGTTCTACATTTCACTTGCGATAGCTAACACGACGCTGCTTTTTATTAATAACGTTAATAACCCTGCATTTTTTATAATGGTAGCAAGCAACTGATCTACACATGCGAATTTTGATGTTCTTTTTGTGATCCATTCTTGTATTCATGCTTGTCAAAATTTACAATAAAAGTTTATGGCCGTAAAGGTTTATTAACAGTTACAAACCTCGGCCAGCGAATCATACCATTGGAATGTCGAAAAAATAGACTAATAATTTTTTCACTGTTAAGGCTAGCAATCTTGTTTGCACTAAGATCGAATCGTAAAACGAAGCAAGGTTTGAAATATATAAAAAAAACCGGGAAATATTGGTTGAATAAATTTTAATTTTATATAATTCCGCGGAACAGAGTCGGCGGTAAATGCTGTTACGTTGTGCAATGAACTGGTTCGAATGCTGACCGTCCAAAATAAATTAAAACGCTTGACTTGAACAGTGTGCACAGTTGCGTTATTATGTTATACACAAAACTCGAGGGCTTTCTGTGTTTGTTACAGGTGCTGATAAAAACAAAATAATTCTATCTACTCTGCTGTCATGCGCATGACATTGTTAACTCATTTTTTATACCGTGTGTATAATTAGTAAGTATATATATTGAAGTTTTCATTATAAAAAAATTTACTGAAAGCGGGATCGGCTGTATAAGGGCTACAAAACTATAGACCCGTGATCATCTATTTGCAGGCTCATTAGTATTCATCTATTCAATTTTATTTGAATTATTCTCATATCTCCGCTGATCATTATGGTTCTTTTTGCTTTTCGAAAGCCTTTCATTTAACATGCAATTAGAATATATATATATATATATATATATATATATATATATATATATATGTTTGTGTATTGTATATATATATATTTTATATTCGATTTATTTGAATTAACTTATGACCACATATATATATATATATATATATATATATGTATATATATTTATATTTATATATATATATATCTTTCAACACTTTTGTTAGTCCTATTATATATATATAACATATTATATATAAATATTATATATATATATATATATAAATTAACTTATGACCAAAAATATATATAATATATACATATATAATAGGACTAATAAAAGTGTTGAAAGATGTCGCTAAACAATTCATGAATCTATATAAGCAAGATGGCGTTTTGTTTTGGAGTGTTAGTCAGGTCGAGTTTGCTTTCGATTTGCATTTAAACGTATTAATAATTTTAAAATCACGAAAAGGTTAGCATGTTATTTATGTTAATTATAAAATATTTGTTTTTAAAATTATTTATCTTTTTAAATACCTGACATGCGATATACGGATATACTTTCCTTCTAACTAATTTGATTGAACTTGAATGTTTGAATGTAACAATGTATGTTGAATTGAAATGAAATCATATGAATTATATTATAATTATGATATCTAAAATTATTAAAAATGAAACCATGAGGTGGGGCGTCATAATTTTAGGCAAACAATAAAAATAAGATGCTTTTGTTATTATGGTTGTTATCCTTATCAGTTATCTCCTACGACCTACCTCCTACCTCGAGGAACTGGGTCTCTGGACACTAAACGAAGATTGATTGATTGATTATCAGTTATCTCCAATGCCAATGTTAAATAATAATATAATAATAAATTAATTAAATATTAAATTAAACATTAAGATTAAATAAACTTATTTTTGTGGTATCAATGTTACAGTGTTATCTGTAATAATATATAGTAAATTATAATTAGAATTATTAGATAATATTCAATTCATTTTTTAGATTATACTTATTACTAGTTATATTTATTTATACTATATTAATATTATTATATGATGAAGGTAAACAATTTTAAATTATGGTTAGAAAGTTGTAGTTATCTTAGACATACTAATTGCTAATTACTTACTATCATTATAATATAATGACGAATGTAATGATATTATAGATTATATTTTTTAAAAAGTATAAATGTTAATTTGCTTTCTATTAAATTTGAATAAAACAAATTTTTTAAAATTTTGCTTTTAGATGTCAGAAGATTTAGTAGAAGCTGCTTTGCAAGCTAGTGGAGTTGATTTTAAAGATTTTGTTGATGATCAAAAATTGTTTGAAAATCCTGTTTCAACGTCCAACATAAACCAACCACAGAATCAAAGTTCTACAGTAAAAGTTCAATTTATTTCTGACTCTCAACTGCCAACTCTCTCAGTAAATGCTAGTCTACAGCCCTTAGTCCTAAATAACAATAAATTCATACCATCAGTTCCTTTAGTATTCCAGAACCCCGTTAGGCCAAATATTACCATTCGCCAAGCCAGTCCTGTATTATCTTCTATAAAAACCTCACATATAATTCGTAATCCAGTTAATGAATTGGTGAATATTCAAAAACCGGTAACATCGGCAAACCAAAGATCATCTTCACCAGTAGTCTTGAAAAGGCTTTTACCAGCACCAGAGCCACCCAATCTACCCAACCCACCAAAAGTATTGAAATTGTTATGGAAAGGTCCTGCATCTAATGTACAGCCGCAAGCCGGACATCAAATTATCATTAACAGTAAACCCAATGCAGCTGTTGCAAACAATGGTGCTACCGCTAATAATGTGTCTGTCAAACAATTTAATCTACACAACAACCAAGTGTCGCATCAGCAAATTTCACCAAGATTACCATCAAATCAATTGGTCCCAATTAATGTTTTAAGCAGTGTTGGTGATAGTAAAAATAATAATTATATAGTCAACAACAAATGTGATAAACAAATAATAATAGCTCCTAATAAAAATTTTGGTAATTACGTAACTGGAAATAATGTACAAAAGATTATGTTAAATCCTGGCAATTTAATAAAAAGAAATAGCAGCACTCCACTAGTTAACCTTAAGAGTAGCAACCCAAATGGGAGTTCGGTTATTTTAACTCCTCATGATAACAAAATTACGGGGCCAGCGACAGACAAGAAAGTTGTGCTGAAGTCTGAGCCACTGAAATTCAACCATTTCATTCAAAATGTCAACAGCCCCACTTTACTGAATTTTAAGATCGAATCGCAACCCAATGTTGTAGGAGGAAATAATGCCGATAAACTTGATCAAAAAGTTGAAAACTCTAATGATAAGGAGGTTACATAGATTTTTATTTTTAATATAATAAAATTATAGGGTATAAATTTTATATATCAATCATAATTATATATCAGTACAATCTTATTTTACGTTGTTGCTAAAACATTTTTTTTTGAGTTGATTTGTGTCTCTGGCAGTTGTTGTTTTATTTTTATCATATGTGTTTGTTTATGCTTCTCGTATAAAATATGATAAAAATTACTGATCTTATCACTGCAAACTTCCATTTATTCAACTTATTTAGAAAGCTTATTATTATTTGGATTATAATAGGGTGCTCATCACATTTTCAAACCAATGGAAATGTATAAACTAAGTGACAAAATGTTATTTTATTTTTAATGTTTGATTGATGGAGTTTATTTATTTATCTTGATGGATCTATTACTTTTAAATTAGTTGAAAACAAGCCCACCTCAAGTCAAGTTTAAAATCGGAGCAGATGAGGAGGAAGAAAGTGATACAAAAATTGATGGTTCAGATCATCCAGAAGAAGAACAAGAAGATGAAGTTGATGAGGATAGCGATCTTTTTAAAGCAATTAGAGAACTCAATGAAATGAATGAAAAAGTCTGTTTTTAATCTGTTAATTTATTTATATTTTTACTATGTTTTGTTATAGTTAAAACACATCTTTATTTTTATTATTACAGGCAGTGGTTTATGAGGCTGAAATAAAAGCAAAAAAGGAAGAAGAAGAACGGCAGAAGAGATTACAACTTTTATTAGGCGAAGATGTTCTGATTCCCCCATCCAAAAACAAATCGCCTTCAAAAAATTCTTCTTCATCAACTATGTCTTCAACTGTGATAACAACTCCTTCCACCAATTTTCCATCAACATTTCCTATTGTAAACGACATTACCCAACAAAATTCTACAAATTGTGAAAAAAATGGTCCGAAAATTTTTATTTCTCCACCATTCGAAAATCAAATTGATTTAACAAGGGATGTTAGCAAACCATTGAAATTTATTGACTGCTTCACGCAGAGATTTGGCCTCAGAGCGATAAATTCTAACAATGCAGTCTTCAAGAACAATTTACCTCAACAAAGTCCAATAATAGGCCCTGGCTTCAGTAATCCTTTGCAACTGCACAACAATAATAACTTGTCAATGAGCAGCAGTAGTCCATCGTTGTATGTTGTCGAGAAATCTGGAAAGTATTTGCTGCAAGATGCAAATCACACATTAGGACAAGCAAGGAGTGCTTTATTAAACAGGGTCTCTATCTTTTTATTATTTTTGCATGTTATGTCATTTTTTGTTGTGTTTTAAAGATCTTTCATTTTATTGAACTTTTGGTTGCTTGGAATACAAGATTTTATGAATATTGCCCTATTTTCAGAGTAACTTACAAAGAATGAACATGAACCTATTTGATGAAGAGGTAGAAGAGGAAGAGTTGGGTCATGCTGAAACATACTCTGATTACATGCCAACGAAATGTTTGTGCATCACTTTGCTTGTCATTCACTGAAACTGATATTTGTTACTTGTGTAGTTGTGCATTGCTTCGTTATATTGTGTGATTTAGAATAAAATCCTCCCAACTTTAGTGAAAATGGGTTGCAAGCACCCTGACCCAGTAGTTGAATCAGCAAGCCTGTCAAGCGTCGAATCTCCTGATGTCACATACTGTTTATCAATTCCTGATATATGCATTGAAAGAGGTTTGCTTTCTGCAGTGCAGTTGGAGTCGATAACTTATGCTTGCCAGAAACACGAAAGTTTGTTGCCTAATGGAGAAAGAGTTGGTTTTCTCGTAGGAGATGGTGCCGGTGTAGGCAAGGGACGAATGATTGCTGGCATCATTTATGAAAACTACCTTTGTGGCCGAAGAAGATCGCTCTGGTTTGTTCTGTTTCTTATTTCTGAATATTTATTCTGCTGACTTTTTGTGAAAAAGACAGAACAAGTCTTTAGTATGTTTATTTGCAAATTTACTTTTTTATATGCTGATAGATTGTTTTAGGCTTATTTGAAAAATATTGGCTTATTTTTAACAAAAAGGTTAAGTGTATCAAATGACTTGAAAGTAGATGCAGAGAGAGACTTGAGAGATATTGGAGCTTCAGAGATTGAGGTTCATTCGCTAAATAAGGTGAGAATATTTTCATTTTATACACTTTTACTGCATTTTCTAACATCATTCAGTGAATTAACTTGATCAACCTTTTTTACAATATTTTGTTTTAAAATTAAGCTCTTAAAATTTGTGCTGTCTCACACATTTTTTAAAAAATAAATGTTATTTTTTTTAAAGTTCAAATACGCAAAAATATCTTCTCGAATAAATGGAAAAGTTAAAAAGGGAGTAATATTTGCGACGTATTCCTCTCTTATTGGAGAAAGCAAAATAAACAACAAGTACAGGACCAGGTTAAAACAACTCATACAGTGGCTCGGCAAGGAGTTCGATGGCTTGGTCAATAATATTTTTTATTTTTTTATTTTTTATTTATATGTACATCCATATTTAGATATTGTAACTAAATTTTTCCAGATTATTTTTGACGAGTGCCATAGAGCTAAAAATTTGTTTCCAAATGGCTCTTCAAAGCCAACAAAGACAGGCCAAACTGTTGTTGAATTGCAAAACAAACTGCCCAAGTCAAGGGTTGTTTATGCAAGTGCAACTGGTGAGTTTCACCTTTTTTAAAAACAGTGAAACTTCACACTACGATTGATTTTTGTTAACACTATAATGGTTCCATGCCTTTCTTTGTTTGTGTGCATATATTTGATTCAATCCGGTGTTGTTGTGCAAATGCAGGTGCGTCAGAACCACGCAACATGGCCTACATGGTGAGATTGGGTTTGTGGGGACCTGGTACACCTTTCAGGGAGTTCAGTGACTACATTCAGGCAGTTGAGAAAAGGTTAATTATTAAAACAATATTTATCTCTTTTCATTTTTTCAAATGACATTCTGACATTGAATGTTGCACACTGAACAGAAATTAAATTATTGTTTTTACAGCTAATCATTACTTATTGTCAAATTTTTTAATTAAACATTAGTTATTTACAACACTGTATTCCATAAATAACTGCAATAAAATAAATGACCCATTGCTTCATTGGTTGATTGCTCAGAGGTGTTGGTGCCATGGAGATGGTTGCCATGGAAATGAAGCAGAGAGGCACGTACGTAGCAAGGCAGCTGAGCTTTAAAGGGGTTTCATTTCATGTTGAGGAAGTGGAGATATCAGAGGAGTACATCAATGTCTACAATAAATCTGTACAACTTGTTAGTTCTCTCTCTTTTTATACAGTTTTTTGGTTCTAATTATTTCAACTACGCAAAAATTACTTTTTTTAATTGTTCAAGTTATCTATATAAAAACTTATAATAAATTTTAGAAAATAGCAATGTTAATTTAATCAATGGCTTTCCACATTGCTATCACTTATTGGTAACTGCTACTTGCTAATTATGATCCACGAGTTACCCTGTCCTTGTCTCAAATTGTACCCATATTTTATCAAATTTTCACGTGTGTGTTTTTGCAATGAATTTTATTAATTCATAATCTGCTTTCATTGTTTGTAAAACATGAATGAGTTTACTAAATTTAATAGTAACATTATTAGATATATAACAACGTTGGGTGATGTAATTTATTTAGTGGGTAGAAGCTCGGGATAAGTTCCAACAAGCAGCTGAATTGTTGGGAATAGAAAATCGAGTCCACAAAACAATGTGGGGCCAGTTCTGGTCATCACATCAGAGATTCTTCAAGTACCTCTGCATTTCTGTCAAAGTTCAACACTGTGTCAGTCTCGCCAATGCTGCAATAGCCAAAGGCAAAGTTTGTAAAATTTCATTCTTTAAATTTATTTTTGATCTTTTGTTTATTTGATTGTAACAGTATTTTGAATAATTGAATTTTTGTTTGTTTGAAGTAGGTGCAAACAGTTTGAAATAGTTTGAACATTGAACATTTGCCGTTGTAATGATGATTCAAATTTTTCAACATAAAATGTTTCAGAGTGTGGTGATAGGATTGCAGTCAACAGGTGAGAGTCGGACGCTGGAGATGGTAGATGAGAAGGGAGACGAGCTCAATGATTTTGTTTCCACTGCCAAGTATTTCTATTTTTAATTAACCTTTATTCATCTTAGCATCTAACCTTTTTACAACTAACTTGTAATTTGAGCAGATGTATATTTATATTGCAAAGAGCAGTGCAGTGCAAACATTAAATTTATATGAGAATTTTATAAAAACTATGTTAAACGATGACACAAAGTTGGCACTTTGTTACTCATTTAACAGAGGAGTATTCCAGAAGTTGGTTGAGTCTCATTTTCCGAGCCCCGATAGACAAGGAGCTGTGGAGTACTTCACGAATGGAGGATTGCCCCTGTCAAGCACAGTAAACAATGTGAACAGTAGAACATCTTCACCTTCAGTTATGGCCAGCAACAAGAGGAAGGTGGATGCTGGTTAGTATTTTTTTCTCTTCAAAGAACAATAAAAAATAATTTCTTCCTTAATGTTGCAAATTAGTTTTTTTTAAATTATTTAATTAATATCAACTTTCTTTATACATTTTAAAAATGTTAAATACAAATTTTCTATACAGATCCATATTGTTCAAAGAAGATGAAAATAAACAGTTCAGATGAGAATGAAGATGACGATGATAAGTCATCATCATCTGATGACGATGACGACGACGAAGACGAAGACGAGGATGATAGTGACAGATCAGAAAGTGATTCAAATCCCTTTGCAAGAGCCTCAGATAGTGATGATGGTGCTGAATTGCTTTCATTAAAAAAAAATTAACATTTAATTTCTTCAATTTAACATTTAAATGTTACATATATATATATAATATGTGCTCCATCAGACCAGAGATAGCACGAATTAGTATTTATTAAAAATATATGTTGCTGCAATTTACTTAGAACCATTCCTTATTAAGTAATCTTAAATTGATTAACTTATGCAGTATTAGACATCAGTATATTATGTGTAATTGTTTTACTTAAGGTGCTAACATTCTAACTCAAACTAATCATACTTACAGATGTTCCTTGGATGAGGAAGTCAAATAAGAAGAAAAAAAAGAAGTTGAACAAGAAAAAGGTGAAAAAAAATAAAAAGAAGAAAAAACGTTCAGGCAAATCGAACGGCAAATGTGATGATGATGAGGATAATTCTGGGAGTGAGGATGAAAATAGCGATGAAGATGATGATGAGGATTATGATAAAGATGTTGACAGGATCCTTGAAGCATTCAAGAAAAAGGAAATTCTACAAAAAAGTTGTTAGTGGTTCAGCTTCATTTGTATTTCTTTTTTTTATTTATGTCATCTCATCAATATGTCATCTCTTTTTCTGAAAGTTTTAATATTTAATTTTAAAAAGATTTTTTTACGTTGTGTGTTGGTGTATTACATATACGGTATACACGTTGTATATATTGTGTTCATAAACTCAATCTTCTAATGGATTCAAATTTCAAAAATTTAAACCATAAGAATACCAGTCTGAACTTAGGTAAAATATGCGATCATATTTTTGTCTATGATTTTCAATTCATTTATATTTTAAAATCTGTTGAACATTTCTTTTTTTTTTATAAAATGTTTTATAAATTGGTATGTAAATTTTTTTTAAATGTGAGCATGTTTACTTCTGATCTTGTTTTTTGATTGTTTAAAAAATTTCTCATCTTATATTTCAACCAGTTTACTGTGATAATATATTTTGATTAATAATAATAAAATTATTTTTTTCATTTTCATTAATTATTTAACATTTTTTATTCTCAGTTTTGATTAAATATATTTGTTAATGCAGCTGCTGTATTAAATTTTTTAAACAATTGCTTGCAGCTGTCAAACGCGAGAACAGCGTTGATAATTATGCTAACGTTGAAAAAGTCTTGAAATTGAAACAACAACTGTTGGATAAGATAGAACTTCTAGGAAGAGTTTTGCCCGCCAATGCACTGGATGATCTTATTGACAAGTTGGGAGGAACATCTCATGTTGCCGAGGTCTGAAGTGTTTGCACATTATTCAAATAAAATTTAATATGTAACCACATAGATTGATTTTGGTATTTACCATGTCAAGTTTAAAATATTGAATTTTCACACGGTTACAGATCTAATTGCTTAATGTTTGGATTGTTTTTTTTTCTGCTCGTTTATCTTACTTAATCTTACAGTTTCTGCATCTGTCAGATCCTGATTTAAAAAAAATAATAATAAAAAAAAACTTGATTTAGTTTCAAATGAATAAGATAACAGAACAAAATCATCAAGCAAATGTAAAACATTTCTTGCAGATGACTGGTCGAAAGGGTCGCATTGTGTGTCTGAAAGATGGAACAATCCGATACGAAAGGAGGAGTGAGATGGATGTCCCACTTGAGATAATCAACCTCACTGAGAAGCAGAGGTTCATGGATGGCGAGAAGGTTGGTCTCAAACTTTGTGGCAAATACAGAACAATGTTGTACTTGTAATTGTGTTGTGAACGTATTATTAAGGTGATTAAATTTAGGGACATTTAATTAAGGTGATCAGGCGTTGTTTAAATATTAGCATTGGATTGGCTTCTTTGTTCATTCCTTTATTCAATTTTTATCTATTTGTATTTATAATTTTTTTTTATAAATTTTGCTAGAAATGCTTTTTACACTAACAGTGATTAAAATATTTTTATTTTAATGGACATAATTTAATCAATCAAACCAATTCGTGTAGGATATCGCCATTATATCGGAGGCAGCCAGTTCTGGCATTTCCCTGCAGGCTGATCGAAGGGTAGCCAACCAAAAACGGAGAGTCCACATTACTTTAGAGTTACCCTGGAGTGCCGATCGTGCCATTCAACAATTTGGTATTGTATTTCCTATACCATCTACATTTTATTTTTTAATTAAGAAATAATCAGTCTCAAATAATGGACTCTAAGATGTCATCATACTTTTTATCAGTTTAATTTTTATAAATGTTACATTCTTTTTAAGCAAAATTTGTTTCTAAATATTTTTAGGGCGAACTCATCGATCCAATCAAGTTAGCGCTCCAGAGTATATCTTCCTCATTTCAGAGCTTGCAGGGGAAAGGAGATTTGCTTCCACTGTGGCAAAAAGACTTGAGTGTCTTGTTAGTTGTGTGGTGCTGCTATGTTACCGATACAAAGATATTTTTGCTTTTAAAACAACATGTCATTTAATGAAATGCAGAGATTGGTTAAGTAATGTTAAATTCAAATAGTATGTCATTAGTATAGAAGGAGTCAAGTAAGGCAAGGTTGACTTGAGCTGTCGGAGTAAATAAAGAAATTTTGTATCAACAATAGGGAATGATTGCTGAAGGAAAAATAATAATTAAATAAATTAATGAATAAATAAACAAATAAATAAATTATAAACATTTAAAAAACTAACATAATTTTCTTGTAATCACTTCTGGCTCTTAGCAAAATTAATTGACTTTATTTGGTGGGATTGTTCTAGATCAGAGATTAGAAAATAGAGGGTGGTTTTGCTAATCTCTCTAACATTTTTACCCTTGTTGAATGGTGAAATCATAGATGCACTGCTGATGTGAATATAATATACATCGAATGTATTTTATTCAGGGAGCGCTGACCCAAGGAGATAGAAGAGCCGCCGAAACTAGAGATCTCAGTCAGTTCAATATTGACAACAAGGTTCGCCTGTGCTGTTTGTTTTCTTTGTTTATAATGCTTTGGCTAACTCTTTTTATACTGTGCAGTATGGTCAGACAGCGTTGGAAGCCGTGATGAAATCAGTCATAAGTCATGACAATGCTCTCGTCCCAACGCCTAGTCATTATTCTGGAAATTTCTTCCATGGTAGGTGGCCATGTGTTTGCTGTGGTTGTTTGTCAAAATTTTCATAACATACTTGTTGTTACGCACTGAAATTTTGTTGATGGTTGCTGTCTATTCAAATTTAAAATCTTTTGCATGCATTTAATTTCTATTTTTAGATGTTCAAAAAAGCCTTGTGGGTGTTGGACTCCTAAATCCTGCTCAAACTGGGTTTTCATTGGACAAAGGTATCAATTTCGATGTTTCACTCTTGCATTGTAGATTGTTAACTTGCTGTGCTAATTAATCGAACGAAATGAAATGTAATATACAGCAGTTGAAATTCACTTCAAATTTTTCACAGAGTCATACAACATCAGCAAGTTCTTGAACAGAATTCTTGGAATTGAAGTTGAAACTCAAAATGCATTGTTTGAATATTTCACAAGTACGATGAAAGCCATTGTGATGAAGGCTAAAAGAGATGGAAAGTGGGATCTTGGCATACTTGGTTAGTTCTTCATTATTTACAAATAGCAAAACCTATGTGGGCGTGTGTGTGTATGTGTTTGTTTAATGGATGTATAGACACTCGTTCGTTATTAAAAAGGGGAGCCTAAAGGATGTGATCCATGTTCCATCTAATTTACTGTAAAATTGTTAAAAAAACAGATTTAGGCTCATCGGGAGAAAAAGTTGTTGAACAGTCCTGCAGAGATTTTCATGGATTATTTTCTGGATTTAAGACAAAAGTGACCTTGAACAAAATCAGTGTTGAGCGAGGTTTGAGCTGGGCTGATGCAGAGCGACTCTCCGAGTTACATATTGGAAATGAAGATGGCTTCTATGAGTCTAAACAGGTATTTTTGCTATTTTAGTTTTTTTGCTATTTTAGTTTTTTGCTATTTTAGTTTATTTGGTTTTTGCAGTCTAAAGTGTTTATCTAAACCTTAACCCTAACCCTTCCAGTGTAAAATTGTTTATCATAATTTTGTATTGTAATTTTATATTGTAAATTATATATTATTGCAGAGTTTTGTTGACAACCGACGCTTGTACGTCTTGGCGCTCTCGACAAAGCGTCAGCATCATTCTTATCAACATAAAAAGGAACTGTTGTTCAAGATTTACAAAGCGAACACAGGTTTACAATCTAATTTATGGACTCTGCAAGAGCTGAAGAAGAAGTTCAACAAGGTTTGTCGGTACTTCTGTTAATGTCTACATAAATTTTTAAGCGCTTTTTTTTAACAAAATCAGACCTTGAAATTATTTTCTGTAGCATATAAAATTTTTCAAACCTTTGTTGAAATGGTGAATAGGTGTTTGATGCTGAAAGAGTCAAGCAGTCGTGGGAGGAACAGTACAACTTCTCAGAACACCACTGCCTTCATGTTTTCCAGTCAGTTATTCGAATGTTTCTTGCATCATTCATAATTTTCATTCACTGCATTCACACGAATTCATACTTTATGAGTGTACGTAATTTCAAAAATATCTACCATTTTTAACAAGGTATGGTCAGTGTCACAAGGCCTCGACTTGTGAGATAGGTAGGAGATCAAGGATATATCATGTGCTTAGTGGCAGTGTGTTGAGTGTGTGGACCAGTGTTGAGCGTGTACTTGCTTCTCTGCCAACTGGGCAGGCCTCGAGGATGCAAATCATTCGTTTGCGAACCACTAACAATAGAAGGATTGTTGGTCAGTCATTAGTTTATTTCAACTTATCTATCTTTAAATTTTTTGAATACATGCTATCAAACATGTTGTCATCTTTGAAAACCAAATAATATTTTTGAAGATTTTGATTTAAGATTGAGATATCACTCAAACAGTAGATAGCATGAATTAAATCCACTTTGCAAATAATAAAAACTCATTGCACAGGTACGCTGATCCATCCAGCAGCCATCGAGCCACTGACTCAACTCCTGTCATCTGGCAGGATAGAGGACAACCATCAGCAGTCAGCTTTGCCAGCGGTTCAGCACCAACCATCTGCATCTCTGTCCATGATGTCTGTCAGGAACAACATGCCCAACAATTTTCACAGCGCATCAAATTTATTGAACCTCCAACAGAATCAACAACGTCGTATGTTACTGCAACAGCAACTAAGACCTCAGTCTACACATTTACAGCAGCAGCAGCAGCAGCAACAACAACAACAACCATTGTTGCAACAGCAGCAGCAGCAACAACAACAATTGTTGCAACAGCAACAACAGAACAAGTCACTCCAGCAACAGTATTCACAGCAACAACAGCTTCTACAGCAACAGCGATTACGAACAACTCTACTACTCAATCCGCAACACAATCCAAGTTTCAATATTAAGTTTAGATAGTAATTGTATTACTTTCAATGTCAGGTCATTAGCACGATTTGTGCAAATTTTATAAACTGAAATATTTTTGACAGTCACATGGTTGATAACTCATGTTGATAGCCTGTATAAAAATTTTCTGTACATTATTGCGATAAAGTTCTCAGACTTATAAATTTCTATCTTTTTTTACAGTTTTTTTTTATTTTTCATCATAACCGAAATAAGTCCATGTAAAATATAGTGTTCATACTTAAATAAATGTAAATATTAGTTCTTGTCTTAACTTCATGTAAATAAGTTATAACGTGTAAATGGTTATAACAGTGTTATAGCAGTTTAATTTTCCATCTTGAAAGTTTTAATTTAATTTATTGTAAGTGTACAAAGTCTTGTAAATACGCCGTTTAAAAGTTGAGTTCTGCATTATTATTCTTTTGTTGGCACAAATTTGTGAGCAGTTCAATTGGTGTAATGAAAGCATGTTGGCCTGTTAAACCTAAATGTTTCAATATTTAAATGGTGGTTGAATGTGTTTTCATTATTCTACTGACTCATTCTTTGACAGTAATTATCGCCTTTTTTATTTTTCCAACAAAACATAGTTTTAATAAATAGAACCATTTAACGTTATATTATAATACTATTTATTTTCAATAAACGTGCTTTATAATTGAAATAGAGCTTGTTGGCCTGATGAAAATTATGCGTGTATGTCTACTTGCTTGTGTGTCCGGCATGCGTGCGTGTGTTTTTAGCGAATTATTTGAATGTGCAGAAAAAAGTTTGTGATGACTGATAAATTAAGTAAGCTTAAAATTCAGAAGTCAAGAGCTTGAGAAAAAGTCGTGACTCAATATTGCCAGATTTGTCAGCACTTGAAGACTGAGTCAAAAATAATTTTTAAAGAATTCAAAACGTGCAACCGCGCGAATTAGCGAACTCTGGCTGACATGTAAGTTAGCTGGTGCTGGTGCATGCATAAAACCTCTAGTCAAAGTGCTCCAAGCATTGAGGGTGAGAGGGTGATGGTTACGATGATGACATAAATGTTTTTATTAATATATATATATATATATATATATATATATATATATATATATATATATATATATATATATATATATATCTTTCATATATACATGAGTTGTTCTATTCAAAATTAAAATTTAAGTTGATAAATTATAACTTATTTTCGGATCATGTTTTTATATTAAGGTCATGGCCTGATTTATCTAAGTTGTCAGTCAAATAGTAATGTTTTTTTTATATATATGTTTGCTCTAAAGGTTTTATTTATTTTTTGATATTTGAGAATTCACTGGTTTGGTTTTTCATAGTCTACATTTTATTTTAAATTCAGTTAAAAGAAGCAATTAGAATTTTGGAAATGAAAGACTTGAATGATGATCTAATATTCTCACATCACTAACTGTTTTATGAAAATTCTTTATTTTGCTAGGGAATATTATTTTTTCATTACTTCGTAGTATCTTTGTTATCAACTTCATTTTACTCCTACATTTTTTCAACAGCAGAATTGCACATCATTTGTTAGAAAAACATTTAAATCTTTACTAAACTGTTTTCCAAACATACATGTTGGGACAAAGAAGGGGTGGTTCGCATTGCGCTGATGTCATTTGTTGGGGTAACGATGGTGCTTTTTTTATCATTAAGTGTGCAAATCTTACGGTTTTAGACAATATATTAAGAAATACAAACGCATCACATACACCCGCACATATTAATTATTCTTAGAATGATCCTAAGATGAAGGTCAGCTTGTAAGTAAATTATTTTTGTTTTTACCATCTTGTACTTATATGAATCAGGACACAATGACTAAAGCCTGTTTAATACTTCTATAACCAATGTATCAGAAACTATTCCAAAAGCTTTTCAATGTACGCAGTTTAATGTTTATTAAGAGATTCTTCTAGTTCGCCCTCCAAGTAACTAACGTCCATTTGACGAAATATTAAAACATTATTAATTCCACTCAGTAGCGATTGTTTTCAATATTAATATGCAGAAATTAATTTTTAAAATTGTTATTCTTGAATTTTTTGCTGGAAAAGTATTGAAATTTAGATGTAGGGAAGAAATTACTGAAGAAGTGATTTTCCTTTTATTTTGTTTTGAGGCGTTCGAAGAACATCATCGTCATTGTCACTATGAGGCAGTTATCGAAAGTTATGCAATGAAGAAAATAGAGTGTGAATGAACAACCGGTTGATATTCATTCGTTTTAAAGTTGATTTTTACTGTATTGCGTTTGTACATTGTACATCGGTTTATTATAAATGTGTGTTACATATTTTTTTAATGTTAGGTGAGGACAATTTTTGTAGAATTCTCTAGTTTCTTGTTGAATTTTTTTAGGTCAATTTCTGCGTGTGTTTGTATATAAGCAAGTAAGTGTGGACGTATATATGCATGTATATCATTTTCAAATTTATTTGTGCATTAAGAATTTTTACATTTTTTAAATTTCAAGATTGATGTAATTAATAACATTGGGGCTAACTTAAATTCATATAATAATTAATAGATCGTGATCGTTAACTAGTTGCTAATGGTCATGTTACGTGAAGAAATGTTATCCGTTATGTACAAATAACTTACTCTCTCTTAAATTTCGAATTTTCACTATATCTATATTAACAATCTGTGATATGTGATTTTCATTTGTTTCATGGTTCGCCGTTATATGTACAAAGAATGTTCCACGTCACTGCTCTCGTCAGAAAAAACAATCCCAAACTTTTTATTGTGTTCGTGTGTTTTGCCATATTCCGCAAAACCAATCTACGTTACGTTAATTTTATTGGGTTTAAAATGTTTTGTTTTCAACACTTCCGCCTTCAAAAGTTCAATTGGTGTGGCATGAGTTTTTTCGGGTAGATGAACTCTAATTACCGTAGAGATTTGGAAGAGTCTTTACGACAATTTCGTAAACGTTTTTCAATCATTCATCTCCTCTAGGCAGCAAAGTGTCGTCCAACAACACATTTGGTATAAGCGAGGAGCAGCATATGTAGATGAGTTATTAGAAAATATTTTTTTTGCGTTTTTTTACATCTCGATTTCAAGTATTTTATTGGAAACCAAGATTTTTGGAGTATTTGCGCTAATGATGTTAGTTTTCTTGCCTGAACCCACTTAACATAACATAACTTATAATAATGAACTGAAACTCAAGAGTCAAGTGCCGTACCTAAACTTTCATACAATTCATTCAACAATAATAATAACTACATGTCTCATAATGGACAATGAAATGAAAACATTTTAAACAATTTTTCTAAACATATCTTGTTATCAAATATTTTTACAACATTATTTTACTTTAAATTACGATTGTCGATTTTTTTTCTCAACCTCAGAAGTAATTGCTGTAATTGTCAACACAGCCCCAATTCTTATAATCTTAAATTAAGATTATATGAGTTAAACCGAGATCTCGTTATCGTATCGTTATTTCTCGCTATATTTGGCGTCTCGTATTGTATCGTTTCAAACGAGACAGAATTTTCGTATCGTATCGTTTTAAATTATTTACGAAACGTAGATGCTTAATCTTAATTAGCCTGAAAAATAAAAATAACTTCACTTTTCTGAGATAGTATTCATGTTAGTTGTTAATAATCGTTAGTAATATGATGGCCGAACTATGTTAATTTGTGTTAGTTGTTAGTAATGGTAGATCTGTAGAGTTCATCAGTAATTTAACATGAACAAGACATTACTAATGAAAAGTAAGAATCATTTCAGACACCAATAAAAGATAAGTTGTAAGAAATGCATAAAACGCATAAAATATGTATTACTCTACTAAATATAATTTTCATGTATAGGTATGTTCAAATAAAACGATTAAATAAACAAATTATCTTTTAAAATGAAAAATCTAAGCCTAGATTTAAAAACATCATTTTCAGTGGTTATGGGTATCTTAAAGAAAATTATTTTTAGGAATGAATAAATTTCCAAGTTCGAGGACCATGAATATATTCATGGATAGGACCTCTACGAACAAAATGCGAATACAATACCTATATTAGTTTTCTATCTTTTCATAGCAAGTAATTTCATTTTCTACAGCCGTTTGCACGTTTGAAATCTGAATTAAATATACGTTGTACGCAACAAAATATTAATTTGCCTATATTTTATATAAAAATATCAACGAAGGAGAATAAATATTTATTGGTCAAAATTGAGACTGTTTGAACAAACAAGGAATCAACAAAGTAGAGACACAGTATATATATAAATACATATATATATATACATATATAAATAAATAAATATATCTGGCCACATACACATCGTATCAATTCGAACACCGAATATGGTATAGAAATACCGAAAAAACCTTTTTTTTGCTCTATCATGCATAAAATAAACAAAAATTTTGGTTTTGAACTCAAGAAACTTGAGAATGATTTACGATCAACCATTAGAAAAATCGGAAAGTTAAACAGGAAGTTAACTAACGCCGAACATGCTGTGATTTTCATCAATAATTACATTTCTGACAGTCTTAATCTAATAACATATATATATAATTGCATGATAGTATAGATATTTTATGATATACATGGGACATGAGATTTGATGGAAGGGAATCAAAGATATGTGCATTCTTGCTATGTTTGCTTTTAGTTGGATGCATGGATATAGTTCATTCTAATTATTTTTTTTTATAACAAATTTTAGATAGGTTCATATCTGATTTTCAAATATTCGTGCATTTGAATACTAATAATATGGCCATACAAGTTTAAGTTATATACGCATATATATACATACAATAACACAAACACACACACACTACACGCAAGCACACACACTATAAATATAGATATGTGTACGTACATACATAGGTGTTGTACACACATATATGTGTGCACATATCGTCAGTTGTACAAGCATGTTATCTACATATCTATATACGATAGGATGATTGTGGAAGAAGTTACGAAAGCGCAGCTAGAGTTGTTAAAAGTTTGGGCTGTAGCATCTTTTATTCATTAGTTGTATGTGAACCTTCCATGTTGGTGGATCTTCATCGTCAGATGGAGCGGTTCATTTGAATGCTCAATTTTAATTTTATTTTGAATAAATTACTCAATTTTATTATTTTAATAATTACATGATTAATTTAATTAATTAAAAAAACGGAATTTCAAGTCATCATCAGAACGTGCAATAACCGCATCTTAGTGTTTTGGCAAGTGGAAAAATATTTTAGTTAACAATAGTAATTATTATTATAACTGGATGAACTTCAACTGCAAAAATCTTACAATGAATATGAATACGTTGATGCTGTGGTTTACGATCCTAATTTGTGGTGAGTTGTTTGTTACTCATTTTATCTAACATGAAATACTAAATACACTACACACAAATAACTAAAATAACATCAACCTTGTTAATCCTTTTTTTTGTTATATTATAACCATCCTTACTTTAGCACGTTAACGCTTTGCATAAATTTCACATATATATTTTATGCAAACATACATATTTTTGAAGAGGCCTGTATACATGTGCATGTATATAAATATATGAAATATACACACATATACATACGGATATACATTTATACCTATATATATGTAGGTTTAAGATGAGCATTTACGAATGTTCTGTTCGTATTTTAGTTTTGTGCGTGATAATCTCTATGCTCCCGTTCTATGTAACACACATACAGAACGAAGATGAATTTATGTGTAAATATGCGTGTTGTATGATTGTCTATATACTTATATATGATAGCGAGTACACATCCATGTATACGTGGAGATGGCGTAGGTGTGTGCAATGTGCTGTTTGTGTATGTGTGTGTTTGTTTGTGTATGTTTGTTTGTGTATGTGTGTGTTTTGTGTATGTGTGTGTGTGAGGTGTGTGTTTTTGGTTGTTTGGATCAAATGTTCCATCAATGCATATGAATTCTGCAATGATAACCGCAGAGTAAAACTGTTGGTTGTTAACAAGTTTTTACAAGTTGAACGTGCGTTCGTTGTTATAGAGAGCAGAATGTAGATTGTTCTATTTTTATGTTTTGTAGTGAAAAATCTAATACAACCAATGCCACATGAAAATTAAAGACCAAAAGTTTACTTTGATTTTAAAATATAAACGAACAAATAATATTAAATATCACCCGTCGTTTAACAAATTGAGTTTAAAATTAGGAACGCTCAACGGAATGAATGAATGAACGCATGAACGAACGAACGAGCCAAGCATTAAAAGCAATTTGGTCCACAGTATTGAACAGCTGGACGGCATCAAAATAGTAGGAGTTGTGTTAATATGGTCTATAGTTCCATTCGACATGTTAAATTTTTTTAAGGGAATTCATGTAAAAATTTAAAATTTGTTAGACAAAGTCAAAATGTTGGATTTTCTGTAGTTTCTGTAAAACCGTGTTAACTATATAAGAGTGGCATAAAACGATAAAGCAAAATAATTTTTCTTTTTTTTTAAACAATTCAAATGCGGAATTGAAGCGTTACAACAAGCAATTTTGATGTTAAAAGAATAAAATGAGCTGTGAAAATAAGTTGAGAACAACACATATTCTATATAGAGTTCATTCAACATCCTACTATTCTCTTTCTTGTTACTTCGTTAGTCTCATCCAGGATTGATTATTGTAACTCGCTCTACCATGGTCTTCCTGATTCTATACTCTATCCTTTAAGTAAAGCTTTTAACTCTGCTGCTCGTCTAGTTGCTCGTGCCCCTTTCTTTTCTCATATATCTCCATATTTTGTTTTCTTGCACTGGCTACCTATAAAATATAGAATAATTTTTAAAATTGACACAGTTATGGATAAGTCTCAATCTAAATTATTTCCTAAGTATTTATCAGATATATTAATTGAACCTAAACGCCCCGGTTTACGATCGTCTTCTTGTTCTCGCTTTTTCTTAACTTGTGTTAAACACTCTTTTGCCAAATCTGCTTTTGCTTTTTCTGGCCCTTTTCTCTGGAACTCTCTATCTACTTCTCTGACTACTTTTCCATCACTTACGAAGTTCAGAGCGGATCTCAAAACCCATCTGTTTTCAAAATTCATTGAGGAGCGCTGTTGAACATCGCGAAAATAGCGCTTTACAAGCTAATTAATTGATTGATTGATTGATTGATTGATTGATTGATTGATTGATTGATTGATTGATTGATTGATTGATTGATTGATTGATTGATTGAAAAGCTGGGAAGTTATTTCACGAATGTGAATAGTGAAAAAGATAATCCATCAAAGGAAAATTGTAGGCAGTGAAAATATTATAACTTTATTTATTTTAACACCAATTACTACGTTTTTTTAGCAGTTTGCCAAAGTTATTAAACTTCTTTACGTGAGAACTTTTCCAAGACAGAAGCTTAAACGTTGTGAGAACACTTTGATAAAAAAATTGAAATTCTGTTTGAATTGGGGGCAGTTACGTATTAAGAAATTGATTTCATATGTAAATTAAAAAAAATTAATTTATAAATGAATGAAAATCAAAACTACGTTGAAAATCATCATAAAATTTAGCAAAGGGGCTTCATTAAAATTAAAGCCAAAATATTGTTAGAAAAAATAAATATATTTCATCCTAAGGCGTTGCCCATTTTATATATTTAGTTGCCGTGCGTGCATGATGCATTATATGACAGTTTGAAAGAGTTCGCATTTAAACATCATTCCTAAGTGTGCACATTAAAATGCATACAAAAGTTAACTACTTAACAAAGTTTATTATTCTTAAGCGCGATTTTTTCTTTTTTTCCCAGTAGTTTTAAATGGTGAAGCAGTGGTGTGATATTTATTTTTGTGTGTATTTAAATTTGAAATCTCACAATTCATTTTTGCCAGATTACACCTACATGTCGCTCGATAATAATATGACTTATAATTATTTGCTCGCACGGTTGTTTGCACAAAATGAAATCATAGATAGACATAGGCAGGTCTAAAAGTATTAGATAATTTGTATAAATTTTCAACAGTTGTGGGCTTACAATATTTTAACTAGGGTTAAAATTTAAAGAAACATTTCAAATTGTTACAGCCACACAGTTTCATTTGTCACTAATAAAAAATGATTAAACATATGTGGAGCAAGCGAAATAAAATGGCCGTCAACTTTTTTCATAAAAACTCCAAGTCCTTTCAGAAAAATTTTTTGATTAAAACGCTGCTGCAAATGACATCAAAGTTGTTATCTGGAACTTAATGTTGGTGTTGTTTTTTTAAATAATAATTCAATTTATTGTTGAAAATATTTTAATTTATAAAATGTGGCTTTATGTTAAAATAATTTATTTTTTGGAACTTGTTTGTGTTTATAAAAAGTCTTTTAAAATTTTTAATTTATTTTTTTACAGTTTTTTATTATTTTTTATTATTTTGACACATTTAACTTGAACAAAATTATTTCAAGTTACGTTTTCTCATAGGGTTGACATTTTAGCTGATGCCAAATTGACAAAATTGTTTTTTCATAAATTGTGCTTTTGAAACGTCAAAAATTCAATATCAGATGAGTTTAATAATTTTACTTTCTTCTTTCACATACATGAAAAACTGTACTAAACCGTACAGGAGTTTACAGTCAAGTGCAGTCGCGACCAAAAGATCTCAGGAAGCTGTCACTGTCATGCGATGTGGGCGGTTGCTTTCCAACTTATGGAGATTTGATGATTGGCAGACAGCATAGATTATCGGCAAGTTCGACATGTGGCCTGCAGAAGGTTGAGACTTACTGCATATTCAGCGGTCTCGACAGAACCGTCAACCGAAATAAATGCTTCCTCTGCGACTCCAGAAATCCTAACAATCCGAGGAGTCACCGGGTAATTACTCATCCATTTACCTACACGTTATAAATTTTCATTCCCAGATTAATATATTTTTTAAAAATTGCTATAACGTAAACTTTGAAAATGATAGTTGTAATACACACACACGTGCGTGCTCTCTCTCTCTCACACACACATCACACACACACTCACACACACACAGGCTAGCACGCACGCACACTCATATATAGATATACACACAGTATACATACGTTCATACAGTATACATATGTAAAATGTTTCTTATAAAACTATATATTTGGAACATTTTATCTCCTCTATATTGTGTATAAAAATATATGTAGCTCGTTGTAGCACGTTAGTTCGTATAGTTTAGAACTTTGGCAGTAGCTTATGAGTTCAGAAATGTGTCATTCATCATCCTTCATCAGCCAAACCCACGCGCCGCAATATATTGCAAGTATTAATTAAAGTATTAAATAATAATGGAAATAATAATAATTATTTTTTGTAATTATTATAAATATTATTATTGTTACTAAACTCTGTGATATTACAACGTATTCACGTTGGTTACATTGGGAAGGTTCTGTTTAAAAAACCTTGCTTTAAAAATGTTTCTGTATTAATTAGTTTTTTCCAATTTCATAGCAAATACTTTTTTACAGATTGAAATTTTTGTGAGATAGTTTGATAGTAGGTCATCTGTTGACAAAACAATTCACTGAAACAAAATGAATTTGCGCACAGTATTTTGATTTTTTTTTTAGACAAAATTTTCATTATTTACTTTAAAACGGTTAAAATTAAGGATACCTATTTTCGATCTTCAGTTTCAATCTTACCATTTACTGCGTAGCGAGAAATTCTAATGACCTTGTTTGATTGCAAATGAATCTCGGTTGCAAGATTCTATGTGTGGGTGAACGGTGAGGTTTTTCATACACAGACGCACGCACAACACACGTACACGATCGCACACATGTTAACACACATACAAACACAATACACACAAGCACAGTCACGAACAAACTGTTTGATGCTGTATTAAATCTTGCACGTTGTATTCATGTGGTTTGCGGTCGGGACGTATGTAAGAGCCTCTTGAAAAATTATTCAAACAATGTGTTTCTTCATGGTTTATAGAATATTTTCGCGAGGTTCGTATGCTAAGTTAACGTTTGTATAAAACTGTTGAGTCATTTATTAAAAATTTGTTTTTTTTTATTTAATTTAATAAAACTGTTGAGTCATTTATAAAAAAAATACTATTTTTTATTTAATTTAATAAAACTGTTGAGTCATTTATTATAAATTATTTTTTTTTATTTAATTTTTTCTTAATTAATTTTCAGCTGTGGTCACTCAAAAAATTCCGACTCCGGGTAAAAATTTCCATCCCCTGACTTCAACTCTGGGTTCGGCTCCCAGAAAAAACTTTCAACTTTTGCATCCTAGTTTTACTTAATATCTCTACCAAATAAAAAATACTTTAAATCAGTCAATGTAATAATGTAATTGTTTTTATAAAGAAAATTATTTTGTATTTACGCTTCAAAACATACTGAAAAAATTGTAATTTCATTCACATTATTAACATTTATTTTCAGTATAAAAAACAATTGCATATCGCTGCACAAGTTTATCTTCTAAAATAAGGGATTAAAAAAAAATATTTTCAAAATAGAAGCTGAAAACATCTTCAAATTCTCAGCATTCTCCGGAGTCGGATGAAAAATATCCGACTCGGCAAAATCCGGTAAAAATATTCGACTACGACTGAATCTCAAACTAAGAAGTACCAACAGACATTGCATGTGATGGATAGGTTGTTTCTTTTTACATTTGAACTCAACCAATACAACAGCAAGCTAGGCATCTTGACTATTTAACAATTTTGGCGACAGAATAAGGATGAAAATTTAATTTTTTGATTAAAAACAAGTTTTAAATAGTTCAAACTGAAAACTTTTATCGCATTGAATATAATGAATAATCCCAAAATAGATTTTTGGAGATGTTCATTCACGTGTAAAGAATTTTTATTTAAGAAATTATCGGTCATCAAAATGCGGTTCTAGCATTTTCATTCCATTGTGGCTTTGGAAATTTTCAAGTTCATAAAAATAAATTATTCTGAATGCTAATTTTTCCATAATTTGTTTATTTTTGAAGGTGGAGAACATCATTTCTCGTTATAGAAAGGACTGGGAATCAAGATGGTGGCAGTCGGAGAATGGAGTGCACAACGTTTCCTTGCAGTTAGATCTTGAAGCCGAGTTCCATTTCACTTTTCTGACTGCCAAGTTCAAATCCATCAGACCCGCTGGTATGGTCATTGAACGATCCTATGATTTTGGAAAAACATGGAAGGTAATGTCTAAAAAATTTGTCTTCGCTGTTAATTAAATTTTCATTAGTAGCAATATCGCGGTGTTTCGCGTTTAACCACTACGCAATGCTTTCACTCAGGTGTACAAATACTTCTCAACCAATTGCACTCGCTTGTTTCCTAACATGACCATCGGACAACGTTCTCACCACTGCGATGAAAAACAAACAAAAATGTTTCCAAGCTCAAAAGGAGAGGTCTAATCTTTTATATCTTTATGGCACATAAAACTGTTGTAATAATTTATAAAGAATTTTAATTTTGCTTGATGTGATGTCTAATTTCTAAATGTTCAACGAAATTTCAAATTAATAATGAATATTCAAACCAACGTCTCCTCCTCCGAAGATCTACTTTGCTCCGATCCAAAACAGCAGCCTCAAAATTTATAGCAAAGAAATGCAGAATCTCCTGAAAGTGACGAATCTGAGGATCAACTTCACGAAGCTTCATTCACTTGGTCGGAACAAGTTTCAACAAATTTTTTTTTCTAAAATAGATCAAAACGTAAACATATTCTTGCCCAAAACTCGTTAATTGTTAAAAATACTCGTAGATGACCAGTTTTTGACGACGCAGTCAAACATCAAGCACTTCTACGCCGTGTACCAGCTTACCATCCAGGGAAGATGTTCCTGCTACGGACATGCAGACACGTGCAGTGGAGTGCCGGGCGAGAAAAACAATATTGACGTATGTCAACAACTTTTTTTTTTCGTGAAGTTTTTGATGCAAGTTTAACTGTATTTTTTTAAGAGATCTATATTTCTTATAAATACGTATTAAATATGGGTACGTAAAACAACAGTTGGGTCTCAAATTTACGAAAGTTATTTCAAGTACAATCTAGGAAAATTTTGTAGGTGCGAATAAATGCATTATTATAAGCTTCAACGTCTTTAATAAGTATGATTCTGTTGAAAAAATATAACGAAGTGAAGTACATTGAGATTGTTGAGTAAACAAAATATCAATGTTACTCACAAATGTTTACATTAATAAATTATCAGCAATTTTCATTTAAAATTGAACAAAAACCAGACATTCACTCGTATCACCTATATATTGTTTTCGCGAAACTGAAATAACAAAAACTGATTACACAGTGTTTCAAAAGCAGAGCGTTTATCTTTTTTTATGTGCATCATGTTGGTGAAGATAAGTTTTGCGTTTCTGCAGTTTGTTTGTTGTTGCCCTGGCTGCCATTGTCCCACAATCAGTTGCATTCCGCAATCTGATCTGCATTGCTCATTTCTCTCTACCTTTCTAATTTAATTTCTATTATACATAAGTTTGATAATTTTCATAAGCTTTGGCTGTTATGTATGTATGTAGGTATATATATATATATGTGTGTGTGTGTATATATATATATATATCATGTATATATATATATGTATATATATAATATATCTTTATCTTTGATATATTTGATAGTCGAACACAATCATGAAAGAAAAATTTTTTTGAGTTTTTTTTTACCTCGAACAACTGTTACGATAGGAAATAACAACGTGAACAAATTTGTAATAAAACAAATTATGTGTGTGTGTGTGTCACACATTCACATACACTCACATACACACATACCTACACACACATAAATATATAATAAAACAACACTCATACTCTTACACATGTGTCTTCGGTTTAAACCTGCAACAGTTTCTTTAATCACTTCTGTTCCTCGCCGTGCACTGTTGAAATGCAGGCTTGTTTCAAGATCGCTTTTTTTTAGAAAATAATTTACAATAGGTTTTTAAATGAAAAATTATAAAAGAATTTTAAAATTATATATATATAATTATTAAATATAAAATTATTAAATATAAATATATGCGTAATATAAAATTGTACACCAATATATTTTTTTAAAATAGCTATTAACGATTTTATCAGTTCACAATTTGACCTACGAACAAAAAATAGTTACCATGCATTAAAATTTATTTCAAACACATTCATTTGCAGTTTTTTGCACATACAATTGTTTAAATATTGTTTAAATATATAAATAACCATATACATATATTAAAAAACTTTCATATAAACTATTAATGATAGTTGCGAAGCAATGAGTAAAAAATCTCTCTTTTTTTAAACAATTGCATCTAATACAATCTTATGCGGAGATAGGGTGTGTGTTTGCATAGATATGTACAATGTACAGTACATGCAACACACACAGACACACAGACGTTAATACTATATTACTATAATCTGGTATGTTTATATAACTTTCGAATCATGCTCATACGGTGAATTATTTTCTCATCCAGCCAACCAGTCAGGCAGATATTTATTTAGACGTGATCAAGTTACAATCTTAACTGAGTCAGACTGGCATCGACGCATACATGTTCACAAATCCTACTAACCAATATTTCTACACATCTATCTTGATATTCTTAAAAAAACACATAACTAATAAATTTTAAATATTTTTAAAATATTCATATAATTGGATCATTCAACATTTCGAAGCTGATAAATATCCTCATTTTAAAAATAAGTACATTTTGGTTTGCTTGTATTTGCATGCCCAAAGAAAAATTTATTTTGGAAATTTTTAAAAGCAAGCAGTACTGGTGACATTTTTATGACTTTTTATTTTACATTTAAACTCTCTCCTGATTAGAATTTGATTAATGCAAATCTTTACCTGAATTCGTTTGAAACAGTGTTTTGACGACGTCCAACTTCTGTTCCGGCTTAAAATGTAAGCTTCCCATCACATCAGGATGTTTTCGTGTGTGTGCGTGCATGTGTGTGTGTTTGTATGTGTGTATGTTCACTTGTATCTCATACGTAAAACAAGTCATGGAATGTTTTAAGATTTTAAGTTAGTAACGGAGCAGTTGATAAGTGAATGGAAGAGCCAAAAAATTTTTATCATATAAAAAACTGGAAAAAAAATATAATAACTTGTAATGGTATTTATTTTCGTATGATATATTATATATGAAAGAAGTATGATGGAGTTAGGTAAAGTAGAGAGTATAATAACATGTATTTGCGTACCATTATGAGAGATGACTCATCATTTAACATGATGAAGATTCTTTTGTGGGTTTCGCTAATTGCTAACAGACGTCTGCTTGGTGTTAATCTTATATTTTATTTTGCAATGTACAACACTGAGATGTATTATTTCCAACCAATTGTGTTCTCACGCATTTATTTACGAGATACTTTCATAGATATCACAAACTTACTCTATTTTAATATGGAGTTATAATCCGCTGTCTTCCCTATCTCAGATTTGCTGTTAATAATTTTTATTCTTTATCTTTTTTGTCTTTACATGTCCAAACACATTTTTACATTACTTTTCTATTTAAATGACTTTCAGTACGGCAAATGTAGTTAAAACTCCATATATAATAAATTTGGAATACTTTAATCTGATTCTAAAATTATAACCTAATACGACATGCTGAAAGTGAATGTATACGAAAAAGTGCTTTTGAGTAAAATTGGACGTAGCAAAATGTTAAAGTCAGATCAATCAGTGGTAAGAGACTCATTTGCTAAATAGATGGCAATCATACATAATAGACTGAATGGGCAATATTTGCTGTTGGATATCGCTTCCTAACCTAGAGATGAAAGTTGGTTTATTATTAAGCCATGCTGTTGATGTATAAAATGAAAAATTTTAATTCTGTTTTAAAACCTTCCTAGAGCTAATTTTGGTTGAATGTAGACAAACTCTCCACAACTTCAGACTTTTCTGATAATTTTTTATTTTTTGCATTTTTCTCGTTACGCGTCCATATCCATTCACATAACATTATTTTTCTCATCTTTCTTAATTTTTTCTACTATTTTTGACAATTTTTTATTGTTTTTTAAATTTTTAAAGAAAAAATTCTATAGAAAAATTATTTCTCATTATTTTCTGCAATCATTTAACTTCGGAAATTTCAAAGTCCGCTTAGTTTAAACACCAATTAAAAAGATATCAATTTGATTAACATATTTTTTGAATATGAGGTGAAAAATGTTTGAACTTTGAACTTAACTCTTTAAAGGGCAAGGTGCATGCCAAGTGTGAGTGTGCCCACTTCACGACGGGTCACAACTGCGAACAGTGCATGGACTTTTACAACAACCTGCCCTGGAGACCAGCCACCAAGGATAATTCCAACGCCTGCCAAAGTAAATTTTTCATTTTTATAACATTATTATAGCTTACAAAATTGAGCATGGCTTTACTTTTAATTGCGCTTTAGTGCACGATAAGACTACGTTTTGTGGTTTTGCAAAAATGTTATCACAATCCAGTCATTTTTGAAGACTTCCACTATTTCCTCTTTGAAATTGTTTTAGATTTTAAAATTGATACAAAGTACAACACTAATATTGTTTCATCATTATAATTAAAACTGTCGGCCTTCATAATTTAAACGTTAGAAATCATAAACTCCATATTTAAAACATAACTAGTCCCACAATCATATCGACGTTTTATTCAAAATTCTTCACAAAATTTTAAAAAAGCGCCATTAAATGCAAATGTACGGATATTTACAACAAAATCCCACTAGGAGCAGCATGAGTCACAGGATTAATTTATGTTTTTTAAAAATTTAAATAATTGATGATAATTTTTATTAGATTCACAAAACAACTTTATTTTGATAACTTGTCTTTGTTGGATTCATTGATACATTACATTACAAAGTTTAACGAAAATTACGCTTTTCACAATAATCTATGTTTTAAAAAGATAAAGTAAATTAGCTAAAAAATTTTCTTCTGATCATTCTTTGAAAATTCATTTTTTACTGATTTTTTAACGTAAGTATGAGGCTAAATTCGTGTTTATCATCGTCCACATCTGCAAACTTTTTCATAACCTCCTTTGACATCATCGTAACATGAAAGCCTTCAATCGCTCTGAAGCAGATTACATCTGCAAACTTTTTCATAACCTCCTTTGACATCATCGTAACATGAAAGCCTTCAATCGCTCTGAAGCAGATTACAATCAAATGCCAATAACAAATATAAAAAACGAATGTAATATTATTATTATTATTTTCTATTAACTATTACTATCATTGGATGAATATTTCTTTCGAGAAGATGCACTCAAGTGGTGGTTGGATCCGATTTTAAAAGTAACCTGTTTTTCAAAAAATTTACGAACTTCTGCAGCGATGTAGTAAATCGGCTGATGGAGAATTGGAGGATAAATAAAGTACAATTTATGCCTATACTTCTTTAACAGACTTCAATTTACGATTTGTTCGATAATTTCCATTACAAAACGAGCAAAGTTTATTAAAGGTTCAACACTTTCGGTTGGATGTTTTTAACGCTATTTGAAAGTTTATAAACTTGATTAAGTGACCATTTAAAATGGGAGATTTATCTTAGATATTTATCCAGTTAAGTTTCATCATGTTGAATTAAACAATTACGTTCAATTGTTTTTATTGGTTTGTTTCAGCAATTAACATGCAATCGATGAAATAATTTCAGAATGCAACTGCAACATGCACTCGATGAAATGCCACTTCGACCCTGTCGTTTACGTCATCTCCAACCTGACCAGTGGAGGGATCTGCGATGATTGCCAGCACAACACTCAGGTATTGTTTCATAGTTTTTAACGTTATAAAATATTTTTAATGAATTTTGAATTTGTTACTATTTAAAATACAAAAGATACCTTTCAATTTCTTATGTTTTTATAAAAATGCAACGTATCCAAAAATTTGAGATCCGCGGTATTCGGGTCTAGATGTTAGGTCCGTGCGGTTTCGGATGCTGGCAAAATCAAAATTTATTAGCTACTATAGTTCAAATTTAATTTTAAAGTTGTTCAAATTGAATCTCCAGCATTCTGTTCAGCGAATTCAAATCTCATCCGTATTCCAGAATTTGATTTAGAATCCGAATCTGGATTTGAAACTATTCTATTTATATTATTATTTTATAACAGTATTTATTGCGATGCTTTGGATGTTAAATTGTTTGAACCAGTTGAAACCACAACGAAGCATTATGAATAGTATAAAATAATAAAATAATAATTAAATATAAATTAAATTAAGTTATCGACGTATTCGAACAGGGGTACAACTGCGAGCAGTGCAAGCCCTTCTTCTACCACGACCCAGGCAGACCTATCACTGATCCATACGCATGTCAAAGTCAGTCCAATCATGATTCCTCTTTTTTTTACAATAAAAATTTTACATTTTCTAAATTTTATAACAAAGTTAATAAAAATTAATTGAACGTCAAAATTTAAAAAAGGTTGTAATTGTGATCCAAGAGGTTCCCTCTACAAAGGTGAGTGCGAGCCGAAAAATAACTTTGTATTGGACTTGGCAGCCGGTCACTGCCACTGCAAGGAAAATGTCGAAGGTTCGTTCATGTGCATGTACAAACAAATTAATAATGTGCGTGGGTTTGTTCAGTAGCTTACACGTCGTTACAAGTTTTGTTCAATGAATGAGCAAATTCATTTTTGCAAAATAAAAATCGATTTTATTGAATTGATATGAAAAAATGTGTCTTTCTTCCATTTGCAAACATTTTATAACAAACACAATAAAGATGTTCAAGCAAACTAAGAAGAGCACTACTCTCATAAGTAACAAATGTTGCTGTAAATGTTGATGTATCACTAATAATTTGATCACATTGCGCAACAACACAATGCAACAATTCAATGCAACAACATGCAACAACTCAATTCATCAAAATGCAAAAATAAAATATCAACAATGTAACAGTTATAAATTAACGGTGCATCAATAAAATGCAGCAAACAAACCTGCAAACAACAATAATGCAAACAAATAAGCAAACAAACGAACTAACAAACATGAGCGCAGGGACCAGATGTGACACGTGCAAGCAGGGATTTGCCAAACTGAGCGACGATCATCCTTTAGGGTGTGAGGGTAGGTAAAGATGATTTGTGGCCATGAAGATGATTTGTGATTATGAAGATGAATGTGAAGATGATTTGTGATTATGAAGATGATTTGTGATTATAAAGATGAATGTGAAAATGATTTGTGATTATGAAGATGAATGTGAAGATGATTTGTGATTATGAAAATGATTTGTGATTATGAAAATGAATGTGAAGATGATTTGTGATTATGAAAATGATTTGTGATTATGAAAATGAATGTGAAGATGATTTGTGATTATGAAAATGATTTGTGATTATGAAAATGAATGTGAAGATGATTTGTGATTATGAAAATGATTTGTGATTGTGAAAATGAATGTGAAGATGATTTGTGATTATGAAGATGATTTGTGATTGTGATAATATTGATTACAATTAATTTGATCACGATAATGATAGTGATGGTTGTGATGAATAATTTTGTAATTAGTTAAGCAGATTGCTTACGCAAAATCATCCTATTTCATTGAGTGATATTTATTACTAAAGTATTTTGATAAGAGGCACACATTTCATAATGTTAATGTTTTTACAAAATATCTTTCCTGTTGTCATTTGCAGCCTGCGACTGTCATCCAATCGGAACATCCATAGAAGAAGGGACGTGCAATCAATTTACCGGTGAATGCAAATGCAAGCGATTTGTTACAGGCAAACAATGCGACAAGTGCCGGGTTAGCTCATTTCGTCCTCTGAATAAAACGTTAAATCATTGTGTATAATTGCTAAATATTTTTCATGTTATGACCACTTGTTATAATGTGGTTGAGCGGTTTAAAGGAGTTTTCTTCGTTTCTTCACTCACTCGATCTGCTGAATATGTGTTTCTATGACATTAAAATGGGACATAAGTTTTTTATTACGCACAGTTAAAATCAATTCATTTGGAATCAACTCAACAGCCCGGATATTGGAACTTCGGCAAGCAACCACAGGGCTGCACCCCCTGCGATTGTGACATCGGTGGTGCTGCTGACTGGAATTGCAACCAAATGGATGGAGGATGCACCTGCAGGCCGAACATCATCGGACGCTACTGCAATGAAGTGCCCTCCAAATATTTCGTGCCTGGTCTCGATTATTTGATTTATGAAGGAGAATTCGCTGATGGCATTGGGGTGAGATTTTTAAACTTAAAAATTGTTTCATGCAACAACCTACACAACCTTTTTAAAATATTCTTAAATTTGTTCATAAAAATTTTAATTTATCAATATTTATGCACAGCCATTTAAAAATTTGATTAAAAGAGGTATGAAGTGGAAAATAGAGAGATATATGAAGGGGGCTACAAATCGTGGACTGGCACGGGCTTCATGAGAGTCTACGAAGGATCTTCAATAGATTTTCACGTCAAAGGCATTCCCTACTCAACCCACTATGACGTCATTGTCAGATATGAAACACCAGTTAGTCTCGTCTGTTTTTTTTTGTTTGCACGTCATATAATTAATTTTTTGTCCAAAGCTTTTGTAGTTTGAAATAACATATAATTACATAACATAATGTTAGTTCAATAACGGTCTGAAATTTACGAAGGATCAAGGTACATGGCATGATGTGACGTTGTATGTCATGCGCTCAGAACCAACAAAACTGGGAACTCACTGCGGCAACGTCATTCACACCGACCAGAATGCTCCTGTCGAAATTTCGGATCGTTAGTTTGGACTGTCGATTAATTCTCACTTACAAATATGTTTGGTAATAAATTTTTAATACCGTCAACCCAGGTTTCAGGCACTACATTCTCATCCACTCCACGTGTCTCGAGCAAGGATCCGAACATAAAATCAGAATTAATTTTAACAAGTTTTCACCATACGAAACATCCCCCGATAAATTCGTCCTCGTTGATTCTGTAAGAGGGTGTTTCTTATTTGCGTTTCGTCCCTCTTCATCTTTGTGTGTCACTACATTCAGTAGTAAAAAATGTGTTTAATCGATTAACTATAAATTAATTCTTTTTTCAGGTTTATAGTTTTATTTTCATTTATGATAAAGTTAAATTTGTAAAAAAATTTATTTGTAATAATTATTTTTAACCTTGAAAATTAATTGATTGTCATAAATTGGCAGATTGTGCTGGTTCCATCCGCTGACCAGCACCCGACAATGCAGTTCACGGAATTGAACAACATCAGGAATGACTACGAGAGGTACGGATGCATCAACCACTACCTGTCACCAGCATATCAGTGGGAACTGCCAGCTGCCTGTAGAAAACTTATTTTCAGTGCTTCGGCATACATCCACGATGGCGCCCAAGGTTGGTGCATGCAGATAAGTTCTGATTAGCAAGGATTATTATATGTTAGCCACCGTAAATTTACTGTATTTTCAACGAAAGATTTATTTAATTGAATTTTAAAAAAATGTCTTGTTTATTCGTTTATTGAAATGTTCAAAAAACTACATTTGAAATACCAGCCTGTGATTGTGACCCGGTCGGTTCTGAAGATCCGGAGTGTGACGCCATCGGTGGTCAGTGTCGCTGCAAGCCAAACGTCGTCGGACGAAGATGTGACCAGTGTGAATATGCGCACTACGGTTTCGGACCTAATGGATGCTCTCGTTAGTCCGATTCTTCTCAAGTTTCTCATCATAATTTTCACCAAGTTGTGTTTATTTGAACGTCAACACAGTTGTTTAATGTCACACAGGCCTTTCAATTTAGCTGAAGTTTACACTTCCACCAGCTCAAACGCAGACATGTTTAGCGAATTATTCAATATAAATAAACTAAATTCGTTTGATTGAAGCGCATCGATACAACAAAATTGTACGGTTTTAAATACTCAATGCATGAAAAAGACTACCTATTATTTCTATAACTAAATAGGTTTCTAACATCTCACCTAACCATCAAATATTTGTTGAAACAGGTTGTAAGTGCAACATGATTGGATCATTGGACAACAACTGTAACGTAACGACGGGTCAGTGCAAATGCATTCAGAATGCTTACGGCTTGAGATGCAGTGAATGTCAGAGAGGCTTCTTCGGTTATCCTCACTGTCGACCCTGCCAGTGCAACGGCATGTCTGACGATTGCGACGGGGAGACTGGTCAGTGCTTGGCCTGCAGAGACAACACAGGGGGACACAATTGTGAAAGGTTTTGTTGTTTATTTGGACTGTTTCTCGCTTAGTTGGAATTCTGAAATTTTTATGCCACATTTGGTCTTCTGCAGTGAATTAATGATTTATCAGAACGTCCATATCCCGACATTACAAATATTAACTCAGGATTACAAAAGTTACGCTTCCGGAAACGTTTTTCAGACGTAAACAAATTTATTGGCTAATTGTGACAACAAAGAAATTGACTGAATACTTTGTTATTCGAGATTATTATGGAATTAATAATAAATTGATTTCAGGTGTGCCGACGGCTACTACGGTGATCCACGCACAGGAGGATGCAAGCCCTGCATGTGTCCAGGGGGAGCGGGAAGTGGCGCACAGCACGCCAGAACGTGCCACCAGGATCCTTCGACTGGCACCGTCATTTGCCACTGCGATGAGGGTTATTCAGGTCAAATTGGTCCTTCTTTCTGTCTCTCTGTGTGTTTTTTTTCTTGTTTGTGTTTGCGCTGCCATTAGTTTCATATCCTTCGAGTATCAAGGAATGTCTACCGTTAATGTGCTGAGCTGTTGTTTGTACTTGAAAGCATGAAAGTTGTGTGTGACGTGTAGTCTGTTTGAATGGAATATTATTGAAAAATAAAAATCTATGTGCATCTCATTTGATCATCCTCCGTCATTTTATGTAATAATCGTCATGATTTCTACTTTTTTTAAAAAAACATTTTAAGCCTCAGTCGCTTGCTCTTACGTTTTAAAAAACTTCATTATTATTATTTATTATTATTATTATTTATATTTATCATCATTTATTATTATTATTATTAATGTACCTCATAACTTGAAACTAAGCATAATTTTGTCAATTCTATTCAAGCATTAATAATTAAAATAGCATAAAATAGCAGCGAAATGCAATCCCACCAGGATATCAATGCGATCGATGCACACAAAACTACTTTGGAGACCCTCTGATCTCCGGCGGCACGTGCCAACAATGCTTGTGCAACGGAAACATCGACCTCTCCGTACCTGACAGCTGTGATTCGACGACGGGAGAGTGTCTAAAATGCCTCTACAACACCATCGGATACTCGTGCAACCGCTGCAGGCAGGGCTATTACGGAGATGCTGTGCAGAAAACGTGCAAACGTGAGTTGGTCAACTTCTAAGTTACGTTTTGATGATGACGGCATGAAAGACGTGATCTCTGAATATTAAAATGTTTTGCCTGACTGTGTTGAAACTGATATAAAATTTTAAATAAGAAATTATGTTTGCTGATGAATGAACAACTTGGAACCGCACCATGCACGTGGTAATTTTTTATTTTTAAAAGCATGCGAGTGTAGCGCTCTGGGCACAAACAAGACTCTGGCGAATGATTGCGATCACGTGACCGGCCAATGTCATTGCCTGCCGAACGTCGTAGCTAGGAAGTGTGACCAGTGTGAAATAAACCATTGGAGATTGTACGGGGGGGATGGGTGCATTCCCTGCGACTGTGACCCCACTGGATCGCTGATGGAGCAGTGTGATGTGGTTTGTACTTCGGCCTCAACAACTTCTCTGCTTACAAATTATATTAAAATTTGCTTCATTTTAAAGAATTTCATTAAGAAAAAATGAATTTGTGGCTAAAAATTAATTCATAATTAATGTTAAAATTCTGTTTGTAAAAGTCACATCCTCTACATTCCTGAATTGCTTGATCCAAAAAAATTTGATAGTTTTATTCATACTCACTTAGATTTTGTTGGTTATTTTGGTTTTTACGCTATTAATTTCAAAATTATTTTACGTATGCCGCAATTGTTGCGTGTCCCTGACGTGATTGAATAGCCTTACAACAGCTGCTCTAATTTTTTTATCACTGATTATAAAAATCTCATCCTGAAGTTGCAAAAACAAATTTCATTTTAGTTCCAAGGTCAGTGTCCGTGCAAGACTGGAAGAGGAGGCAGGGACTGCAGTGAATGTCCCGCATACCACTGGGGCTCGCCCGCCATCGGATGCAAACGTTTGTTCTCTCTATTTTTAACAACATAATTAATTCTATTATATCTTCAATTATGTGCATCAATTTTTTTTATTTTGAAATTTTCAATTTTTGAATTGACTCGATTTATTTTAATCGTTCTGTACAATTTTTTTAGCTCTGGTAAGGGAATAAATATGAGTTTGAGTGAAACTGTTTATTTTGCGCTTTTTAAAATGTTATTCGCCTACAATTTCACAATTACAACTAGATAAGTTGAATTTAAGTTCGGTTATTTCTGATACCGTCAAAACAAATTTCATTAGTATCATATTTTCATGATGGAAAAGTTACTTAAATAACAAGCGCTGTACGACTAAACTAATTTCCAAATTTATTTGATTAATATATTAATTTATTTCAACTAATTACTTTAAAATTTTTATATAATCATCATGGTATTTATTGACAAAATCGAAAAAGACGCAAGACGATAATTTCTTCATTTTGTTTATCATAACGTTAAAACATTATTCACAACGATCATGTTTCTAACAACAACAACAAACAAACAAGCAAACAAACAAACCAGCAAACAAACAAACAAACAAGCAAACAATGATACAAACAAACAAACACAAACGAGCAAACAATCAAACAAACAAACAGCATGTAGTTGTAATCCGGACGGTTCCACCTCGAGGCAGTGTGACAAGCTGACTGGTCAGTGCAAGTGTCAGAAGGGAGTGACCGGTCTGAAGTGTGATCGATGTGATAGAGGCACGACGGGACAGCTGCCACACTGCCAGCCCTGTGGCGAATGTTTTGACAACTATGATGTCCTCATCCATGATTTAGAAGGTTCATTCTGTTCTGATTCGCTTTATGTATTTGCTCTGCTTGTAGAAAATGCTGGATAAAAATGACTATTTTTTATGTTGAAGTTAAGTTTTAAACATTTTATATTTAAAAAATTTTTAAATTTTCTTTTCATAAATTTTGCGTCATAAATTTATATTTTAAAAAATGAGATAAAATGTGGCAGCTATAGTTAATTTTATTGTCGTCATACTGTGAACACCATTGTCACTATCATCACCATACTATTACCATCATCGGATCATCGTAATCTTCGGGGCATCATCATCACCAACATCGTCAGTACCCGCATCATCATCAGCATCATCTTATCATCACCACCACCATCACCATCATCATCATCATCATCTTTCAACAGGAGCCGTGATAGATGTGAACAAGCAAGTGTACGACATGCGATTGTCAGAGAAGAACAAGGCCTACAGAGCAGAGTTTAACGACATCGAGGACGATCTGAACGATTTGGATTACTTGGTTCATCATCTCAATGCATCTCACACGGAAAAATTCATTGCCGAATGTGTTGATGAGGAATTCAAGTTAATTATTTTTGTAGAACCATCGTGTTTGTATAAATTTGGTGAAGTTATTTATTCATGAATTTAACTTATTACTATTTTTTGAAAAACATCAAGTTTTGTCTAAATATCAACGTGGAGGTATCAAGGGAAGATCTACGTTAGATCATTTGATATCACTTGAAACTCACATAAGACAAGCTTTAATACAGAGTGAACAAGTAATAACTCTTGGACATTGAAAAGGCCTATGACACAGCTTGAAAATATGGTATCCTAAAAAAATACATGAATCCGGATTAAGAGAACCTCTTCCCAAATTCATTCAAAGTTTTTTTTATCAAACCGGTCATTTAAAGTCAAGATAAATAATGTCCTTTCAGAAACGATGCCTCCAGAGTTCGGTATCTCTCAAGGCAGCATTTTGTCACCATTTTGTTAGCTTAGATAATATCACCAAAATAATTCCTAAAAACACGATAATCTGTCTTTACATGGATGATGTCACAATTATTTTTAAAAATAAAGACATGATTAAAATGCAGAACGAAATAAACAGAACGCTAAAATCTATTGAAAATTGGGCACTGGAGAATAGAATAAAATTTTATAATTCAATGTCTAGAGCTATGCTTTTCTCAAGAAAACAAAAAAGGATTTTTCCGAACTTAAATTTAAAAAAAATAATCTTGAGTTTTCACAAGAATACAAATATTTAGAAAAAATATTTGACTCAAAATTAAATTTTATTCCCCATATTTTGGAAACAAAAAATGCCTTAAAGCGCTTAATTTAATCAAAGTGTTATCCCAAAATAAATGAGTAGCAGACCAAAAGCATCTAATAACAATTTTCCAAGCAACTATACGAGCAGTATTGGATTATGGTTCTCAAGTATATGGCTCTACACAAAAATCCTACATGAAGATTCTACACCCAATAGTAAACGAATCGTTAAGAAGGTGTCTAGGAGCATATAGAACATCACCATCTATAAGTTTCCATGTTTTGGCAGGAGAAATGCCATTAAATTTAAGACACCAAAAATTAGCTTTAAATTACTTTCTAAAAATAAAATCTCAGATGAAAAACCCGGCATATAAACTAACTAAGGCACCAAAATCAAAATCAATTTCAAGATTTCCAATAAGACTAAATGAACTCATCAAAGACATTAATAATATAAAGACCATGGAAAAATTAAAGTTTGAATTTCCTCCTTGGTTACTAAAGCAAAGGAAACGTGTTCATGGATTAATGATGCACCTACCAGGAGCTGCTTCAATATACACTGCAGAGATCCATGCTATAGACATGGCTTTAAATTTTATTATTAATTCAGAGAAAAATAAATTCATAATATTTTCGGATTTCTTGTCTACTCTATTAGCTTTGAAACAATACAAAGCCATAAATCCATTAATAATTCAAATGCAAAATAAGATTCATAATATCCTGGATAACAACAAAAAATTAATTATAATGTGGATTCCCAGCCACACTGGAATTGAAGATAATGAAAAGGTAGATCAGATGGTTTCTCAAGCTCATTCGATGCCATTGTCTAGAGTTCCAATTCCGTCCAGTGATTTCGAGAATTTAGCAAACAATTTTATTGTTGAAAAAGAGCAGCAGGAATGGAATAAAACATCAAATTTTTTAAAATTAAGTATGCCATCAGCAAATAACAAAAAGTTCAAAAATAGTTATTTAAATCGTCATCTTCAGTCTGTTATCAATAGATTAAAAATAGGACACTCAGCAATCACACATTCCTGGATCCTCAACAAAACAAAGCCACTTTATTGTGAAGCCTGCGACAAAAAACTATCTATTCAGTATATATTAACTGAATGTGAAAAATCAGATCAGAAAGAAACTCGGGGTTCCATCAAATGTAGAATTGCTCTTCAGAAATAGAAGTCAGGAAGTCTTGATTTCATTTGTGGAGGAGATAGATTTGATCAACAGAATTTGAAGTTTTCTAGATGTCACAACAAAATAATCAGTTTATAATGATCCAATGGCGTTAAAATAGCCGCATTGTGCTGAAACGCAGTTAAGCTGCAAAAAAAATTTATAATTTTTATATAGGCAATTTTGTTTATTCGTTTTTTGTTTTTCTATGTTTAATTTTTTCTTCCATTACTTTGAATAGTCAAAATAGTAATAATGTGACTGAAAAGATTTGTTTAAAAAAAAGATTAAACTTTATAAAAATTAAAAAGTAAAAATTAAATAGAAATATTTTAGAATAGTCTAGTTTTCTAATGACACAACAGAAAATATTTTCAATAATGAACATGTTCTGCTCATCTGTTTATTTCTGTTAGTTTAGTAGGTTATTTTTATCTTTATGACATAATTGTCGTTACCGTTTGAAACTTATTATTATTAGTTGACGAATGATATCTTCAATTCTTAATTTTTAATTTTTAAAATTTGATTTAAAAAGGAACAAAACGAAGGAGATGGAGAAGATGTTGATCGCAAAAAGTGGCGACAACGAAGCACATGATCATCAATTCCAGACCCTCGTCGAAAAGTTCGTTCAGGTTAACCAAACTTTTGAAAAAGTGAAACACGATAACAATGATCTGCTGGGAGAGGTGAAGTTTTTTGAAGAGAACGCAATATACGAACAAGAACAAAATGTCGAAGGTTAGCCGATGACGATGATAACAAACTACTGCTCTGTTTTATCTTTCGATGAAATTTTTATAATAATTATAATAGTACAGTAAAAATATTATTAACTACCGTTAAATTATAATTTTGAAGAACAATATTCATTTTTTAATAAGATAATTTTAATGTAAACTTTAAATTTTATATTCAAGTTGCTTATTTTATTGAAATTAGACAATAAAAATCAAACAAAAAATTAAAACAAACGTATTTTAAACTGAAAGGAGCTCACAAAAGTATCTTGGAGAGTATGAATTCAGTGGAGGTGATGGAGGCTAAGGTGCCGTCACTGAAGAATCAAATCAGTTGGTACGCTGGTGAGGTTCAAAAGAAGAATGAAGGTCTCGATCACTTTGATGATCAAAAGAAAGCTGACGCTGAAGATGGCAACGACGACTACGATGACGCCGCTGAAGTCGATCATATGGCTGCCATGGAAAAAGAAATCAACAAGATTAAGGATCAAATTTTGGACTTGAATTTTGAGGTTTTTAAACAAAACTTTTCATTATTATATTGACTGACATAATCGTGTAGTAGTAAAAGAGACTAAAACTATGCTTCTACGGTGGGTCAGTAGGTTATTATCATCAAATAAATGTTGAAGATATAAAAAGGTTGGTCTTACGTTTCAACTGATTTTTCTTATTTTTAAACGAAAAATTATTGAAATATTTTTTACACTTTCATTAAAATTTTCAAAAACTTGAAGTCATTCTCACCACTGTGAGTAATAAACTTTATTTCATTTCAAAGTAAACTCACATGCTGCTTGAAATGTTTAAATGTGAATGTAATAACGTGCAATCAGACGTGTGGAGGTCAGGGTAAAACTTGTGATGACAAGTGTGGTGGAGCCAACTGCAAAACATGCGGAGATGACAATGACCATACATGCACTGACGGTTCGGTCACTAAATCTGTTGTTGCTTTTAAAAGTTTTAAAGAGTCTGAAGGTGTGTTAGGGCAGTTGGTCAAGCAGGCTAATTCTTTGACACTCAATGTTAGTTCCATTCTATAAAATTTTTATAAATTGTCTTCATGTTAAATAACACAAGTTTGATGTAATTTTATTTTAATAAATTATTTTCAGTTAAGTCAAATCAGCAAGAACTGCACAAAGTCGGAACAAGAAGTGAAAAAATTGGCAGAAAGGTCTAAGCAGGCCAGATCAGACTCGGAATCGAATCTGTCAAACATCACTTCTCTACAAAACGAAGCCAAGGAATTTATGGAAAAAGAAAAGGAATTGTCAGATGACATTAAAAAGGTAGATTCCATTTTTTAACCATTTTTCTGATTAGTATCTTCAACAATATTGATTTGGCTACACATTTCTTAAATTCTTAAATAGTTCATTACACACACACACACACACACACACACATATACACACAAACACACACATATATATATATATAGATATGTTGGTAATAGACCATAATTTTTACAATATTCTATAAATTCTACCGAATGTTTGGCGTTAATATGTTTGTAGTTCGTTTTTTCGATTTTTCTCACTAAAGTTTTTTGGTGAACGTTTAGTTTATTGAAATTCAAAATAAACCTATTTTTCGAATTCATGCTGCAAATAAGGCCATATTTCGATTTCGAATGAATCATCATCAGTGCTCCTTGTTGTATATATAGGGAAATATTGACTTTGTCAAGATGAACTTTGAATATATATATATATATATATATATATATATATATATATATATATACATACATGTAATTGGATATGTTAGAAGGAGACCATATTTTAAGCAGTATTGTACGAATTCTACCAAATATATATATATATATATATATATATATATATATATACACATACAAATATATACATGTTTATATTATTTTATAATTGAAACGCATATAGTATGGTGTAATATTTTCAAGAGTTTTGTTACAAAAGGTGTACAACGACACGATGTCCGTCAGTCTGGAGATATATGAGCCACGTCTGAAGGAATTAAGTGAACAAATAAAAACAGCGGCCCAAAGTCTCGAAGATGTTCGCCAAATAACCGTCGATACCAAACAGGACCAGGAAGCCAGCAGTAGAGCCGCTGTAGAAGCTTCTCGCGTTTTGTTCGTTTAATTTTTAATTGTATTTTCATATTTATTTAATTCAGATATTTATAAATGATTAGTGATAAGCAAATTCCACATTTATAGAAACATATAATTTCAGTCAATACTAAGTACCTATATTTGATAGTTTGTGTGCTCACAGCTTTCTAACTGCGAGCCCTAGCATTGAATGTATATCTCTGTGATCCTGTGATGATCATTTTAAACTCATATTTTCATCATAATATTTGCAATTTCAAATTTTTAACTTGTTTAGTTTATCATTCAATGAATTTTGATATTGCTTCTAAATTTAAAAGTTAACTCATTTTCATTACAAAGTCGAAATAATAAGAGAATTTCCACAGTGATTTATAATAAAAGTTAACTCCGTTTTTTAGAAATGACTTGGAATTATTCACTTAATTCCATAACTGATGTTTTTAAAACTTCCATCTGAACAGAAACGATAGCAGACGCTTGCACGGAGATTTAGAAAAAGGTTTGAAAGACATGAATGACTTAATGGGAGTTGATGATTTGACAGCTATGGTAGAAACTTTGACAAATGATTCAATGAAATTTAAAGAAGATGTCAATGCTGTAAGTAACAAATTCATTATTTTACAATCGAAATATTTTTAACAAAACTTTTTCATTTTGATACTATAGACTTCAAATGACGCTGGGTTAGCAAATCTTATTAAAAAAACTTTTTTTTAAGATTTCTCTCACAGGAATAATTATGTTAAACTTAGTCGTCATTGTTTCTAATTTAATTAAATTAAAAAAAATTATTTTACAAAAAAGCATAGGTTTTTGTTTAAAAATTAAATTTTATATTTTATTTTCAATTTAGTCTAATTTCAATTCATTCACTCTTCCTCGAAACTTATTGCCAAACATTTGACTATATAATTTCAATTCATTAACTCAAATATATGAACAAATTTTTTTGATTTTTATGGCATTTTTGCATTCACCAAACCCACTCTAAATACATGCACCGCACATGCCTGCAAATTTATGCGTCATACACTTGAGTTTTATGTTAGGCCTGTCTTTCTTAGTAATGAATGCAGGCTAGCTGATGAGAACCATGTGTTCTCGTTGCTGAGACATCGGACTGACTGCCAATAAATACAAAAATCTTTTCGTTTACTCAATGACGTTTAAGTTAGTTCAGAGTGAGATATTATGACGGTTGATATTTTATTTTCATCTAATCGTTATTTATAACACAAAACCGCAGTTGTTTGATAAAATGAGAGAACTGCGTGCCAAGTCTAGCAACTCGACACCGCGTGTGTACAACATCAACGCTCGATTGGATAAAGTGAAGAAATCAATTGCCGATAGGGATTCTCTAATAAAGTTGTTAAATGATAAGAGATTACGAATAGAAAAAAAGAAGGTGGAAGTTAAAAAGGTTACATTAAAATGTTTAAACAACATTTGATAAATTCACTTATTTTCTAATCAAAATTGTGTTACTTTTGTTTGCCAATAAGGTTACATTTAAGAGTGATTTTTTTAAATAACAGAGATTGGATGCATACAACGAGTTAAACGACCAACTCACAGAAAAATGGAAACTGTATGACCAAAATTTTGAAATTAATAAAAGCAGCACCAAAAATTTATTAAATCGAACCGACGAGATCAAGAAAAATGTCTTTTCAAGCCGACAAGCTCTAGAAGGTTTTTTTTTTTTACATAATTCTCTCAAAGTATGGTAAAAAAGATTTTTATGTGAATCAGTGAATGCCTAAATAAATAATTAAATTTTGATAGAACATATTTATTTGTTTTCAATAAATAAATAAATAGATGACAATTATATTTATTTATTTTCAGTAAATAAACAAATAAATGGCATTGAAAAATCTGATGAATTTTTTTATGAAACACAGTTGCAAGAGTTCACTTTGATGAATTCCAAATGACGGCTAAGGAACACAACAAGCTCATCAAAACATTGCTTGAAAGAATTCACATTATTCGTGACGAGATCCAAACAAAAAGTAAAATTCACTTCCTATGTCGGTAAATCATTCCGACGCGACCATCTGACACTCAGTACAGACAATACAGTACTTTTGAATTTCAATAATTTTAAAACATGATTTGCAAGAACAATATATATATATATATATATATATATATATATATATATATATATATACATATATATATATATATATAATGTGCGCAATCATATGTCAAATATTATGATTACAATAATTTTTTAAAAATCGTTTTTAGAAACTTAAACCGAAGGCATTTTTAATGAAATCCACGCTATTGCTGAAATTTTTGACAACTTTTACATTACGTCATCATTATTGTCAACGCATCGTTCTAAGTGAGCTTTTGTTTCTACGCTTTGCTCCACAAATTGTTTTTATTTACCGAGGTTTTTTAATTAAGACAAATATATGATCGTTCATTTAACTGTCTGATGTTACTGATAAGTAAATTTAATTCGTTGAAGCATTAGATAATTTGTGTGTACATTTTTATGGAATATAGAAATGTAACGGCAAGAATAGCTTTGTCTAATTGCTAAGCTTCTGAATTTCTGTATGGCCGCATTGCTGAGTTACCAAGCATGCATCTCTTCTTGTTCGATGTTTCAAAGTGTCTGCGCTGCACTTTGTTTTCAAGGAGGACCAATTGAATGATTTGTTAAATTATTTGTTACGCTTTGTTTTATGGTTAGTTGGCTTTTGTGAAAAATATTCTAGTGTTCAAATTTAAGATCAATAAATTCACTGAATACTTCGATCTTTGCTTCGCCTTAACATGAAAGATATTTTGAAAGAATAAAATATACTGCATGAACCTACTTATATTTTAAAGTAAAATATTAACAATATGTACCAGAATATCTTGAATGATTCATTTTGTAAGAGACAATGTGTTTTTATACGTTTGCTACAAATAAGCACAAACGAACATTATTAATTAACAATTAGTAACTAAAAAATAAATAGAAGAAAAATATTTTCATATCAGTATTCTATTAAAGTTGTCTAAATTTAACAATAGTTATTTAATTCCTTTTCAAACATGTGTTCGCTCTTGATATCTTTTCATAGGTAATAGAAATAACGATAGAGATAACAAATTCAGTAATAAAAAAGTATTTAAACAAAATGCTAAAATTATTAAGCAAGAAATGAAAAAAAATTTTTTTTTGAGAAAAACTGATGCATACTTGCATAATAATTATTATACCTGTCACGTTAGACTGTTTAGCTTAAAATATCGCGATAGGTTAAAAACCAGCATCGCAGATGTTCATTCATGAAAAACAATATTTTAAAATTTTGTTTAAAAAAGTTATAGACCAAAGTTTTTGAATAAACAAATTTTCAATATAAAAATTTAATTAAAAAGTACAGGTTGAAGAAAGTTTTGTTAAAAATAATTTAGTTTTGATTCACCGAACTTAAACAAATGACTAGCAATTCAATGTACGATACTAAAAATATAATTCGACACTAATTTAGTTCATAGATAAATATGTTGCTTATTGATAAATTTATATTTTTTTAAACGTTTTATCTCCTATTTTTCCGTTAGCACAAAACAAATTTATAAAGTTGTCCATAGTCGATTCAAAGTTGGCAAGTTTCAAATCATTGAATCCAAACAATCGATTTCTTGGGTTGACTTTGAAATCTCTTAACAGATCAGCCAATTTATCGTTGCTGTTGAAGTTCTCACCGATGGACACAGCAACAATTTCGTGAGGTTGGTGTGAGGCATGGGCGGAAGTGTCTGCGCGTTTCAACTTACTGATAACTCGAGATGATGAAGTTGTATTGGCGGGTTTCTCGTCAATACTTCGATCAGTCATAAACACAACAATTTGTTTCGAATACTCTAATACTAATTTATCAAATTTTTTGAGTTTGTTTGTTAATAGTTCTCTTGATGTAAGGCGGGCAGGATTTTTGTAATCTGTTCTAGCTTTTTTACCTCCTAATTTTTTTTTTGATCTCAAACTTCTACTATAATTTACAAGGCATTTGTGTCTAAAGGAAAGTGTTTTATGAGTAGAACAGGGGCTTGTAGTATTTTTAAATTTTTTCAAATCAATGGAGTATCCAACCGTTAGCTTCAACGTGGTGCCATATTCATCTTTTAAGCGTTGAACGATTTGATTGGCGATTTCTATAAGCATCGGAAATCTCCATGATTTTGTGGAAATCAGTTGAAATAAAAAATATATTCTCGGGTTAGCTCCTAAATAAATACAATCTGTTAAAAAAAAGTTAAAATAATTAAACAATGAGTATTTGCATGAAAATTACTAAAGGAAAAATCATTTTATAATTTAATATATTTTAATAAGTTTAATAAATTTACTGGCAACTAATTTTAAAAAAAACGATTTTCAAAAAAATAGTTTGAAATTGGCCACAAGATTCTTGAGCTTGTCAAAAATTCTCAAATGCATAAACCTATTTTTTTTGCTATTCATACTACTTTGTGTGTGCTGGAAAGATGTATTACTCAGGACATGCCCAATGCTAAAATAATGACACTAAAAATAGGGATTGTGGTGACCGCAATAACTATAGATAAATTATACTATTCAGCACTGCACTGTTACAGGCTGGCTTCTTGTGTCTATCCGGTAACTTTGTGTGGTTTTTTTTCTCAAGTCATTCCACTCTGAATATGGCGTTCATTTTGCGACATCTCAGAAATTATGTCAGGGTCATATCAACTAACGCTCTACATCTCCTTCGCTGGTTGAACTATCGGTAAAAGAAGCAAACTAAACGAATTCGATTTAATCCAAAAGCATAAATTTTTAGCTCACTGATATTATCGACTATTGTCTTTTAGTTTCATGAAGATAAACGTTACACTGTCCATTCCAAAGGCGCAACAATAGTTTAAAACCAGACTGTTGTTTTGCGCCAATATTTTTTTTACTTTTCTTGACAAGCTTTTAGAGATTGTGATGGGAGTGTCAGCATTACAACAAGAGTTGTCCTAAATGATGTTTGCATTTGTACCAAAAGCAGACATGTCAAAACTACTCATCAAAAAATTTATTTTTACTGAGATGCAGTTTCGTCATATCAAGTAACATTAAAGGTCGTTAGTGAGAGATTGGATAATTAATTATGTAAGCATGTAAAAAATTTGGTTTTGCCAATAACCTAAAAAATATTATTATAGCGCAGAAATTGGATAATGAAAGTCTTTAAGAAATTATTACTGGCAGGCATAGTCTGAAAGTTGTAGGCTATTTTACTTATATTGAATCAAACGCCTGATACATGCTTCCTTGAATGAAGCAACTCCAAGCTTACTGTGAAAACAAAAACAGAAAGTTTAATATAATTGCAGGGTTAAATACAAATTTTATAGGAGCAAAACATGTATAGCACATGTGAAACATGAAAAAAAATTTTGGTAGCTAGTGATATTAAGTCCAAACAGAGTAGTGACGAGCCAAGCCGATGGAGCCGATTCAGACGGCTTGGAATTTAAAGCACATCGGTTCGGCTAGGCTTAAAAATTTTTCAAGCCGCGACTTGATCTGCTCAAGTTGCGACTAGCCGATAGAGTCGATCGAAAAAAACATTTTTCTAATTATTTGAAAAAAATATATATAAATAATTTCGCGCATCAAAATTTGACATCACAAGAACGGAACACAATGAAATTGATGATTACTTAATAGTTAAAGTGGAATCTCAAAATTCAAACTCATGGAAAAATCATAAATTACAATATTCTATACTGAGTCAAATGGCTCGGGATTATATTTGTATCGTCATCTTCATTGTACTTATTGACTTTTAACTTTTAATTGATCTTCAAATAGCATTACATTTTATGAAAATTTTGTCACATTCGTTTTTCTTTATTTAACTCAAGTTTTTTATTTGTTCTTGCTTCTTAAGAAAATTATATTTTCGTTCCTAGAGAAATTGCACTGCACCTGTTTTGGAGGATAAAATTACTCTAACCATGGTTTAAGTACAGTATATATATATATACGTTTAAGGAACCATTCCGACTGGAAAAGTTTGTATATTTGTTTCATTTTCATCATTAAGGACCTTCTTCTTATGAAAAAAGTATCACTGAATATTATTTATTCATTGAGATCGTTTATCGAGCGGTGATTGCTCGTAACATGTAACTCAACTGCCATGTAATGAATGAGCTCTCCACGTTGGCAGAAAAGTATGGAACACGTTGAAACAAAACAAACTTTTTTATTCTTTATAATGCATAACTTTCAAACGCGGAAATGCTTACGTGTTATTTTATACTCATAATTAAATTTTCGGGCCACAAATGCTGTACACTATTCACACCTCAGAATATATTGCTGTAACCCTTGAACACTCCCACCTACCAACATCGCTGTTATAACTTCAATGATCTTTATATTTCTAGCATCAGTGTTGTAGCAACGATCGCCAAGTGTTCTTTATTTCGTAGGTTCAAGATTTTCGATAGATGAACACAGCTGCTTCAAACGCAAACTTTGTTGAACGTTTATTTGAATACCAACAGTAATATCAACAATAAACTAATCCAAGTAACTACATAAATCGCTATTAAGATTTTGCTTTCTCTGCTAGAAACCTGACTGTAAACCCAACTACGTAGGACATTTATATTTTTAGTTTAGATTCAATATTTCTTTACAATCATCTATCCAAAGATTACAAATATAGTAGAGATAATAATAATCAGATAATGAATAATATAGCGAAATTTGATAATTCCCGCGGTTATAACGCATCATGTACGCACGCATCACACGAGTATGGAAATCTTTCGGAGAGACAGTATTTGAACCAGGCAATCGCCTAATCAGAGCGCGAGACATGGCTCTACCTCCACTCTTCCATCGGCTAACTCGGTGACCAAACAACGTGTTAACATGTTGACAGCGTGTTTTTTACCTTTGCAATATTTCAATTGAATGAGCCGACTCTAATTAATCGGTTGAAAAATTATTATTTTGTGTACTTGCATGTTAACGAATTGTAATTGATTTTTCACTGAACTTTTAAAACTGTTCAATTTCAAACAATTTACAAACAAAAACTTTTTTCTACCCAAAAAGTATTTTATATATGTTAAACTATGCAAAGTGATTGTAACAAGCCACATTTAAACGTTGCTTAAATCAATCTTTACTGTTAGCATGAAAACAAAAGATTAACATCATGATACATGCAAACTCAACGCCAACAGGGCCAACGGACTTTTAAGATTCTATCATCTGTGCTGTTTTTCATCAATCAAACATTATCTTTGTGATATTATCAGTAACTATCGGAAAAACTTAATTTTTTTCTGCTAAAAATACTTTGAAAATATGATAATTGTCATTAAATTATAATTATATCAATAAAACATAGCTGACATTTAAATAGTTGTTTTTGTGCTTTTTTGTTGCTTATTTAGATACTCCATAAAGAAAATTAAAAGTCTAATAGCTACGACTGCTGTCAAGTTGTATGAATGATTTTGTTTTCAAATTAACAAGTGGGCACAACCTAGAGAAAATAATTATACGCAACAAAATATACTCTAATTAATTTTCTGATGGAAATCTTACGAAGCAAACAAAGAGACGCTGAATATAAAATTAAAGTTGCGATGTTAACCAAAACTTCAAACACAGCATGCCTTGTTATGAAACTGTTGAAAAGTTGTTATAAAAGTGAAATATTAAGTTAATAATTCGTTCAAGATTAAGTTGAGATAATGATGCGACAAATGTAATGATATGATCAATGTTATGATGTGATTAAAGGATGTAATTTATGTTATGATATGATTGATGTTACAAAAATTAATATCATGATAAAACTAATGTTATGATTTTGAAAAAAATGTTATTACGTCATTAATATTATGATGTCATTTGGAACCAACCTTTGTATCTCTCCTCGTCTGAATGTTCATCGAAATGACGAACATATCCTTTTGGGTCTTTTTTTCTTAATCTCGCCATTGAATTATCAACCAGCATTTTATTTTTTGCATCCGATTTTTCAATTTTATATAATAAGTTGACGCCCTTTATTTTGTCAATTTTCAATTTTGAATCGTCCTGTGCCGTCGCTTTAAGAACTGAATTGGTTTTATGGTGGGCTTTTGTTGTTGGGGTAGAAGTTCGACTGGTTTTTGAATTTTTTTTGTTTCCTGGAAATAATATCAAATTAAAATGTTTCCTGTTTGTTTGATTCTTGTCCTCACTTTTATCATTTGAATGGCTGAGTCCTTGCATACGGATTTTTCTATCTTCGAAATATTTCAAAGTTCTATTTTTGTCACACGGAATAATTATTCCATTTTCTTCATCAAATCCCCATAGAGGTGAATGGCCAGAATTTTGTTCGTCATCACAGTCGTTCGCATGAAATGGTTTGTTTGAATGAAAAGCCCTTTTTTCGTGGTCAGTTGGTCTCCAAAAATATTTATTTGGCGTACCTTGTGCATCTCGTTTTGATCTCCGTTTAACTTGGAGATTTGTTGGTGTCGAATCTTTTGAAGTTTTAGAGTTCGTTGTGTTTGTGTTTTGATTGTTTTTTTTTTTAATATTTACCCCCCCGGTTTTCGATTTGCGTGTTTTGGGTTTTGTAGGTTTTTTCGATTCTTTTTGAGACATTAGTTTGGACAATGTTGAGAAATTTCTGGGTTTTTTTGTTGTTTCAGGCGTTAGATTATTAGCTGTTTTATTCGATTTATAAGCAATTTCCGATTTGTTTCTCATTTCTTCAAATAAATGTAAAATTGTTGAAAATAAAACAATAAATACATTAGAATGTTAATCATAAAAAAGTACAGTTGTTTAAAAATTTTCAATCATTGTAACGTAGCAGGACATGCCAAAAGTTGAACATCAACAACAAAAATTGATAAACATCTCTGCCCCACACGAAATTTCAAAATTTAAAATGTGCATAAGCCAGGCCAAGATTGCAACAATTATCATGCCATGCTGAAACATTAAAATGCAAACAAGACGGCTAAGATGGAGGAATTGTTAAAGATAGATTTGTTAAAAAAACAAATGTAAATGATTTATTTACCATTAAATTTTCTAGCATGATGTTTTTAATAGGGACAACAGGTGCTGTTTTGCAGTGGCCGGGATCGAATGTGACTAACAGATTTCCGCCTTCCCCATGCTCCGTGCGTAATGCGTCGTTTATACGCGTTCATACAAGCAGTTTGGAAATTGCTGGTTTTTCCGAAGCTAAAAAGATTGCAAAAGACCTTTAATATTTCAATAAATTCTAACGACAATAGTTCATCCGATAGCAGTGATATAAACAATTTAAGTTTCATTAATTAAATAAATAATTTTCATTCTTCGACGGATTTGTTTGAGCGGACCTCCGTTTTGGCTGGTTCTACGTCGTACGCGGGAAGTTTAAAAATTGTTTCATAGGTGTCACGTAATTCAATTAATTACATTATTCATATTGATGAAACACATTTAAAAATAATAAGGTAATTACATGAAAATATATAACGTGCAATTGATGAGAAACATTCATTAACATGACTTCTGAGTGATGAATGAACTCAAATCTCGCTTTCAGATTTTAAATTCACTTTTATAATAATTCAATAAATTTTTATATTCTAACAAACAGAAAAAATTTCAAATACACCAAAAAGCCATACATTCATTTGCAAAGTTTAGAAAAATTAACTTGCACAAATAATAATGTGAGAATGTTTTTGAAATGGCATAGAAACAAACAATTGTGTGAAAAAGTGCTACGACAAAATAATACACACAAACCAAACACAAAAAAATTTTTTATATTTGTTCAAAAAATTAAAATCAAAAACCGTTTCGATGACGTAAATTTAATTTATTTACACTCAGAAGTCATCTGTGAAAAAGCGGGAACATGAAGGAAGGAGGAAACATCGAGGAATGCTGAAGGATTTTGTTGAAGCCGACTAAAATAACATGGTCAATTTTGCGGTTGAGACAAAGACTATCATAAAAGAAGCATAAAATTTATTTGAATAGAAATTAACAGCAAACGTGTAAATGTTGTCTAAAAATTTGGTGTCATAAAAGTTTGCTTAAAAAAATTGAAGAAATGTTCTAACCTTCAGGCATAGCTTTAAACTTGACCATTAGCTCGTATATCAGTTTAGCGTTGCTACTCTGCCACGAACTTCTGGCACTATCCAACTTGTCCGTGTAAAAAATTACGGAATAGAAACTTTTAACTGGTTTGTTCACTATGCTAGGAAATATATTGTGAAATCCAATGAGACCGATGTTTATTCCGTACACAAAAACCTAATTAAAATGTGGTTAACTTGAGCACTCGCGTTTTTAATTTTAAACTTTTGGCATCAACATAAAAATTATGTATAAAAATTCTGAACAAACATTGACAATCCATAGAAGCAGACCTCACCTTGTTGTTTTGCAGATGTCTGACGAGGGGGACTGCATCACTGGCGTCCGTCACATCTCCATCGCCGAGAATGATCAGCAGTTTCAGTATGTAATCGGAATCAGTCGAGAGCGTTTCAACGTTGTCACACTGATCACATTTGCCCTTCAAATGAGATTCCATTAAGACTTTTCTGGTGTGGTTAATTTTAAAGAGTTCCATTGCCTTCAAAAGTCCTGGTCCTAAATACGTCCGGATTTGGTCCGGTCTTACAATCCTATCTGTGGTGGGATTTTATTAATAAGTGTTTTAAAGGTTAAAGAGTCTGTTAACAAGTGTTTACGTGATTGTACAGCAAAAATCGTTTGTTGTCTATATAAACGTGTATTGAACGTTCAACTCTATTTAAAAACTCACTATAAATAACCAACTTATTTCAATTGATGGCGATGAAAAAATTATGCAGTAGTTTATGTAAAAAAGTATTTAGAACATTGCACCAATACTCACTCGTCACTCATTGAAGCAATTCATATGCAAATGTTGTCAAATAATACTACAAATTATTTATTTAATTAAAAAATTTACAAAAAATTTTAAGTATATTAAAACTTGGTTAAATTTTTAAAATTAAATCAAAAAAGCGTAAGCGTGCATATTAACAGATACGTTCTTATTTGAAAATTTAAAATTAATATTCGATTTAAATTTTTAATTAATAATTTTCATATTTCTTGCAGGCATAATATCATTACACAAATGTATTGCTCTTAAAACGGCTATCACTAATAACCAGATAACTTCAGACGCTTTCATTGTTTCATTTTTTTCATTGTAAAAAGTAGAGCATAATAATCCACTTTTTTGTTCTATAGAGAATTACAATATTTTGGAAACAGCCGAACAAAAATAATTTCTGTATTCTGTAACTATTATGCCCATTACCACACTAGCAAGTCTTCATTTCAATGTATCACCCCGTGTAGAACTTGCAGGCTACACAAATTTCCTCAGGCACTAAGCACATTCTCCGTGACATCTCTAGGCATATTTAAGGTAGTATAAAAACTGTTACAGTTGTATTTTACTTTTTGCATGCCTTAATAAAAATGAATAAAGTGACAACCGTGTGAACAAGTATTGATATATGAATACAAAATTCACAAGTCATTCAAATCACAAGTCTATAATAATGGAATTACTGCTCGTTTTTCAAATATCGTATCAAAGTTTTATTTAGAAATGTGCAACGACCAACAATCACTCAATTTAAAGACGCGTCTTTCTAATACAATTATATTTAAAATTTTTTTGGTCTTTGTGTAAACAACGCCTTTTAATTTACGATTTTTAAATGTCTGCTGGAATTGCTAATGAGCCCATACTAATGGCGTGTGTGTTTGTTTCATCTGGCATGATGATAATAATGTATGTGTAGCATGGAGCATCTTCATGTGCTTTGTTGGGATGTTCACATTTACGTGTTTCTTCGATACTCTGCTCATCTGTGTTCATCTTTATGCGTTTGTTATCTGTTTTGAACAACTTATAGTTGTTATCTATGTTCATCTACTTAAATTTTTTATCTACGCTCGTTTTCATGTTCATGTTTATAAATTTTTTATCTATGTTCATATTCATGTATTTTTACCTATGTTCATTTTTTTTTTATATTTGCTATCTATGTTTTTACACATGTTTGTTGTCTATGTTCAACTGTTCATATTTATGTGTTTGTTATTATTGAGTTGTTCAATCTCATGTGCGTGTTACAATTTTCTTGCCCTTTGCAATGTCACTGATGTTCATGTTTGTTCAACTTCAGTTGTTCATGTGTGTTCAGGTTTGTTCGTCACATCTGCTCGTTTTCGTTTGTTTGTATTTATTGATCAACTAACTTTATATGTTTGAAACCACAATAAGATGCAACCGAAATTCTTAACAAAAATTTGAATATCCCACACTCAACAAATAATTTCAGAATTTTCTCAATGCTGCAATTCAAATGAAAACGCATTCAATTATTTTAATTTATCTGTTTTCTGGTAATAAATTTTTTAAATTGACGTGAATGATAACGCAGTCGGTAGTGAACTTAGAACTGGCGGATCACATTTTGCATGATTTATGTATTTGTTCGTTGGGGCGGGTTTTCTTGATTGTTTGAAAAATTTGTTTCAGAAAAAATTCAATGATAATGTCAATTAAAATTCTAAGAAGGGTGTATGATGTATATGAAAAGATAATTTTTGAACACGAGAACCATTTAAAAAAATAATTATGTGTGTGTAGGAAAGCACACCGATGAACTAAATCAAGGATATTCCCTTCAAAAAAATAACGTTGTGTGTATGTGTTATCTTCTTCTCAACGTAATTTTCATTGCGGTTCGAACATTTGCATCGTTCATTTGCAGCGGATATTTTAATGAACAAACTTAAAAAACGTGCCGGTTAAAATTTCAACTGACGAACGAGCAAATAAATAACGAGATGTGGTTTCATTTACAAATGATTCTAATTATTTCAAGTGCAAATATTTAATTTGCTATAAAATTTTTATTTTGTCCATAAAATAAGGTTTCCATTAATTTTTCTATGAATAATAATTATCCACAAATTAAACTAACTTTTTTATTTTAAAATTGATTGATTGATTGATTGATTGAGAATTAATTCGATCGGTCTTTGCTGCTTCGCTTTTATGACAAAACATTCAGTAAATTGGTGACGTAGTATCGATACATGAAACTCAAGAAAGTGAATTGTGGCTAAAAAAAAGTAGAAAAATAAAATGCTTCATTTTATTTCATATGTCGTCATGTGTTTCTAGAGCTTCATATTGCAGATGAATTCAACAGGCGTGTTAAGTTGCCGACAGGGAAAAAATGAGTGAAACCTTGGTATCGATATATCAGATTATGTCTGGCTGAAAATGTAGGTGGTTTTTGAGTTGCTGAGTGTTTACATCAGAGCATAAGCTTATTTACATATAGATAAGAATGTAAATTTACTCTGGATGTAAATAATATAATTTCATCTGATCTGTCAAGAAGAACCTGTTTTTTAACTCTTGCTAAATATCTGTGGGTCGAACAAAAAAAAGTGTGAGTGTTGAACGTGTATGTGTGTTGAATGTGTGCGTGCTGAGTATGTGTGTGTGTTGAATGTGTGTGTGTTGAATGTGTGTGTGTTGAATGTGTGTGTGTGTTTGCGTTGAATGTGTGTGTGTGTGTTGAATGTGTGTGTAAGTGTTTGTATGTGTTCAATGTGTGTATCGAATGTGCGTGTTGAATATGTGTGTGTGTGAAATGTGTGTGTGTTCAATGTGCGTGTGTTGAATGTGTTTTTTTGTGTGTTGAATGTGTGTGGGTTGAATGTGTTTTTGTGTGTTGAATGTGTGTGGGTTGAATTTGTTTATGTGTTGGATGTGTATATGTGTTGAATGTTGATGTGTATATGTGTTGAAGTGTGTGTTGAGTGTGTTTTAGTTGCTTATATGTGTGTTAAGTGTGTTAAATGTAATGTGAATGTTGTAAAGATCTTTGTGATAAATATCTGAATGTTGGATATCATCAGCTTGTTATACAAATAAGTAATTAATCATGCGAGAACATTGGTATAACTTAGTTGTATTGTATAGTCTATAATGGTCTCCTACCAATATTTATAAGCTGTTGTATGAGATGCAGTAACGTGCATAAGCATAGCATATAAAAGTTAATGCATTTATTTTACTTAACCATACTATGGTTAAGTAACCATAACCATAACCATACTATGGTTAAGTAATAGTGTTAGTATAAATGTTCTTGTTAAAATTCCAACATCAACATCATATCCTAAGGCTGAAATATAAAAGTTCAGCTGTAACATATCAAATATTTCTGATTAAACAATAAAATGATATAATAAAAACTGTTCCCAGAAAATTTTGAAAAAAAATAAAACTAGGACATGACTTATATTTTTAAAAATTAGTCCGGAAAGATAAAGAAACATACAATAAAAAATTAGGATGTAGCATGACAAATAAGGACATCACACAACTCATTAACCACACACTTCTTCATAACATTTGCATGTCAGACAACCTAACTTTTACGTTCTGATGATTCAATTGTATCAACACACAAAAAATGAACCGTGTGCGTGTGTGCGCGTTTGTAGGTAAACAACACAGACACACAAACAAACATACACAAACACGCTCACACAAACACGCTCACACAAACACACGTACATAAACACGGGCGGCGTATGCAATGTGTATGATGCGTGGTTTGCACGCGTATTCATATACGCTGTGTGTGTTTGTCGTTGAAACCTCTGAAGCAAACGCAAAAGAAAGAGATTAACCTTTAACCTTTAATCATTAACACATACATGCCGTTACAAAAAAACTGGGCCAAATATTTATCCTACTTATATTAGAAAATTTATAAACCGCTTTTTAAAAAGCGGCAACAGTAAGTACAAATAAATATACAAAAATTATGGGTAGATGTCAGTTACAAACAAAAAAAAACATGTTAAGCCATGGTAACAAAAACTAATTTGGCAAATGATATTAACATAACAGCATCCAATCCAAAGAAAAAAAAACCTATCTATAGAACACGTTATCAGCAATTACATTACAATTACATTAATCACGTGACAGAAATGCTGCTTAAACAGATAATGTTTCAATTGTTTGAAGAAAACAGGAAACGAGATTCCAGACCAACAACGCCAAAGTTTCTTTCGCCGGCCGCCAGACTTGTCAGTTCACATCATCTGATCTCAATCTCGGACGTCCAGACGGTGGGCCAGATTTAGTCAATCTATCAGCCAGGCAACCAGGAGCCAATCCGTTAATCGCTTTAAATGCCAAAACGGCAATTTTATAAACTATTCTTTTTTCCACTGGAAGCTAATACAGATCCCAAAAAATTGAAGTCACATGATCGTACATAAACTCCCGTCAACTAATTTTGCAGTACGATTTTGAATCGATTACACTTTCAGAACTGCTTGTTTTGAACACGGTAACATAGACTGTTAAAATAGTCTAAATTTGTGTGGATAAATGCATGGACTAAGCTTCTATTGAGACATAATTCACTGAACCCTTAATAAGCCTCAACATGCGCAGTCTGTGATGACACTCCCTAGCTTTAGCGTTTATGTGCGAGTCCATAGTCATTGAGCAATCAAAAATTACTCCAAGATTGCGAGTCGACTGACATAATTCAACTTCACTGTTACCGATGTTAATTGAATCAAAATGTAGTTTTTTTTATCTTCTGCTACACACAAAAAGGTAGCAGCTGTGTTTTACATTGATTTAATATAAGATATTGCTCAATCATCGGAGAGTCATTTTGTGACATACACTGAAGAAATCTGTTGACCAGGAGTTGAGATGAAGTCACGGCATAGCTAGCAATTATCTGGATATCAAAATTTCAGACGATACATCCAACAGTGCAGTTTCGATTGAATGAAATTTTTTAAAAACCGATTGACGCTTTGGCATCAGCCCATGTTGATTCAAATGATGAACCAGCTGTTTGTGAACAATACGTTCCACTCCTTTGGATAAAAAAGGTAGATTAGATACAAGTCTGAAATTTGTCAAAATGTTCCTGTCAAGAGACGGCTTATATAAAATTTATATATATATATATATATATATATATATATATATATATATATATATATATATATATATATATATATATGTTTTTGTTATTATCGACTATATAAAACTATGTTGTTTATTTCTATGTACCCTATGTGTTATGTGCATGTATGTTTGTGAGTATGTGTGAATAATTGAATGTATTGTATGAATGGATCTACGTATAATTTCTTTTGACTTTAATATTCTATCTGATATTATTTGAATTTACTGGATTTAAATAAAGTTATTAATTATATGTACTTACTGAATTTTTATTATCTTTATTGGTTATCGGTTATCTGTGTTTAATAGTTAGGTTTTGATTATTTTACATTAAATATTATTAACAATAATAGAAACAATCGTAATAACTAAAGAATATACTCCCCATGTATCATTTATTTCGAACAAATTTAATCATTGATTTTTGTTGAACTACTTTAATCTTTAATTTATGTTGATCAATTTTAATTTCATTTGGATAGGGTGACTTTCCTACAAGCATTTGGTTGCTTTTTAGTTTACCCCCCTTTTTTGAGAAAAAAAAAATAAATAAATATATATATATATATATATATATATATATACTGGTAAAAGACCATAGTTAATGCAGTAATTTATGAAATCTACAAAATTTCTAGCGTTGGATAGTTATATATATATAATGTGTATATATTTACAATATCCTCTATGTAAAAAAATAAAAAAAAACTTATGGTCTATTACCAGCATATATATATATATATATATATATATATATATATATATATAGTAAGTAATAGCTATATTGATAATCTTTTTTTGTTTGTTTGATCTTTCATGTTTTGGCTTCTTTGTTTTTATTTTTT